TCTTCTTGGCTGTCCATGGTATTTTTAGGAGTCTTCTCCAACATCAACGTTCAAAAATACCAATATTCTTTCTATCTTCAAAATCCAACTTTTATTTCATAGATGTCACAGGTAAATACCATGGTTTACAAGATTCTCATCTTTGTAGCTGTAGACACGTCATGCCATCTGAATATTTTTCCAAAGTTTTCATGGTTACGGTAGCAAATGCCTGACTAGGTGGCTCAAGTGGCTAAAACACTGAGCTTATCCATTAGAAAGGTTGGCAGTTTGGTGGTTTGAATCCCTAGTACAGGTCTCCTGTGTGAGCAGGGGGTTGGACTAGATGACCTCCAAGGTCCCTTCCAGCTCTTGTTACTGTTAAATGTTAATATTGAGACATTACATTGAGATAATATTGAGAGCCATTTTGAGCTAGTGTTTAAGACAGCAGGCTAGATGCCAGGAGACTGTGAGTGTGTTTTGTCTTAGCCAAGAAAATCAGCTGAGGGATCTTGAGTTGTTTATTAAAAAAATAATAAAGGCAGTAAAGAAATAAATGCTCCTTTACTGACAATAGTTGAACTTAAAAAGATACTTCAGTATCTTCATTGTCTGCTCTTATACCTGTTGTCAGTCGTTATACCTGTTTATATTGAATCTTAACTTTTATTACTTGCAGATCCTTCACATTTTGGCTATCAGAGTATTCATCAGCACAGTGCAGATTATCGATGTTTCTTCATCCAGTTTTAAAACCATGGTCATCTACTTCCAAACCAGCTTTCTTTCATATATATTCAGCATACGGGTTCCATAAATAAGGGGAGAGTGTATACAGCTTTCTCACATTCCTTTGCCAGCCTGGAGTAGGACAACAATGAAATTTTCTGGGATTCCCATTTTTCTAAGCACCTTCCACTGCTCAAGAAGATTAACACAATCAAAGGACTTTCTGTAATCAATATGGGATATCTTTGACTTTTTCAATTATCCAGCATACATCAGCAATAACGTCTTGTGTTCATCAAAGATCAAGTTTGGCAGTTTCACCAAACATCTGTATTTACTTTTCTGTTTCTAATGGACTGTAAATCTATCAGCTTTTTGCCTCAGTAATTTCGGCTAACCATTCTTGTTTCTTTGAGAAATACAGTTATCTGTATTAGGCCACCCAACATTTTAGGAGAGTTACTACCTAAATGCTTGGGATTATTCAACCATTATATGCAAAATAAAGGTACTGCCTCTGTAGATTATTCCATTTGCATGGCCAATGCAACTGTTATTCATAATTTGAGTTAACTCTAAAGCATGACTTAACTTGAACTGACGAGAAAAATCCAACTGTGTCTTCAAATATAATACTAAATCAGGATTTTAAGCCATGGTTTGTTGAATAAATCATGTTAGCTAGACTTCATGGACCACATTTGCAAACCAAGTCTGGAGTCCCTACTGCAATATAGCTGGACAGAGTTGAGCTGAGATAACAACAAATGAGAGTTATGATCTAGATATCTGGCATCTCCAAGTCTTAGCCTAGCTAGCAGCCATCTGTTGTGGCTCTGTTGCCTGAGCCTGGGCTATCGACAGATGCAGACTCTGAGAGTGAGGGAGAGGAGTTGGCAAGGCCGCCCTCTCCAGGACCCTCCTCTCTGGCAATGCCTCTGGAGGACACCGAAGGCCAAACAATAGGCTCAGAGCCAAGCACGTCCCCGCAGCCACAGGTGGACAGCGACGAAGTAGATAAGTGCTGGCTGGACCTGCGACAGAGGCGCAGGGAGAAGCGTGCGCAGCAGAGCGGAAGGCGTGCCAGAGATTAGCTGAGTCACTGGACCACACCCCACAGGGTATAAATGTGGGTGTGGTGGCCGGTTCAGTTTGTGACGAGCAAAAACTGGAAATACTTCATGATCTCTGCGTTACTGGACTTTGCCTGCTTTATCGGACTGCATTTGGATTAATCCTTGTATTGTTGACACTCTGCCTGTTTTATCGGAATGCTTGCAGTCTAATCTTTGTTTTGTGTGAGTAAAGTCTGAATTGGCAGCTAGCCACTGGGTTGCTGCCAGCTTTATCTTCAAAGAGTTTTGTCGTGTGGCTTATAACTCCGGGCCGTCTGTGGGGGTGCATGTGTGGTACGGGGACAGAACACCATCCAGCAGACTAGTACTGATAAAGGTAGTCATACACAAAGATGCAAACTATGCAGTAGGTAAACCATGTGATTCATACTGTCCTCAGTTTTCTGTGGGTAAATAAGCTTGTTCTGAATTGACAAAATACATCCATATTAATATGCTACTTTAAAATCCAGTCTGAGCATCTGTCCACCAAGTAAATGTGCTATGAGCTTCTATTGCAATCAAAGTGACTTCTGGATCAGTCACTCATTGGTCAGTTTGTTCACTGGTCCATAACTCATAATAGGTTAGCGCCAGGGGTGGGTTCTTCTTACCTTTACTACAGGTTCGCAACGAGATCATGCATGCGCGCTCATTTTGCTTGTGCATGCGCCTTGTTTCACATGTGCAGAAGCTTCTGCACATGCACAGATCACTTCTGATGATGTCACAGTCAGTGGGCAGAGCCTCCCGCCGGTTTTACAAGTGGTTCTATAGAACCGGTCCGAACCGGGGGCAACCCACCACTGGTTAGCGCTTTTGTCAATATATAGCATGTACTGATCTCATAAACTATCAAACATGCTTTTTCTTCTATTTCAATAGTTTTTAAAGCCTTACTACACTCTTCTACAATCAACAACTATTACCTTTTCTCCAGATTTTTTTCTATAATCACCTGTTTGGGTGCTTTTCCCCTAAACTGTCAAAAAGAGAAATTAGGATTGAATGCATAGTTGGTCTCACACACTGAAAGCTAGCATTAATGTTTCTAGTTAGTAAATTAAAATCTGGCAAGGAATAACAGGATAGTTGCAAAATAAATATGCCGTTAGAATAGAAAAATGCCTTTCCATCCCTAAAACATTAGAAATCCTTTAAGTGGTAAAGGAGTTATACAAATGCGTCAATATTATCCCACAAGATGATTACCATGCTAGGAAATGGGCTTTATTTCCAGAAACTGAAAATGATGAGTCAAGCATGCATATAATTTTCTAATATAATGTCCTTTGAAACATGGGCATTTTAACAGGAATAATTCCTTGTTTCCTCAGATTGTAAACAACATTGTCCTCATTTTTTCCAAGTAACTACATTTAATTTTAATCTTTTTCAGGCATTTGACCACTTAAGTTTCAAAGCCTTTGACCATTTAAATTATTCCCATGATTAGTATGTGATCTAATAGATTTTATGTTTCCCATCAGGAGTCCTGCCACATACTCTTCGTGAAGCTTCACTTTCTAAATCTAAATGATGTAATTGTGACTATAAGTATACATACCTGCCTAGGAGTGATGTAAACATGGAGAAATAATTTAATATTATCTCTGGGTTGAGAGAGATGATTGATACACATGGAGACCATTTATTTGTGAAGAGAATTTAAGATGTTTAAAGAATGTGAAATAATTTTAACAAATAAAAAAGAGCTTGACTATGGCATCAGATTCAAAAAAGTCATTTCCCCAGTCTGAGGGGGAAATAGTCTATCACTTAAGTGAGGAAAAATGATACAAACTCAGATTACCAACATAAGAGGCCTCTAGTTTATGAGTTTATTCATACAAGAAGTTTAACTAAGAATTAACTGTTTTTTTAAAATCTGCATAATGTAAACTAGATGCATTTCCATGGGATGCTAAAAACTAGATCAAGTTTAGCATAATAGTGCGTGTAATAGCATCAGGGCTGCAACTAATCTGGGAAAGTGTGTTACAGAGCAGGGATTTCCAACCTTGGCAACTTGAAGCTTGGCGGACTTCAACTCCCAGAATTCCCCTAGCCAGCTCCAGGCTTAAAGTTGCCAAAGTTGGAGATCCTTGTGGTGGGGGTGGGGGTGGGGGGCTACCTGATCCCTAATTTGAGCCTATGAACAAGATTGAGGATGAGGATGATGGGCAGAGACTGACCTGGGCACTTAGATGTGCCTCTTGGAAGCCATGCTTTGCATTGGGCTTTGCAGCAACATGCTAATGCATCATGTCCAAGGCCTCCCAACACAAAAGGTGACTCCCCCCAAAAAACCCTTTTATAGCAGCTCTGCAACCTAGGATTGCTTTAGGGAAGCGCACTTTAGGGCAGGGGTCTCCAACCTTGGCAACTTTAAGCCTGGAGGACTTCAACACCCAGAATTCCCCAGCCAGCTTTGCTGGAGGACTTCAACTCCCAGAATTCCCCAGCCAGCTTTGCTGGAGGATTCAACTCCTTTGTTGGAGGACTTCAACTTCCCAGAATTCCCCAGCCAGCTTTGCTGGAGGACTTCAACTCCTTTGCTGAAGGACTTCAACACCCAGAATTCCCCAGCCAGCTTTGCTGGAGGACTTCAACTCCCAGAATTCCCCAGCCAGCTTTGCTGGAAGACTTCAACTCCTTTGCTGAAGGACTTCAACACCCAGAATTCCCCAGCCAGCTTTGCTGGAGGACTTCAACTCCTTTGCTGGAGGACTTCAACTCTCAGAATTCCCCAGCCTCCTTTGCTGGAGGACTTCAACTCCTTTGCTGAAGGACTTCAACACCCAGAATTCCCCAGCCAGCTTTGCTGGAGGACTTCAACTCCCAGAATTCTCCAGCCTCCTTTGCTGGAGGACTTCAACTCCTTTGCTGGAGGACTTCAACTCCCAGAATTCCCCAGCCAGCTTTGCTGGAGGACTTCAACTCCTTTGCTGGAGGACTTCAACACCCATAATTCCCTAGCCTCCTTTGCTGGAGGACTTCAACTCCTTTGTTGGAGGACTTCAACTCCCAGAATTCTGGGAGTTGAAGTCCTCCAGGCTTAAACCTTGCCAAGGTTGGAGACTTCCGCTTTAGGGTAAGTTCTTCAGCCACTAGAGGGGGGCTGCATTCACAGGCACGGAAGCCGAGAGCCCGGACTTGCTTGAGAATCAATGCATTTTGGAGGACTCTTAACTGCAACGGAGGAAACTACGGACTCCCTGCAATAGCGGGGGTTACAGAATAAACAACAACCCCGCAAAGCCCAGCCCGCCCCGACGCAACAAGTCGATCGGACTCCGGGGAGCCCTTTACACACAAAAGCAGAGTTCCCCCCCCCCGTCAGGTTGCTTCGGATTTCGATTGGACAGGCGGAGACAGCCTGCGTTTTGATTGGCCAGTTCCAGTATGACTGGCAGGTAGGAAAGAACGTTTGGTATCGTTTCCGGTCTCGCTAAATGCTTTTGCTAGGAAGCTGTTCCCGTGCAGCAGCGATGGCCGAGTGGTTAAGGCGTTGGACTTGAAATCCAATGGGGTCTCCCCGCGCAGGTTCGAACCCTGCTCGCTGCGGTATGCGGGCTTCTGTTTTTTTTTCTAAGCGTAAATTCAACACACATTTAGGCACAGACGTTTCGCTCGGCTCAGGCTCCTTTCGTACCCTTGTGCGCCCGCACTTAAAGGTTAAAATAAAAAGAGAAGTAAAGAGCGGTGCTCGCACCTACGCGGTTTCCCTATAAACCTCCCTTTACGGCCATCGCCTTTTTTTTCTGCAGCATCGCTCTATCTTTGATGGACGAGCCCGCCTTTTGGAGGGCAGGTTTCTGTGGCGTGGCCATTACCCGAAGGCAGCGATAGAACAGAACAGAACAGAACAGAACAGATTAACAGAGTTGGAAGGGACCTTGTAGGTCATCTAGTCTAACCCCCAGCCCAAGCAGGAGACCCTACAGCGTTTCTGTCAGATGGCAGCCCAGTCTCTTCTTGAAAGCCTCCAGTGATGAAGCTCCCACAACTTCTGAAGGCAACTTCTGTTCCATGGGTTGACTGCTCTCGCTGACAGAAACTTTATCCTTATTTTTAGGTTGAATCTCTCCTTGTTCAGTTTCCATCCATTATTCCTTGTCTTCAGGTGCTTTGGAAAAATAGCTTGACCCCCTTCCTCTCTGTGGCAACCCCTCAGATATTGGAAGACTGCTATCATGTCTCCCCTGGTCCTTCTCTTCACTAGACTAGCCATGCCCAGTTCGTGTAACCGTTCTTCATATGTTTTAGTCTCCAGTCTCCTCATCCTCCTGATTCTCTGCACTTTTTCCTAAGTCTCAACATCTTTTTTTATAGTGTGGTGACCAAAACTGGATGCAGTATTCTAGGTGTGGTCTTACTAAGGCTTTATAAAGTGGTATTAGTACCTCACTTGAGATGGGGGCATTCTTAAATATTCACTTATCTTGAGAAAAGGTTGCCAGGTGTCCACTGTTTGAGCGGACAGTCCGCTTTTTTCACATTGCGTTCACTATTTTTTTTCACAAAATAGTGGACATTTTTTTTTATTCAAAAGCTTTATGATTGTATATTTTTTAATATTTCTCAACGTTGTACTGAAATTAAAGAATTATTCCTTAAACACAAAGAATTGATCAAAGCTGCGCAGTCAGTAAAAAATACACACGGCAGCAAAGTAAAATGTAATTTAATATTTTACATATTATTATAATATATTTGATGTTTTGAATTTTAAGTAAAGTTTTGAAGTGATTATTTTAATACGTGTTAAAATGTTTGTAAGAAAATATGTAATTTAATTGTAATTTTTTTTTAATTTTTTTACTACTTCACACACACACACACACACACACACACACACACGCTTGTCCGCTATTTTTTGGAAGCAGACCTTGCAACCCTAAAAAGGAACCACCGCCTTTGGCACTCAGAATTCTTCCTCCGGAAAAACAGGCATATATCTCCAGGTCTATAAAGGCCCCCAAAATGCATCCGCTCCTGGGATGATGCTTTATTATTTTTTTTGCACTTTGCTTCTTTCCCAACACCCCACCCCATCCCCCTACTACCACCCCCCGCTGCCCCAAGCGGGCCAGATCTTAGCTTTGGTATAGGGCAGTGATGGCTAACATTTTTGCCATCGCGTGCCAAAAGCTGGGGGAGTGCAGGGTAGGCATGCATGTGCGTGCCCACACCCATAATTCTAGGTGCCCTGCCCTCCCCATGCATGCGCACACGATCCCTTGCTCTCCTCCCCCCCCCACTTTTGGCATGTGACAGCATGGTGGGCACGGTAGGCCCGTTTTTTGCCCTCCCCAGGCTCCAGAGGCTTTCTAGGAGCCTGGGGAGGACGAAAACAGCCTTCCCCCACCTCACCGGAGGCCTTCCAGAGGCCAGAAACAGCCCATTTGCCAACTTCCAGTGGGCCCAGAAGGCCCAAAAATCAGCTGGCCAGCGTGCACGTACATGCTGGAGCTGAGCATGGGCAACGCTCGTGTGCCCAACAATATGGCTCCGCGTGCCACCTGTGGCACGCGTGCCATACGTTCGCCATCACGGGTATAGGGTATAGACAGTGGTGGGATTCAAATAATTTAACAACCGGTTCTCTGCCCTAATGATTTCTTCCAACAACAAGTTCACCAAACTGCTCAGAAAGTTAACAACCGGTTCTCCTGAAGTGGTGCGAACCGGCTGAATCCCACCACTGGGTATAGGTTCTCCTGCTTGAGCAGGGGGTTGGACTAGAAGACCTCCAACGTCCCTTCCAGCTCTGTTAGTCTGTTAAAGAGTATGCTTTCTTCTCAGTTGTACTTCTAATCATTTTCTGCAGAAGAATGATGGAAAAGCTGTACCAGAAGAGTCCAGGCGAAGTGCTTTCCAGCTGTAGTCCCCAATTCTGCTTCATGACAATTACATGAGTTACATCGACACATCTGGAAGACATTTCATTGCCTAAGATTGGTTTGTTTAGTCCAAGATTTTGTTCCCAAGATAACCAACCAGCTGCCCGTAATATCTGTCATCTATAAATGCAGAAGTTCCCTTCCATTTGCTTTCTTTTTCTGTTAATTTACTACAACGCATGGTGTTTCATTTGTTTGTTTGATTGAATTAATTGAATTGGTATCCTTTCTGCTTCCTCAGTTACCAAGGCAACGTTCAGCAATAAAAGAAAATAATATATAAATTAAAACAACAGTAACTGAAATTAAACATTGGAGTTAATAATACTTGATGGAAAAGATGTGGTTTTATAGTACCATTTTCCTAAACTTTGAGAGAGATATAAATCTCCAAGGAAGCACATTCCATAGCCTGGAAATCCAGCAGGTACTGACAGGTTCTGGAGAACCGGTAGCGGAAATTTTGAGTAGTTCAGAGAACCGGCAAATATCACCTCTGGCTGGCCCCAGAGTGGGGTGGGAATGGAGATTTTGCAGTATCCTTCCCTTGCCATGCCCACCAAGCCACGCCCACAGAACTGGTAGTAAAAAAATTTGAATTCCACCACTGCCCCGATCCTTCTTTTCCATAGACAAGACTGACCTAGTTCCCTCAATTGATTTAACCTCCTGACAGGGAAGGATACTGCAAAATCTTCATTCCCACCCCACTCCAGGGGAAGTATACTGCAAAATCCCCATTCCCTCCCCACTCCTGGGGGAAGGATATTGCTAAAAATCCATTCCCAACCCACTCTGGGGCCAGCCAGAGGTGGTATTTGCTGGTTCTCTGAACTACTCAAAATTTCCGCTACCGGTTCTCCAGAACCTGTCCGAACCTGTTGAATAAGCACCCCGATCAGGCCCACTCACGATTTCCGCTACTGGTTCAAGAGAACCCATCTGAACCGGCTGAATATTACCTCTGGATTGTATGAAATCTGCCTTGAGAGGGGGTTGGACGGGAAGACCTCTGAGATACTTCCAGTCCTATGATTCTATGTTCTACTTCTATCTATCCAGCGGGTTGTTGGTAGTCAGTGCAAATCAAGACACAGGAGCCCTTCGTTTTGTGCCAGTCACCAGCCTACCTGCCACTTTTTTGCCCAGATTGCACTTTTTGGAGGCTTCTCAAGAGAAGCCCCTCCACAATGCCATTGTAGAAAGCAAGGTTAACTGCAACAAAGGCATAATTAACTGTTGCTAAACTCGGGTAGTTGAGGAAATGCCTGTGTTGGTCCACTATCCATAATTGAGGAAAGACATTCATTGTCATTGCCATCACTGCAGATCCTGTGATAGCTGATCATTATAAAAAGGTATCCCAAATGATGAGTGTACTTCACAACCCCATCCAAAATAACACTCATCTCATCTCCTGCTTATTTGGAATTAATTGCAGTGTATATTACTTCATCCAGCGTATTACGCAGATTAAAACAGCCCTGAGGTTCTGCAAAGTGGCTTGCTTTCTTAAGAAAAATTAAACTTATTTCTGCCAAAAGTTTTTGATCAGTTGAAGTGCAGTTGTCATCATCTGCATTGCTCTGTGCAAGCACCCTGACACACATTTATTTATTTATTTATTTGTTGGTTCGATTTATATGCCACCCTTCTCCGGAGACTCAGGGTGGCTTACAATGCGTTAAGCAATAGCCTTCATACTTTTGTATATACCTGTTTAGTAGGGCTTTCGGGCCCCCCTATGTTGTGGCTCCATTATCTGAGCCTGTGTCATCAGCAGGAGAGGACTCCGAGAGTGAAGGAGAGGAATTGGCAAGGCCTCCCTCTTCAGGACCCTCCTCTCCGGCAATGCCTTCGGTGTCCGCCAAAGGGCAAGAGATAGGGCCGGGGCCAAGCACGTCCACGCAGCCACAGATGGACAGTGATGAGGGTAATGAGTCTTGGCTGGATCCACGCCAGCGTCACAGAGATAAGCGCGCACAACAGAAGAAAAGGCGTGCCCGAGATTAGGCTGAGTCACTGGACCACACCCCACAGGATATAAAAGGGAGCGTGGTGGCCAGTCAAACCTTGTGACGAACAAAGCTGAAAGCTTCCACACCATTCTGCATTGCCAGACTTTTGGCTATAAGACTTTACTGGATTATCTCTGGACTTGATTTGACTCTGTAATTATTGAGCTGTTTCTTTTGATGTATCAGAAGTGGGGAGAAGTTATCTCTCCTCTTTGTAAATAATAAACTCTTGGCAGGCAGGTTGTTGCCAAGTTCCGTTATCATAAGGAAAAGGATTTTGCTGGCTGGTTTGGTCTTTAACTCTTGAACGTCTGTTGGTGTGTGTGCATGTGGTTGGGGACAGAACACCCTAAGCAGTGTTCTTTTTTATACAAAGTCAGCTTATTGCCCCCACAATCCAGGTCCTCATTTTACCTACCTCGGAAGGATGGAAGGCTGAGTCAACCTTGAGCCTGGTGAGATTTGAACTTGCAGTAATTGCAGGCAGCTGGCAGCTAAGTGCTACTTAAACAGCACTAAGTCCGCTGCGCCACCAAGGCTCCATATACATGTACATATACATCAAGTATATGAAGCTTTAATACATTTTCTTGTCTAGGTACATATACAAGGCAGTTCTTTTATTTAAGCGATCCTTAAATTTAGACCAATTGTTCCCTTTTGACAGCAATAAAAAAATTGCATAACTTTGGTGACATGGGTTCATTAAATGCTTACGTGCAGTACAGACCTATTTGTAAAAATTAAGCAATATTTAATGGACTTTGTGGCATTATGGTTTAATTAAAAAGGCTTCCACATCATCAAAGCATGTGCTATTAATTTTAATGTTCCGAAACCGACATTTATTAAAGCAAGTACAACAGGTCATTACATCTTAATAAAAAACACAACAATATTCCATAGTTTTGATGCATTCAGTTCATTTTGGAATTTTTACCAGAATTTAATATTTATGCCAGGAAATAATACCCCCCCTTTTTTTTTCATTGTTTAAACTTTGGATAGTCCAGTAAAACCTTTACAACATGCAACCTTTGCACAGCATATTCAATTGCATTATTCCTACAATATCACCCTATTTTTCATCTTCATGTACAGGATTCCTTTGCTTTATGCAAGGATTATATTCCCCTCAAAACCCCACATAAAGTGAATTTAAATAAAGTGAGACAATGAATCAGTAAAAAAAAAAATGTATGGATTACAAAATTTGACAGCATGGCGAACATCGTGTCAAATTTTTTAACCCAGTAAATTTTAGAGGCTTATTCTTAAGTATGACACTATTCAATCATGTTTTATCCTAGCCTTGTGTACTCGCCATCTTTATATAGCTAGATTGCTAATGTGTGCAGTTATTGTGACAGAGAGGTAGACTGCCTTGCTGTATTTCAACAGTTAGTAGCAGTCTTTGTGATGCTCCACACAGTAGATACAGCCAAGTTAAAAGCTCTTCCTCAAATACATTCAACTTTGTTAGACAGCTAGTTTGGTGTAGTACTGGGGTGTCAAACTCAAGGCCCACAGGCCAGATCCGGCCCACAGGGTTGCCCTGGAAACAGTGAAGGACTGACCCACGGTGCCTCCGCCAGCAAAAATGGAGCACAGGCCCTCCCAAGCTCCGTTTTCACTGGCAGAAGGTTACAGGAGGCCATCCTGGCCGGAAACGGAGCTCACCAGCCTTGTTGTGACTCTGACCCCCGAACCTGTCCTAACAGAGGGAGAGGACTCAGAAGGTGAAGGAGAGGATTTGGCAAGGCCTCCCTCTCCAGGACCCTCCTCTCTGGCAATGCCTCAGGTTTCCTCCGAAGGCCAAGAGATATGCCAGGAGCAAGGCACTTCGGAGCAGCCGCAGATAGAGAGCGAGGGGGATGAGTTTTGGCTGGATCCCAGACAGCGCCGGAAGGATAAGCACGCGCAGCAGAGAAAGAGGCTTGGGCGGGCCAGAGATTGAGCTGAGTCACTGGACCACACCCCACAAGGGATAAAAGGGGGTGTGTTGGCTATTCAGGCCTTGTGACGGACAAATTGAAAAGCTCGGAAATCATATCGTGTTTCTAGAACCCTGTTAGAATCTCTTTTTGGATTTCTTCGGACTGGACTTTGACAATTCTTTGCTTTGTGGAATTAATTTGGTATATCGGACTGAGGAGAAAAAAACCTCCCTTAGTGAGTAAAATCTCTTGGCAGGCAGTTCATGGTTCGCTGCCAAGTCTGTTATCTTAAAGAAATTCCTGACTGTTTGATTCATTAACTCCTAGCTGTCTGTTTGTGTGTGTGCGTGCGTGCGACAGGGACAGAACAAGCCTGTTTGTGGTGGCAGAATACTCCAGCCACCACAGGCGCCCCCAACATGAGTGATGCCAAGCTGGCCACGCCTACCCTGGCCATGCCAACTCCCCCGAGATCAAACACAACCCTGATGCATCCCTTAATGAAATTGAGTTTGACACCCCTGGTGTAGTAGCTAAATCACCAGGCTAGGAAACAGAAGACTATGAATTCTACCCCTGCCTTAGGCACTAAATCAACTTGGGTGACCTTGGGCCAGTCCCTCTCTCTCAGCCCTAGAAAGAAAGCAGTGACAAACCACTTCTGAAATTTTGCCAAAAAAAACCTGTGGGGACTTGTCCAAACATTCACCAGGAGTCAGCAATCATTCAAAGGCACAACAACAACAACAACATGTCCCACTTTGTTTCTAGGGTTGGGTAAAGGCTTAATACATTGGTGGCCATTTTGAATCCTTGGTAGCAATACTGTCAGCGTTCCAGAAAACGCTGGAGCTATTGCAAGCGTGGAAGCGAGTGAGAGACCAGAAGCACAAATGGAACAATCACACAACACAATGGTAAACGAGTGAAGTAAATAAAGTCTAAATAAATAAATTACTATTATTATTAAATGAAAAGTCAATTAAAAATAAGTAAAATAAATAAAAAGGTAAATAAAGTAAATGAATAAATAAAGTAAATGAGTGAGGGGCGAGAAGAAGATGACAATACACTGTTGACTAAGCACTTTTGTATAATAATGGAAAAAATGTATAAATTAAAAAAAAAATTAAAAGGAAGTGGTTTGTACCTGATGGCCTAAAAGGCAGTGTTTCTCAACCTTAGCAACTTTAAGATGAATAGACTTCAACTCCTGAAATGGGAGGGCTTGGGAAGTTTAAGTTACTCCACTTAAAATTGTTACAGCTAAGAAGCAAGCCTGGAGGCTAAGGATAGAAACATAAACGTGCTCTTGGAGCATTGAGCAGCAATCCAGTTTTGCAGCAAAAGAACGGTTCAACTTGTTTACGACGGCAGGAAGAAAAGAAGGCATGAGAAGGCATGCTGCTTTTTATCGTCAGGCCTTCTCTTTCCTGGACCACTACATTTTTTTGGAGTTCAGTCGCAAATAATATGCACGACTAGTCTTTAATTCCATAGATCAGCCTGTCTCTGTCTGTTGTGGCCCGTATGCGGCCTGTGCGGCTGGTGGCTGATTCGGACAGCAAGGAGGCAGGTATGGTGCTCTGCCAGCATACTCGAGTCAGACAATGAGGCTGGAGAAGATGTGGTGCCAGAGGCGGGGTTTCAGCCACGGCCTCAGAACCTCCAGAAGCTCCCTTAAGTAAAGAAGACGAAGAAGAGGAGCTTCTTCTCGATGCACGGGCACGCAAAACTGCCAAAAGGCAGGAGTGACTCCTCAGGAGGAGGTCTCCTCGAGAGTAAGGCTTGGGGCTAATTGGCCACTCCCTTAGCCTATTTAAGGAGGAACGCCAACTGAAGCAATTTGTAAGGAACAACTTCGTTCATTCTCCTTCGTGCCTTGATCTTAGTTCTCTGCAAATTGCTTCTGGGCTTTCTGCCAACCATAGTAAGATTAAGATTATTTATTCTTTGGATTCTTGTAGGCTGTTAAGAAAGTTAATTAACAGCCTTTGTTTGAAAAAAAAACTGATTTAATTTAGTAAACTAAGGTTTGTACAGACTTTGTGTGTGCTGCGTTCTTTGGGGTCCGTAGCTGGGGCAGAACACTGCCTCTCTACAAGGTCTCTTCCCTCACCCAGGAATAACACCTTTTAAATCTAGCCCTTGGAGCATGACAAATAGACAGCCAACTGCTGAGGTAGCTGGAAGTGAAGGAAATTGAAGAAGAGCACAAAGTGACTACCAAAACATCAATAGCTCCCCCCCCCAATGTGCAGCCTCAGCAGCGTGTCTGATAGCAATAAATCAAACAGATGCCAAGAAACTAATAACAGCAGCTGATGGATATCACAGGATCCGAATCTGAAAATATAAAATGCCTGCTCTCCTGAAGACAGATTTATCGCTTGCTTTGCAATTATATCCGTTTATTACATTGCTTTCACTGGCGAGCACATCGGATCACACGGTGCAGCCGCTCATTTCTTATGAATTTAGCCAAGGATGGAGACTGCCTCAGGAAATTAAAAAAAGAAAAAAAAAAGAAAGAAACCAATAACGTTATTCATCAACTTGCCGAACGCAGATCCTATTGTCCTGTGTCTGGGGATAAAAGACAGCGATACCGTTTAGTCATAAGAGCAAGGTAAGCATTTTGAATGACAGCTTGATTGCCCTGCAAAAAATATTTCCACTTAGGACAGATGGATTATCGTTGGGATATGGGATACCATATTGGGTTGCCAAAAATCTGAAAGGCTGCAAATCCTTGAGAGTTTTGTAGCCCAGATAGGGCCTCGGCCTGGTCGGTTTTAATTTGGAATGTGAAATTACAATCTCTTCTTCAACTCGGATGACTTATAAATTCACCTAGAGAAAGAACCAATCAGAAAATGGCTTTCCAGAATTCCAGTGACATGGTCCAATGCAGTGGTGGGTTTCTACCGGTTCGCCCTGGTTTAGGTGAACCGGTAGCGGCGGCGGGAGGCTCCGCCCACCTGCCCGAATGTCATTATGGATGCTCTGCGCATATGCAAAAGGTTTTGAGCATGTGCAGAAGTGCCATGCACGAGAAAAGCGAGCACGCACACACGCATGCTCACAGTTCCGAACCAGTAGCGAAGGTAAGTGAATGGCTAATTAGTTCTGTTATATCCACAAGAAATTGTTTGGTTCCAGCTCAGTTCCACAGGAACTGCCAGGAAGTGAGCTACAGTATGAAGCAGATCGTTTGCACCCCTGAAGATTCTGGCAAAATATCAGGATGCCAGATAATTAGACCATGGCACAACAGCCTGGAAGATCATCACCATTCAATATAATCCTATGGTAACATCCATAGAATTGCAGGCTTGATACAGATTCAAAACCTGTTAAGGATCAGAGCACGGAATAGAATAATTAACATCTGAAAACATAAGGTTGTGCACTATGTCAGATCAGAGCACTGGTGTTGCCACGGCTCCCAAAAGATGAATGCAAATGCATTTTCTGATCCACTACCTGATTGTTTGAAAGAGTGGTATCCATTCAATCTGGGACCTGCTATTTGTAGATGACTGCAGAACTGTGCTAGAGTTTTATAGGGCCTGAACTAACAATGATGATGCGGTATGTGTCTGCTCTCTACAAGATCCCATGTATATATGGACCTGGTGAACAAAATTGCAGAATTAGGAACTTCATCCACAGGAATTGGATGGGAGAGCCTTGATTTGCCATAACTGAAGGCAAATTATCCCCATAAAGTGCATCGAGAGATGGTGGGTATCACAAAAGTTAAGATGGCAGACCATCTTGACTTTTTTGACTGACCTCTGCTTCTAGGTGCTTTGAATTTTAGACACTTTTGCAACTCCAGTTTCTTTCCACATTGCAAAGTAGATTGTCATGCCTACAAGAATTGTCTTCCCTGAGTTTCTTATTTCAATTGGTGCTATGTATGAACTCTAAATGTTTTGCCACTGGGTTATTCGTTTTGATGAATGCCTGCCCACTGAATAGGATTTACATCTATTGCAATCAGAGATGTGCTAGCTAAGAGCTAGGGAAAGGTAGACTCCCTGCTCTCCTCCCCAAAAATCAAAATGGAATGGACCTTGGAGATCTTCTAGTCCAACCTCTGCCAAGGCAAGAATCCTTATTTCATCCTGGACAAATAATTGTCCAATCTTTTCTTGAAAATATCTAGAGACGGAGTACCCACAACTCCAGGAGGAAATTGTCTGGTAGCTCTACGGTAGGTTTTTGTTAACAATGCTAGTTAAGAAATTGTCATAAGAAGCTCTTCATTAATATTTCTTCCAAAATTCTCAACTACATAGAAAATGATTTTATTTCATCCACCAATTATTTTTCTTTGACTGCAAGAATGCCTTCATGAACTCTGGCTGGGATTTTTTATGATCATGCATGTTTCTTGGAAGCAATACTAACGTCCACAGCCATTGTCTTCTTCCATATTTTATATATATATGGATTTTATTTTGATAAATGATACTAAGAATACAGGCAGGCTTAAAGATGAAACGAGCTCCCAGTGTCAGAGTTCCAAGTAACACCCCCAACAAAAGAAAAGTCCGAGACTTGGATTTCCTCAGTTACTTTTTATTAGAGATGTCATATTGGCACATCTGGGAAAAGCCGAATCTAAAAGTTTCCAGGTTTTCCCCACCCAAGTGAAAGTTCAAGTCCCTGCCCAGCACCCATATGTCCATCACATGGTCCAATCATCCACAATCCAAACTGGAGACCCCTCCCGATCATCCGACTCCAGGTGCCAGGGCAATGCGTCCTTTACTCTGAGCAAGGAATGTTATTTTGACTACAGACTACATATCACCCATACTCTACACAATCCCCCCTCCCATTTTCCCACAGAAGATGATGTGGCAGGCCTGAAGGCCGAAACATAAAAGATGGCTTCCAGGTCTGACACCCAGTTCCTATTCAACTGCAAATTATATAAGTGTATTCCATTTTTCATCAGATCATAGATTCATATTTAAACAGAGGTCTACCCCATTTGAGAAGTTGTAGCTCCACCCAGCCCTATAGTGATGTGTTCTCAATGATTGTCTGTGATTGCAAGAATCATGAAGCTGATTGCAGTTCCTCAGCAAGTAATGATATTCTTTCCCCCCTCTTAAAAGAGGATTTTCTGTTACCCCTTCAAAACCCTGACATTTGCATTTCACAAAAAAAGGGTAGCTTCTGCTTTCCTCATGTCATGATTCTAAACTGATAAGATGTCCACCTTACTGCCTGAATAATTTGAACAACCAGTTTATTGAATTCTGAACAATATACAACATGAACATCAATGGAAGAATAAAGAATAAAATACATTTAACTGAAACATAAACTTCACCTTAAGAGTTGATACTGTACAAGATTAGTAATTCTTCAGTTTCTGAAGTGGGATGTACTTTTGTTTCTATGATATTAGTGACATCCAAATACATAATATTTACAAGGTATCATTTAAAAAAAAAAAAGGCAAGTCACATTCATTTATTATTTACTAAATGCTGGCAGTGAGAGAACCAAGGGACAGAAGAAAAGAAAATATCTGAAAATATGTCAGCATAATTATCTTTTTATTAAAATCACCATGAGGTGCAGGAAATTCAGGCCATTTTCATTACATTCCATTCATTTTAATTTCCATTTTCATAAATTGTGGGTGTCCATCACTGGAAGTTTTTAAGAAGAGATTAAACAGCCATTTGTCTGAAATGGTATAGGAGAGCTCCTGTTTGAGCAGGGAGTGGATTAGAAGTCCTCCAAGGTCCTTTCCAACTTTATTATTCTGTAATACAGTATTTCGTGTGGCAAAGTCCTGATTAGCAGTGGAGAACCTCAAGCTTGTAGCTATTTTTACGTGCAGTAAAAATACGTGTAACTCTAACATGGTGTGTATTTTGACCCTGGATATTAAGAACAGCAAGGTAAGTATACGATTTTGCTGGGGTGAAGGATGTAAAGAATTAGATGAAATGTTTCTTAGAAAAGGTGGACTTTGAAGAGGGATATGGAGATAGTATTACCAATATCATTTGGAAGGTTTCGCAAGCAACAGGATATAGCAAGACAAATAAAAAGAGACATAATACGAATGGGAATGACAGACCTGAAGGGCTAAAATCTGTGAATTCATTTCTATAGGATGGAATATAGCTGGAAATAGAAATTAGAAATAAAGAATGTTAAGGTGACAGCAGATAATTTTCTTAATGGTTCTACAATTATAGGAAACAAATTTTGTTAAGGATACAGTTTTGAAAACAGGACTAAATGCACCGACATATTATCCATGCAATGAATGAATCTAGTTCAGAAACTACAATGTTTCACATTATAATTTATATAAGAATAATATTACTGTACAAAATTTAAAATACTATACATAACTGCACAAGTTATACATATTTCTGAAGCCACACACATTTCAAAAATTGTTCAGAAGCGGTGCTTCAAACTTTGCATAAACCCAGCACCTCTCTGCTATTCATTACAGCAGCCTGCTTTTTTCCCCCCCTTCAGGCATACATCCGAGCTTGAAAAATGCTGCTGCTACTTTAAGAACCCAATTCTACATGCAAGTTTTAAAAGAGCTACATATTTTCTCTAGTTCAGAGATCACCAACTGGTGGTCCATGGATCACTGGTGGTCCACAAGAAAATTTTGATGGTCCACAGAAAAATTATTTGCATTTTTTATATTGCACTAAATCAGGGGTTCTCAGACTACAGCCCCTGAGACAGATATGTGCAATGAATGTTTGTGTTGCTGCAGAGAGTCTCCCCCTCTGGGGTCTTTTTGTGCAGGTCAGAGGGGGGGGAGAAATTCTGACTTGGGGTGTGCTTCAGCCTCCTGATGCAGGGCTTTGGGCGAAGGCTGGAGGGAAGTGCCGCTGGTGGCAAAGAGAAGAGGGCCTTGTTCCAGTGGGACTGCATCATGGCCTGGAACTGGCTGACCATCTCAGCCCGCTGAGCCTCCAGGTGCTGGTACCTGGCCTTGCACTCCCACAGGTCTTTCCTCTGCTTGGAAAGCCTATGCTCCTAGTCCTCAGTGAGGTGCTTCTGCTGAGCCTCCTTCTTGATCAGATCCAATTTGAACTGAGCCAGCTGTTTTGCCAACTCTTTCTCATGGTGGCTGCTTAGCTCCAACAACTGCTTCCTGTTGGGGCCCTAAGGAGCCCAGGTGGCGAGGAGTGGCTGGGAGGGGAGGGGCAAGTAGAGGCTGGCGAGGAGTGGCTGGGAGGGGAGGGGAGGGGCAAGTAGAGGCTGACGAGGCAGCTCTTGACGCGAGTGACATCTAGTTGGCCACGCCCACTGAGTCACATGACCACCTAGCCACACCCACACAGCTGGTCATTAGGCAGATCATATTAGTGATCCGCGGGATTTAAAATCATGAATTTAGTGGTCCCTGAAGTCCGAAAGGTTGGTGACCCCTGCTCTAGTTCACCTGAAAAAAGATGGACAGCTGCATGGTTTCCTTACATACGTTGCACACACGTTCTGAAGCAGCTCTTTTGAAACATTTGCAGAGTAGGTACCACCCTAACATAAAGTATATATATATATGAAGGGACATAAATACAAATAAGCAGCCACTCTATGATAAACATATACAAAAATATTGAAACAGTGAAAACCACATTCAACACGTTTCATCCTTCATACATATTTGATGTTCTGCTTCATATTTCATAATTTCTAAACTTCCGCAGAAGTTCAGATGGAGTGTCACCTGACCAACGGAAGCGCAAGTGCCAGCAATTTGGATCTGAAAAATCATGTAAGGAAAAGAAAATGAATTATTCATAAGACTAGAAATAATGTGACAGTTAAGAGGATTTGTGCATACAATTACATTTTGTAAGTGGGTTTGTGACGGTGGTGGTATTCCACATTGTAGAACGTGCTATAATCAGATTTACCTGGCGAATCTGGGCTTTTTGGTGACAACGGTTTCCCATCAAAGATTTGAAAATCCTCCATTTCCTTTCTATCATTGAATAAATCATCCCCGTTGATTTCTGTCTTCAGTGAAAAATTATCAGCCATCTTGTCGTTACGATTTGAATCGGGAGCATCCAACATTGGCTCTTTTTTATCTCTGACAGCCCAATGCATTGACTAGAACAAGAAAAAATCTTTTTTAATATAATTTAATTGCCAAAATAAGGATCTAGTACAAAACAAGCATATTCACACACAGTAAATGAGAAGAAAAGTTTCAGGATGATATTGTAGTTTAACTTAATAGTATTATACGGGTTTATATCTCTGCCAACCCCTTAAATTTTAGTTATTCTTATAGCACTGTATTTAGATTTGACAACTGACACAATGGGATGGCTTTAATTTTCTTAGTCAATGACTGAAATAAATGATGATGATGATATTGGTAATTTCCAGTGGTACTTTGAGGAATGAATGTTGTGTGTATTTGTGTATGTTTGTAGATAAAGAACTCAAGGGAATACTTAATAAATTGTTTTGTTTACTTGACAAAATCAATTGATTGTGGTAGAGATAGTCGTAGTGATAATGGTAGTGATAGTGGTTGTAGTAATTTTCAAGCAGAGCTTAATTAAGAAAAAGTTATTCTTAGTTTTCACATAGAGGGAAGGAATATTTTTACTATCACAGGCCAGTTTTGCCTTATAGGTTTGTTGCAAAGTCAACGACCCCTTTTGCACACAGGATTGTTCTTCTGTTGGGAAAGGACAGTCGTCTATTCATGGTGGAATCCAGAGCCGAGGTGGCGCGGTGGTTAGATTGCAGTACTTGCAGGCGACTTCAGCTGACTGCTAGCTGCAGTTCAACAGATCGAATCTCACCGGCTCAAGGTTGACTCAGCCTTCCATCCTTCTGAGGTGGGTAAAATGAGGACCCAGATTGTTGGAGGCAATACGCTGACTCAGTAAACCACTTAGAGAGGGCTGAATGACTTCTTGCAAGCAGAAGGTTCCATCCATCTGGCCCCACAGGAAGGCTGAAAAGGGCACCACACAGGTCTTGAAGAATTCCTGCCATCTGATTTTTTCAATTACGGTTCCCTTAAGTCTCAGACATCATGGTCAATAGATTATTAAAGTTGTTGTGCAAAATGACTGTGAGGGTCCTTGGGTGCTCCCTGAGCAGGTTATTTTCTTGCAGATGTTTAATTACCAAACTAGGCAACATCATCAGAGCCTCAGTGGTGCAGCAGACTAAGTGCTGTTAATTTTTTTTTAAATTTGATTTATATGCCGCCCTTCTCCAGAGACTCAGGGCGACTTACAATGCATTAAGCAATAGCCTTCATACTTTTGTATATTTTTACAAAGTCAGCTTATTGCCCCCACAAACTGGGTCCTCATTTCACCTACCTTAGAAAGGATGGAAGGCTGAGTCAACCTTGAGCCTGGCAAGATTCAAATTTACTAATTGCAGACAGCTGGAGTTAAATTACAATGCATTAGTCTGCTGAGCTATCCAGGAAATGCTAGCACTTAGCTGCCAGTTGCCTGCAATTAGTGCGAGTTCAAATCTCACCAGGCTCAAGGTTGACTCAGCCTTCCATTCTTTCGAGGTAGGTAAATTGAGGAGCCGGATTGTGGGGGCAATAAGCCAGCTTTGTATAGAACAACACCGCTTGGTGGGGGCGAAAACCCTAATAAGCAGGTATATACATAAAAGTATGCAGGCTATTGCTATAATGCATTGTAAGCCACCCTGAGTCTACGGAGAAGGGCGGCATATAAATTGGACTAATAAATAAATAAATAAATAAATAAATAAATAAGTAAATAAGTAAATAAGTAAATCAGTGCATTGATGTTACCTAGTTTGCTAATGAAACATCTGCAAGAAAACCACCAAGCTCAGAGAACACCAAGGACCCTACAGTTCAGTCCAGAGCTACAGATATTCTCTTCTGTCAAAATGCTGGTTTATTGTATAGGAAATACATAAATAAAAATCTGATTTGGCGTAAGGTGATGCATAATACCCCTCTGCTGGAAATTCATTTTCCTTTTAAATTAGATGAGTTGTCTTTGTGTCCTCAGCATATTTTGAATCCCTGTCATCAGAATTTGTATATTTATCATCATCATTTATATATTTATTCGGAACATTTACTGTATTTTTTGGACGATAAGATGCACTTTCCCCTCCCCCACCAAAAAAGTGGGTGGAAATATCTGTGCGTCTTATAGGGCGAATGTTGCCGAAGCCCTGCCCACCTACCAGACCCCACCCTTCGGCCTCTGCCACCTATCGCCACCTATCCCTGCCACCTGGAACGGGCTGAAAATGGGACGAGCGGAGGCCAAAAATGGGGCATGTGGAGGCCGAAAATGGGGCGCACGGAGGCGGTGATAGGTGGCAGTGGCGATGGGCAGCAACAGCACCAATGGGCAATGGCGATCCCCGCAGCCTGGAACAGCTGATAGACGGTATTCTGGGAGGCAAATCCAACCACCAATCAGCTGCTCGTGCTAAATCAGGCTGTGCTTGAAGCTGGCCAGGCTGTTTGCTGTTTGCTGCAAGGAGGCAAACTGCTGGGAGGCAAAAGCAGAGGCAGATTTTTTTTCTTCTTCTTTTCTTCTTGTTTTCCTCCTCAAAAGCTAGGTGCATCTTATAGTCCCGAGTGTCTTATAGTCCAAAAAATACGGGTATATGGCTGCCCAATTCAAACTAATGTGATTCTGGGTAACATACAAAAAAGAAAAATAAAAAAATCAAACCAACCAATACAGATCATTAAAGCCTTCTTTAAAAAAATAAAATAAAATGGGGACCAGAGTGAGATACATTATAACTCCTCATATTGGGAATTTATCCTGACCCAAAGGCCTTTAGAAAAAGACAGGTCTATACCGCCTTTCTAAACATCTGCAGGATCAGGGCCAACTGTATCTCAGAGAGAAGTTCCAAAAGGCAGGGCCCACCACCGAGAAGGCAGGACATTATTTTGAGGAGGGGAAACAGAGCATGCTCTCCTTGTTGGGGCGTATGGGATAGGCAGATACCAGTGGTGGGATTCAAAATTATTTATGACCGGTTCTGTGGGCGTGGCTTGGTGGGCATGGCATGGCATGGCATGGTGGGCGTGGCTTGGTGGGCGTGGCAGGGGAAGGATATTGTAAAATCTCCATTCCCTCCCCACTCCAGGAGAAGGTTACTGCAAAATCACCATTTCCTCCTGATCAGCTGGGACTCGGGAGGCAGAGAATAGATGGGGCGGGGCCAGTAAGAAGTGGAATTTACCGGTTCTCCGAACTACTCAAAATTTCCACTACCAGTTCTCCAGAACTGGTCAGAACCTGCTGAATACCATCTCTGGCAGATACCCTTGGAAGCAAGTGGTTCCACAAATAACCTGATCCTATCCCAGGTAAGATATTAGAAGTGATAATCAGCTTCTTGAGTTGTACCAGGAGTAGTGGAGAACAAAAAATACCCATAACTCTGCCACCCAGCTTTCCCGCCCACAAATGGGTATAACGGTTCATTTCTCCAAAATATGTGGCTGCACAAGACAAAACTAACTGTTTTCATTGAGTTGCTCAGGGCTTCCCACTGCTGGAATGGGATAGCAATTTTGCTCCTTCGCCAGTAATCATAACGGGCTCGGCTGTCTTCATTAGAAAGAATCTCTTTTGCATGTTGTAACTTCTGAAAATTCTCCACTATAAAACAGAAATGGAAGGGCATTTTATAAAAGAAAGCATTCATAACTTTTTCTCGCATGCGCAGAAGTGTCACGCACGTGCGTGCACATGAGCAAAACAGTAGCAAACTAAATTGAAACCCACTACTGGGTACAGGGTCTTCTGCTTGAGCAGGGGGTTGGACTAAATGACCTCCAAGGTCCCTTCCAGCTCTGTTATTCTGTTATTCAGGCTAAGTCCTAATGTCATGCCTACCAATTAGCGTAGAACAGACCTGGCTCCTGGGGCCACATCTGGCTCTTTGGGTTGTCCCTGTTTGGGCCTCATAGATTGCTTTTACTTTGAAGGTGACTGCTTTTTTTTTCAATTTACATATGTGTGTGCATGTCTGCATGCCTACACATCTTCACAACCCTATTGATTCAGCCCTCCTCAACAGTCCCAGCTTCTCATGTGGCTCACTGAGAAAATTAATTGCCCGCCCCAGTCTAGAATGTTGCTGGGTATTCTTTTGCTACCATCAGAGAAGATAAATCATTCTCTTTTGGTTTCATGACACTTAGGAGTTTCAGTCTGGTATGTGGCGGTTCAGGTGAACAAGCCAGTGACTATGAATTCTAGGCCTCTCTTAGGCCCCAAAATCAGGCTGGGTAACTTTGGGCCAGTCACTATCTCTCAGGCCAGCTTCCTCACAGGGTTGTGTTCTTGTAGAGAAAATAGGCAGAGGGAATATTATGTACATTGCCGTGAGTTGTGCAAAAGAAAAGTGGGATATAAATGTAATGCAAAATAAACTGTAGGAGAAGCCAAGCTGTTATCTAAAATGCCCAGAAACACCAGGGTCGTCTTAACAGCATTATGGGCCCCAGGGAAAGCAGTGTACTGGGGCCCCTACAGCAACTATTCACAGGAATAAAAATGTAAATGGTCCATACAATTAGACATATATTTATTTTATTGGCACTTCTAACAAAATCAGCGTTGAAACATTAAAAACATGCTGTGCAGCAACAACTAATCAACATGATAATAAACGTTTGAACAATACACGAGGCTTGAAAAACTCAACATGCACACAGATTGCACATCAAATCCCTCAATGCTTTTATTATTTAGGAAAACAAGGCCTGGACTTTGCTGTAGTCCAAGCCACAAAAATTCAACGGGGTGGAGCTGAATTTCAAGATTTCAAATGGCTAAAAAAAAAAAAACCTCCCAAAAAGAAAAATCTCCAATGTTCATGTCAGATTACAGAAAATAAAAAGTTAATTCCCAGAGAAGCACTGGGAATTGCAGCTAAAGGATCATCACATGATTCAACAGTCATCTCCAATGCTGACTGGAGAACCTGTGGCCTGCCTAACCCACCTGGAGATGACTCAAATGTCCTCCTCTAGTCCTTTAATGACATCTACTATACCGGTGTTTCTCAACCTTGACCTCTTGAAGATGGGTGGATTTCATTTCCCAGAATTCCCCATCCAGCTTTGAAGTCCACCCATCTTCAAGAGGCCAAGGTCAATTACCAATCTGGTGGGTTGCATTATGGTGGTGAGCTCTTTGTATTTTCTCTCTAGGAGATTTAAATCTTTCTAGTCCTCCTCCTGATAACAGAAATAGCATCTCTAAAGATTATGAAAATGTGTGTTTTAGCTATGAGTCACCTTTCCGTTCAGAAAGGTGAGTCACCTTTCCGTTCAGAAAGGTGAGTCACCTTTCCGTTCAGAAAGGTGACTCAACAATGATTCTTCATTTATGCTGGTTTACTAAAACGGATATTTGTTTGGAAATACATGAAATTCAAATGCTAACAAGGGCTGACAAATACAAACATTGTAGAGATTGCTTTTCCGATTAAATTGCTTCTTACCATTTTGCAGGCTGAAAGTGCTTGTACAGGGAGCAATGCAGACAAAAGGAAGGTGGTAGCTTTTCTTTTTAGTGACGCAAATTTTGCAACATACACAGGAATCATGAATTATTTAATTGGGGGGGTTGAGGAAGCACGCACACCATTCGTTTTAATTAATGTGCAGTATTTTCCCTAGCTCTTATTTATCCACACATCCATGCTTCAGTTGCCTTTTGAAGAAAAAAAGCCCCTTTGAGACTGAGACAGTCTTGTGCATCTGCATCAATTTGTGTTAATGGAGAAAGAATTGGTTTTTTTTTTTAAAAAAGAGGAATAGCTTTGAAAGAAATTGAGATTAATGCGCAGGATAGGCTTTTTATAATGTTGCATTGGGCTTCCCCTGGGAGCTCAAGATGTGTGATTCATTTGGGATCAATTGACAGCAGGCATGTAATAGTTTCAGTGGCTTTTCACTTTCAAATAGCCCCCTTCCCAAGCTTTTATGCAATAAACAAGCAGGAAGAGGAACTCCTTTGCACAAATCACCATTTAGGCATTAGGTGATGACAACAAAATCACACCAGTGTATATCAAGGGCTCTCTAGCCAGCCTTGAGTCATCTGAAAACTATACTAACAGGAAATGTGCTTTCTCCGTTGCTGATCTTACCTCTGTTGGCTCTGTTTGTAACCATGGTAGTCCCCTAATTTCCCTCCCATGAAATGGGTGCATATGGCTGGGACTGGACAAAGTTGCTTTATATAATTAAGGAGCCCAGAAAAGTAAAATTTGTCACTACCTCCATTTCTTCCCCATCTATTTGCCAGGAATTGAGAGGGCCAGGAGCCATGGTCTTAGTTCTAATATTGGTAACCCAGCATTAATCCAGATCCAAACAGAGTCATGTCCCTAGTCATCATGATTAGATATCTATCCAGAGCCTCAAGGAAGGGGATCAGATCAATAAATAGACTAGGTCACAGCCTAGCAGGATCTAAGATTTGAACACTTGCAATTAAACAACAAGATGACCAACTTTATTTTAGACAGGATACCCAAATCTGCATGACGAGGGAATTACACGTTTGAATATCATTCCCTTTTTCTGGTTCACTGGGTGCTACTGAGGATGCTTGCTTTGCTCAAGAGCATCCACTTCCACCCCATGATGGTTTACAGAAAGAAAAAGAGAGACATACCAGCCTGAGGGTTTCCGGGATGCTTGTCGGGATGACATTCAAGTGCTTTAACTTTAAACTCTGCAACAATTTGTTCAACCTATGCAAAAACAGCCAAAACAATTCATGAAAGTTGGGTCTTTTTAATGTTTTTCTTTTTCTGAGCATCTTTTAAGAATTGCTCACATCCTCACTGCATGCAAGGGAAGGGCGAGAAAGTAAAATACTAGCATACCATTATATATGTGAAAATTATGGACTTCTATGATTACAGAAATCTATCTATTTAAGACTATGATTTACAGGTAGTCCTCAATTTACAACCAATCGTTTAATGACCGTTTGAAGTTACAATGGCACTGAAAAAAGTAATTGAGGATTGGTCCTCATACTTACGACAGCCGCAGCATCCCCACAGTCCCCTGATCAAAATTCAGGTTATCACCATTCAAACCTTCCCAGCCAGCTTCCAACAAGTAAAGTCACAGCCGTCTGATTCACTTAACAACCATGTATCAAATGTACAAGTCTCAAAACCTCCACTCCCAACAGACTAAAGAGCATTAAGGTGAGGACTAAAAGAGTTATTTCTATGCTAAAAACTGGAGCTACCAGTTTTTAGCATCCTCACTACCTAGTAAAGTATGGAATTTAGCTTAGAGTTGACATACTCTTCATTTTACAGCAGTGGCCAAAATTGTGGAAACCTTTTGGGGGAAAAGTGTATTTTCTAAAACTAGCTAATAACACCACTTTTTGGGGGGAGAGTAGTGCCATAAAATTATATATCAATGGAAAGATAATTTAATCAAGAATATAATGCAATAATTTCTATGAAGGATTTGCTATTAGAATAGCAGTTACAGTATAAAGAAGAAAAGTGAAAGACATAGAAAAACGAGATATACAAAAATTATCACCATGTCAGTTAATACTTAGTTGGGTAACCTTTAGTGTGAATTACGGCCTTACAACGTCTTCTCATGGAGTGAACCAAGTCTTTTAGTTCTGCCACTGTTATAATGTGAAACCAAGATTGAATGATTGCTTCTATTAACTGGGTTTTATTGCTGGGTCGCTTCTGACTAACAAGTTCCTTTAGTCAGCTCCATAGATTTTCAATTGGATTATGGTCTGGGCTATTCCCAGGCCATTCCAGTAGTGCAATATTATTATCTTGAAACTCTAAAAAAAAGTGGTGCTATTAGCTATCAAACCTCAAAAATACACTTTTCCCAAAAGGTTTCCACAATTTTGGCTACTACTGTAATTCAAAGATTTGAGTGAAGATCAGAATTCCCAGTAAAAAATGTGCTGCCTAAAATAGGTATGTAGTAGCAGATCACCACTTAAATGTAATATTAAAAATGTGAATCCAAACGTTACATGTCTCCTTCATTATACTTGGTTTTAATTAGTTTAATATGAATTTTAAATCGTCATACTGAAAATAACAAAAGTACATTGTATTATTCTGTTTTCAGAAAATATCCACATTTTAGCTTATAAAATCTGATTATACACTTGTGCAAATTAATCTAATTAAAATTAAATCTTTGATTAGCATCTGGGATCTTATATACCGGTACTTGTATTTGTGGAAAGTAAGGTAGTTCAAGTAGTTTCAGTTTAACATTCTTTGTAGCCAAATCAACTATTATTTATATTTCCTTTAAAAAATAAATAAATTTAGCAAATATTTGAAATACTTTTCTATACTTATAAAAAAACCAAATTGATACCTCATCAATTATTGACTCGGTGCAAATTAAAAAAAAAAACAGGTGAAAGCCAATAAAAGAGGCAACTTTTTGGCTACTCCATTATCATAGCAGGAAATCTAGAAACCTTAATTCAAAATCCACAGTTGAGATCACACATTTTTAAGGATCAAAATGTTTAACCTGGTTGCTGTTTAAGTCAACTGAAAAATATTTTTACTAGAGTAGCTAAAATTACATTCTTCTTAACCGTTTCCATCAACGATATTGACTAAAGCTTCAGGATCATAAAATGAATAGTGGACAAAGTACAAGCAACAGAAAATGTTACAACATAAGCTTTACTACGTACTACTCCACTCCAAAAATCACATACTTTCACCACAAGAGATTACACCATTCATTCAAGTAAACAGGTATTTCCACCTCCGGTAAGTGGTGATAACCTCAAAAAAGGGTCATTGCTCAGTAGTAGAACTGCTGATAAATATTTTTGGTTCAATTTTTGGCATCTGCAGTCTGAAATTCAGTCATGGCTAGTCACTGAGAGGAGCAATGGTATAAAGAAGTGCTCTAGAGTTGCATTATAAAAGGGAACATTTTTAAAAAACATTCTAAGGGCCCTGATCATTACTATTTCATTGGAAAAACCATTTTCCAATGAAAATGGTTTTTCCAAATTTTAACAAATTTTACAATTGCTGACAAATTTTGGGAACATCAACCTTTAGCACAGCACAGTCTTATTTGCTCATAACTGAAGGGTGTTTATCACATATAATGAACTGTGAACATTTTGTAATGTATCCAAGATTTTAGACATTCTTAAAAGTCTAAAAGATTTGTCAATATTCCACAATTCACTTCCTATGAAAGATTCACCATAGCAGATAATTACTCTGTTGCCCCCTTACTTGACAAGCATCGTAGGAGTTATTTTCTAAACAACATCCTTTTACCTTGTGTTGCGTTATGAATAGCTTTCTAGAAATCCACAAGTTTTCTTTGCAGACTACTTCACATTTACACGACACAATGGTTCAACTATATATATAAACAATGCAGAATTCAAGAGAAACTTTTCCAGCAGTATTACAGAAGATGGCGAAAGAAAAAGATTAAACAGATTAATGACTATAATAGGTACAGGTTTGAGGACATTATAGAAAACCGAGAAACAGTCAACACTCTTCTTATACACACAGTTCAAATTCAACCAATTGACAAAGGTGGAAAGAGAATACGGTATATAAATTTAAAAGTTATCTTACTGTAGATAATTCATCACATCCCAGCAAGCTATAATAATCTTCCATATCCTCCAGCCTGCAGCTGAATATTGCATCCATTTTTTTTAACACACTCTGCTTTCTCAGAATCAGGGAGTCTAAACAGCCAAGGTTTATTTAAAATATTTACACGAGAATCCACAGATGTAACAGTGATGCTAAAGCTCAACTACAGTTGGCTTTATACACTGAACAAATGTCATCTGAGACTCTAAAGTTACACCCCTGAATAAGCTTGCTTTTATTGGTGAAAACAAAGGACAAACTGCAGCTGCAAAGCTTCATGGGAGAGGTAGTTTTCCATGTCATATTAAAGTAATCCAGCTATTTCCAAGGATTTTCAATGAGTGGAGGTGGGATTCTTCAGAGTTGGTTTTTATGTATATATGAATGATTATGTATTTTATGTGGCACATTTGTAACTGAATAAAGTACTCTCTTCAATAATGCATTGCAACTAAAGTTATTAAAACTAAATATACAAGGCTTTTATTATTAACAATAAGAAATTGAACTTGTCCTTGATTTTCTTCAGTAATTCTAGCTTCACACTTGGTTGCAAAAGCTTCCGTAATTTAATATTTCTTATTTTCCAGGTAGGCTCTCTCCACTTTGACGTGTTTATGACTGCGCTATTAAATTGAATATACAAGAATTGTTCCAAAAGATAATGACTTGGTTCACAAAGAGCACCAAAGCAGAGGTTTGTGAACTGTAGCCTATCATTTAAGACACTGCGTGTGGCATGCACCAAGCCTGTGGTGATTTATTCAATAAACTACAAATAAAGGAACCATAACTCAGTATGAACTCCATTACTTGCTTCCCATTTATGTAGCCTTTATAATAAATTCACCTAACATACAAGTGAGAGCCTTGAGGCAGTCCGATTTAATCACCGTTAAGTCAATGAATAAATGGAATTAACTAATTGTCTAGGAGTTAAATGGGTACAAATAATTCAGATAATGAGAGGAGGAAGCTAAGCCAATGAGAAAAAAGACTCACTATAAGTTGGGCAACCAATACATTTGATTATAAACCAGCCAGAGTGCATAAACTTCATACAAATATTTTGCTACAAATGCTCATATGGAACCAAAGTGATCCATTAACACAATAATTGCTTGACATGCATAATGTTCAATGATCTGATTTATGTAGTTGCATTATTGTGACATTTTTTATCCCCTCTGGTCACGTAAATATTTACAATTAATGCATTTTTATAAATACCATATTGTTTATGTATATGTATATACCGTACATATTTATATAGCATTTATATTTATGTGCATGCATGGATATGTGTGTGTGTGTGTGTGTGTGTATACCAAATTTGTATTTTGCTGATAAAGAAATAATATTTCTATATTTCAGCAAAATAGCTCTGGATAGCTCTGCAGACAAAGGCACTGTAATTTAACACCAGCTGTCTGCAATTAAAGTAAGTTCGAATCTCGCCAGGCTCAAGGTTGACTCAGCCTTCCATCCTTTCTAAGGTAGGTAAATTGAGGACCCAGTTTGTGGGGGCAATAAGTTGACTTTGTATAAAATATACAAAAGTATGAAGGCTATTGCTTAATGCACTGTAAGCCGCCCTGAGTCTCCGGAGAAGGGCGACTGCTTGAGGGCTCCTGGACTGGAGCTGAAAGGCGAAAGGGAAGCAGAATGCTCCCTCCCACATGTTGGGGTAGACCAGGTGCCTTGATAGAAAACCACTTTTTATATATATAGCAGAGGGAGGGGCTACTACCATAAAGGTGTGCTTCCAGGTACACGAGAGGCCACCTGATGAAGATGAGCTTGAGTTGTAGAAAGTGGCATTCCTCCAAAAGCTACGGTCACAGGTACTTTGTAAAATCTCCTCTTTAAACCAAAGTGCTTGACCAGTTCATATCAGCACTTTCTACTGAGGAAATTCAAGAGATGATCATGTAATTCTAGTCCCTAATCTTGTTGTGGTATCTTGTGGATTGAGGTAATCTAATCAAGAAGTCATCAAACTACTATAGCAATGCTATCTCTCTAAGATGGGCCATAGCTAGCACAGATGTGAAAAAGCATTTAATGCACCAAGGACATATAAGAGAGTTAATTTGCTCTAATGGTTAAGGCATCGGGCTAGAAACCAGACAACATGATTTCAAGTTCCACCTTAGACATGAAAGCTAGCTAGGTGACTTTGGGCCAGTCACTCTCTCTCAGCCCAACCCACCTCAAAAGGTTGTTGTGGGGAAATTAGGAGGAGGAAGATATGTTGAATATGTTCACTGCCTTGAGTTATTTTTTGTATTAATAATAATAAAGACAGGATACAAATTCAATAAATGTCTTCATAACTCAAAGAAAGAGCTTAATCTCATCATCTGATGCTGATGACATTTTATTCTACTATCTGAATGATAGTAGAATAAAGTGTTCATTTGTAGGGGAAATACAGATAGTCCCCGACTTAGGACCACAATTGAGCCCAGAATTCCCATTGCTAAGCAATACAGTCGTTAAGTGAGTTTTGCTCCATTTTACAAACTTTTTTTGCCACAGTTAAGTGAATCACGTCATTAAGTGAATCCAGCTTCCCCCATTGACTTTGTTCGTTGGAAGCCATCTGGAAAGGTGACAAATGATAATTACATGGCCCTGAGACAGTGCATTTGTTATAAATACATTCCAGCTGCCAAGCACTTGAATTTTGATCATGTGCCATGGGAATGCTGCAACGATTATAAGTGTAATAAAACAGTCATAAGTTACTTTTTTCAGTGCTATTGTAACTGAATAAATGGTTGTTATTTGAGGCCATGCAGAACCTAACCACATGAACATGATAAAATTGAGCAGAAATCCTTCTTGCTCAAGAGATGACCATTACAAAGGTGTGCCATCCCTCATCTAATTATTTTAAAACAATTTTTATTGAAAGTTTTGCAATGAACATAAAGAACTAACAAACTAATAACAAGAAAAAGCAGAAGCAAGAAAAGAAAAAGACAAAAGGCAGAAGTGCAGGAAAAAAGAAGGAAAAGAAATAAAAGCTGATTTCCTTTGCAGCAAATGTAAGTACAATTATAAAGTTATCTCTTACTCTATGATTACAAAATAAAAGTTGCTCTTTTCTATTATCCAGGTTTTAACCACAAATCGTAAATGCATTTTTTCCATTTTACAGTATGTAAAAAGTCTATAAGGGGGTCCCAGCCAATCATGGAGCCTTGGTGGCACAGCAGACTAAAGTGCTGCTAAGTAGCACTTAGTTGCCAGCTGCCTACAATTATTGCAAGTTCAAATTTCACCAGGCTCAAGGTAGACTCAGCCTTCCGTCCTTCCGAGGTAGGTAAAATGAGGACCCGGATTGTGGGGGCAATAAGCTGACTTTGTATAAAAAAGAACACCCCTGGGGGGGGGGGCGAAAGCCCTACTAAGCAGGTATATATAAAAGTATGAAGGCTATTGCTTAACACATTGTAAGCCGCCCTGAGTCTCTGGAGAAGAGTGTCATATAAAAATCGTACCAATAAATCATAAATATATTGTTTTTTTCTCTAAGCCAAAATAATAAATTTAGTCATCTTCGTAAATTCCATCATGTTCACCAATCATTCCTCCATTGTGGGTATTGCTGAACCTTTCTGCTTTTCAGACTATAGTAGCATCACTGAAGTTATCTTTTATAAAAAGAAAGTTCCTTGATTTTTGTCTAGCTGCTTAACCATTGATGCCAAAAATCTCTGGTTTCAATTATATTTTAATCTTTAAAATCTTTTGAATTAATGTATGTATATGTATGATGACAGAATCTTAATTTCCGCTCCACTAAACTGAAAACCCCCCCACCAAGTTTATTCTATTGCTGGTTTCAGATTCTAAACCAAGCTATGCGTAAGTAAACAGTGTTTCTTGCAACATTATATAAAATTCTGATGTTACCCCTGAGTGTGAAACATTATTACTGTTTATATAATGGATTTCACTGTAACAGAAGCATAGGAAAACACCTACAATGAGTATTTATTCTATGATTGTTCACATAGTTACAAATAATTACTTACAATTCTGTTTACCCAGTGGTTTTTACAACTTTAGGGTACTAGTATTACGTGAGTGATGATGAAATCTAATATTTGCAGTTCCACTTAGACATGGACAACATGTTTTGTACCATGTTTGTTGCAAAAAAAGAGATCACCCATGTTTAAAATTTATGCTCACAGGGCAGTATTTGCAAATTAAGTAATACCAAGCAGACTAATTTAATAGAAGTCAGAATGGACATATGTAGTTAGTATCTGTAAACAATCTTTTCTTATACTTAAATTAGAATAAGAAACTAAAACTTTGCTGGGTGTAACAGAATGCAATTTACTTCTGTCCCAACATAATGGAACCACTTCAGCTGTCTCGCTGAGGTAGTGCAGTGTGTAACCGCAGTAGCTGTGTAAGTGATGGAAGCAGAGTGGAATTGTAAATATTTGCACTGAAAACTGGAGAGCCAGTTTGGTTTAGTGGTTAAAGTTCTGGCCTAGAAATCAGGAGACTCCGAGTTCTTGTCCTGCTTTAGACAGGAAAACTGGATGGGTGACTTTGGAGCAGTCACTCTCTCTCAGCTGAATCCACCTCACAGGGTTGTTGTGGGGAAAATAGGAGGAGGAAGGAGCATTAGGTATGTTTGCTGCATTGACTTACTTATAAAATAATAAAGACGGGATAAAAATCTAATAAATTAAAATAAAAAATAAATAAGACAGGACACAGAAACCCCCCTTGTTGCTGTGTTTTAATTAAAGAGTTACTCAACACCATTCAAGGGACGTGGTGGCTCAGTGGCTAAGACTCTGAGCTTGTTTGTAATTGTAATTGTAATTTCTAATTCTAATTTCTAATTGATTCAAACATTTCTATAATAACAAAGTTGATCTAGTCAACTAAAACTTAAAATGAAAATTTAACCCACCCACCCCCATTTTGAGCCTAAATCTACAAGCAGTTTCCAGGTGAAAACAAAAGTAGATAGATCTTGTCTTTAATTAAAACAGTCAATTTTGCCATCTCCACTACCTTCACCATCCATTCTTTATTCCATTGTGGGAATTGACGTGTGTCTTCCCACCTTCCAGCCAGTTCTTTCATTGACTTTTAGTCTTTAGGGCATGGGTGGGCGACTGTGACCCCTTTTACTACCTGTGGATTTCAACTCCCAGAATTCCTGAGCCAGCATGACTTGTAGTTATGGGTACTCCTCTTTCAGCGACCACAACTGGGATGGCACCCTCAGTCCTTTAATGAAGTGGTCACTAAGTGAAACCTCAACTCTGTTTACTGTCTTATTCAGCTTTCCTCCCCAGAATCACAAAGGGGGCAAACATGCAGAATTGGTTGCAAAGTTACGTTTTCATCGTCTGCTGTCCAAAGGAAGTTTATAAAAGTCAGACTATTAAGTTCCTATATAATGATATGTATAATAATATATATAATACCTTAATAGTAACTTTTTATTGTATCTTTTTTATTCTCGATAAATGTATTTTATTCTCCTTATGTACACGGAGAGCATATACACTGAAGACAAATTCCTTGTGTGTCCAATTACACTTTGCCTATAAAGAATTCTATTCTATTCTATTCTATTCTATTCTATTCTATTCTATTCTATTCTATTCTATTCTATTCTATTCTATTCTATTCTATTGAGATGTGTTGTGCTTCTGTGGCAGAGGTATTCAACCTTGGCCACTTTAAGACTTGTGGACTTCAATTCCCAGAATTCCTCAGCCAGCAAAGCTGGCTGAGGAATTCTGGGAGTTGAAGTCCACAAGTCTTAAAGTGGCCGAGGTTGGAGACCCTTGCTCTATGGCATTTCAGATTCCCTCAGCCCTAAAATCTCCCAACGCAACGAATCATCATGTGGGGCTGACTCCCAAGGGCGTGTAAAATGTACTTTTTTTTTTTTTTTTACACAATGCTTGGTTTACCTCACGTCCTTCCCCCCCTCCCCCCCCCGGTCCCTCTTTAACAGCCCCCTTGGGGGGGGCCCCACACGAAGAAAAAGCCCCCCCTAGGAGGGTTTTAAAGGAGAAAAAAAAAAAAAAAAGTATGACAGGATTCAGTTTACGAGCGCGGGGCGGGGTGGGGGAGGCAGGGGAAAACCAAGCACGAGGCAACCCCCAGCGCAGCCACGCACAGAAAAAAAAAGGGGCGACTCGGCCAACGCTCAGAGCGCGGGAGGAGGCGTCACGTGACCGACGCCTCCGCAGCGAAGGCCTCTCCTTTCCCCCTCCGCTTGCTTTTTTTTTTTTTTTTTTTTATATATATATATATCATTTCAAACCTCGCTTCGTCATGTGACCCGTTTGTTGTTGTTGCGGTGCTACGCAGGGCTTCTGCCCGCGTGGGCGTCGGCCGAGGTCACGTGCTGCGTTTAAATCTCTCTCTCTCTCTCTCTCTCTGAGGTGGGGGTGGGGGCCGCTTCTATCTGCGGCGCCACTATGAGCGGCTGACGGAGAGGGGAGGGGGGGGGGGAAACAGGAGGAGGAGGGGGGGGAGGGAGCAGTTGCTCCTGCTCCAAGATGGCCGACGAGGAGATGCCACTCCTCCATTCCCGGAGCGGCGGCGGCCGCCGCGGCAACAACAACAACAACAACGGCGCCGCGGCGGCCGCTGACGCCGAGAGCCCCGAGCCCGCTCTCAAGCGTCAACGCCAGGCTACGGTTGAGCAGAGCTGCGCGGCCGCGGCGGGAGCCGGCGGAGAGGCGGACGCGGCGCCTCTGCCGGGAAGGGCTGTCGAAGAGGCCCTGAAGGGGGACAGGGCGGTCCCGGACGCCTGTGTCAGCGGCGAGCCGGCCGAAGGGGCCGCGCCGGCTGGGGCAGGAGAAAGCTGGAGCTGCGCGGAAAGCGGGGCCCGGTGGTGGGGCCTGGTCCGTGAGGAGCCGCCGTCGCCGCCGCACCAACGGCAGCTGCCGCGGGGGCAGAGCCAAAGGGAGGGCGCGGAGGCGGTGCCCGCCGGAGAACCAGCGGAGACGGCCATTGGCTGCGGGCCGGCGCAGTCTTCGAACGGCGCGGCTGAGGCGGAGAGGGCGCCGCAAACCGGTGAGAAGCCTCCGGGGGACTGAGGGCAGGGAGAGGCGGCCCGTCAGCCTTGACAGCGAGACCGCTTGGCTCCCGATAGGAGCTGCCTGCCCCCTCTTTAAAACTGGGGCCCGGCCGCTTCTCTTCAGGGGAGTCTTGTCTCCCTCCCGGCCCTTGACAGCTTTACTTTACTTTATTGTCATTGCACATGGTACATCGAAATTAAATGCCACCTTCAGCGTACATTATAACTATAAAAATAAAAACACGAACGTACATCCTTTACCTTCTATATAATTGAAATATTGCGCTATATATAGAATTCAATATGGTTATTGCCCTGGGATAGAAGCTGTTTTTCAGCCGATTTGTCCTTGTTTTTATTATCCTGTACAGTCTGCTGGATGGCAATAGTTCAAAAAAAAAAAAAAAAGGGTGACCGGGATGAGATGGATCTTTAAGAATATTTTGAACTTTCTTAAGGCAGCAAACTCTTCCAAAGAGGAGAAGGGGGCAACCAAAGATCCTCTGGGCAATGATGTTGATTGACCCTCTGGAGTGCTGTCCTATCTGCCACTGTGTAGTTGGCAAACCATACACAGGTGCAGTAAATTAAAATATTCTCTGTGGTGCAGGGGTAGAAGGCCACCAGCAGTTTTACTCAAAAGTAGTTCGGTTCTCCCCAAATCGGTGCCTCTCCTGCTTGTCTAGGCTTTCCTGTCGCTATCTGTAGAGCCACCTGCAATCCTGGGCTCTTCGGTCTTTTAACTCTTGATTTTCTTGTTTATGGTGCACGTGGTTGAAGAAGGAGTTTGTTCTCATTCTTGCAATTCAACCATTTTTTTAGTTGCATCCTTATGGCGATGCAATAATAATCTTCACTGGATTCACTGGATTCATTAGAATCCTAATGACGGATAGGACTTGAAGATTGCAAAGGAAAATGTTAGCTCTTTTTAGTGAGGCGGGAAGAAAATAACTAATCATTATAAAACTATTAGTGCCGAATGTGTGAAGTTCTGTAGGGCAAGTGTTTTTTATTAAAATTGGCTTAACTCTAAGATACTTAACTTGTACTAGGCAGATTGATCATTTTTCTCACTAACAAAATGGACATGCATAGACAGTAATTGTTTAATTTTGGACTGCAATGCTGTATGGATTTGTCAGAATATTAAATCAGTTCAGTATCACTTCTCTGTGTGTGTATATGTATGCACACGCTTGCGCACATGCACAAACACACAAGCATATAGGATATAGAACAATTGCTTCAGTATCCTGTCCTATAAATGTTTGCTTGAAAGCCATTGTATTACATAATTGGAATATATTTTTAAGCAAATACAAGATTGCAACCTTAGTGAGTTTAAACCTATGAGTCCATCTGAATAGGGATGACGTTGGAAGCAACTGATAGAGCTGTTTTTGAAATGAAGGAGAACATGTTTTTTTCTGAAAGCAAGAATTGTTGGGGTAGTTTAAAAGATTAAAAATATATTGACACCTTAAGATCGTTTTTGACAACACATGCTATAGAAATTATACACAGTAGTATAAAGCAGAAAAAACAATGTTCTAAATGAGTCTCAGGACTTATTTTTAACACTTGCAGTTTATATTGCAGATATTAATAATTGCATAAGTATATATATTGGAAAGTTGTTTCTCCTTGTGTCCTTGTATGTCTAATTGTAGAAATGTAAGCTGCACTTACAGTCTAAAGCTGTAGAAGATTTTAAGAGGGGTCATAAAAATATTTTTTAAAAACATGTTTTTTTCAACCACACGTTTTTCATTAATTGAAAATGCCAAAATTAAAACTAAAGTTATTATAGATTTGTTTCTATACAGAATAAAACTTATGTTTACTGATTTTTAACTACCCAATATTATTACTTAAACCATACCTCAAGAATATTTTTGCTTCCATATAGGTGTGCAAAACAATGTAGTGTATTACAAATATGATGGCACTACTTTTGTGCAATAACTTTATCATTGTTTTACAGATAATATATTTTTTAGTGATGAAATTATTGCAAATGGCTTCCATTCTTGTGACAGTGATGAAGATGATAGAACCTCTCATGCAAGTTCCAGTGATTGGACTCCAAGGCCACGGATAGGTAAAATTTAGTTGTTAATCTAAGGCAGTAGTTCTCAATTGTGACAGCTTTAAGATGTGTGTAGTTCAATTCTCAAAATTCCCCAGCCAGCCTCTTCTGGACTAAAATCACCTCAGTTCTTCCTTTATTTTCCTATCAACATTGAGGGCATTGCTTCTGAAATGTCTGTAATTTTCATTCCCCTGAGTTTAATAGCATTTAATCTTCACAGAAGCATGGAACTATAGTTTCCTCAGTGATTCTTTCTATGGCACTTTAAATCCATGATTAAAAGTTGTGGACAGAAATGTATAATGTACTTCGATCTTCGATTCTTTTTATAAATGAAGAAGCTTCTCAAATTGTTTCCCTCATCTGCTTTTTTACATACTTATTTTCATGTATACATATGAAAAGATGTCATACAGGTAGTCCTCAACTTATGACTGGTCACTTAGCAACCATTCAGTGTTATGACCTACCTGAGGCAAGCAAGTTGACCTGGTTCTGAAGTTCTGACAGTCTTCTCCCCTCAGGCAGTCACATTTTGGGTGCTCAGCAACACAGCTGCATATGGTCACATGATGCCTTTTACAGCAGTTTGGCAAAAGAAATTGTAATTTATTGTTGGTTATTGGCAAGAATAGTCATAGCAAACAATGCTTTGCATGATAACTGTGGTACTCATTTAATGACTACTGCATAAAAAAGATTGTAAAATAGTGTCAATCACATAACCAACCTGATTTATGATTGTCACAGGATAACAACTATAATAGGCAGGCTCCATTATGGTTATATGTCAAGGACTACCTGTAAATGGTCCCATCTACTTCTTTAAAAAAGTGTAAAAGTTGGTACTTTATTATGGCAATTTTATATTTTATTAAGGCAAAAATTTTTTGATCTTGTGGAAGTAATGAAGGGGTGTTATAGTTAAATTTGAGGAGATATACATACACAAATACACACAATATCAAAAGGACAACTGAGTGGGAGAAAATTGAAATCTTTCCATAGCAAGAATGATAGCACTTTGAATAAGATGATTCTGAGTGTTGCATGTTCCTGACTATACTGATAAGGTATTACCGTGTTTCCCAGAAAATAAGACCCTCTCTTATATTTTTTTGAACCCTGAAATATGCGCTTGGCCTTATTGCCATGTGCTCAAAAGTCCGATTGGGCTTATTATCGGGGGATGTCTTATTTTGTGGGAAACAAGGTAGTAGGTGAAGAAGCTTTAGGGTTGCCGAAATGGCAGTTACTCATAATATCGCTGCCTCTGTTTTTTATGACATGAGGTGCAATGTGTTTTCCTATTCAAAATACAGCAGAAGAAATTGTCTGCGCAATTTTCTCATTCATTTATTCTGTCAGAAACATCACAATTTAAAAGAAGTCATACTATATGACATAAAATTTTAAATATAAAATACAAGATTAAAATATGTAGAAGTTAAAAGCTTCCCTGAAAAATGTGTGCTGTTAACACATTTGGGCGTCTCCTGGGCAAATAGCATATAGCTTTCAAACCAAAAGTACCCGAAGTGTAGTGAGGTGCTCATATTCTGATTTTATTTTATGTATGTATGTATGTAATTTATATGCCGCCCTTCTCCCGAAGGACTCAGGGCGGCTTACAAGAAGGAGACAAAAAAATTACATAAACATCAAAGTCAATTTAAAATTAGTTAAAATTAAAAATTTAATTAAAATTATTAAAAATCACCCCTACGGATTCAGCCCATTTGGTGAAAAAGCCACGTCTTCAATTCGCGGCGGAAGGAGAGGAGGTCAGGGACTGTCCTGAGACTGGTGGGCAGCCCATTCCAGAGGGTCGGCGCTCCCACAGAGAACGCTCTCCCCCTGGGGGCCGCCAGCCGACATTGTCTGACTGACAGCACCCTGAGGAGGCCCGCTCTGTGTGACCGCACCGGACGATGGGAGGATGGCAGGAGATGATCCTGCAGGTACCCTGGGCCTAAGCCATGTAGGGCTTTATAGGTGAGCACCAGCACCTTGAAACGAACCCGAAGAACCACCGGTAGCCAGTGCAGCTCATGCAGGAGAGGTGTCACACAGGAGTACCAAGAAGCCCCCGTAACAACCTGCGCGGCTGCATTCTGGACTAACTGTAGCCTTCGGGTGCATCCCAAGGGCAGCCCCATGTAGAGGGCGTTAACAGTAGTCCAACCAAGACGTAACAAGGCCATGAGTGACCGTGGCAAGGGCATCTGATCTAGGAAAGGGCGCACCAGGCGTACCTGTGCGAAGGCCCCCCTGGTCACAGCCGTCAAATGATCTTCTAAAGATAGCCGTGAATCCAGGAGTACCCCCAGATTGCGGACCCTTTCTGAGGGAGTAAGGACCTCCCCTCCCATCACAAGTGACAGGGCCACTAGATCACGAGATGCCGATATCCACAGCCACTCAGTCTTGGATGGGTTGAGTCTGAGTCTGTTTCTTCCCATCCAGGCCCGTACAGCTTCCAGGCAGCGGGACATCACAGAAACGGCATCCCCAGGGTGATCTGGGGTGGAGATATAAAGCTGAGTGTCATCAGCATATTGGTGGTACCTCACCCCGAAACCACGAATGATCTCACCCAGCGGCTTCATATAGATGTTAAAGAGCAGATTTAATCTGTCTATACTCATAATTATTTTGTATTCATAATTATTTTATTTTCTGCAATAGGTCCATACACTTTTGTCCAACAACATCTCATGATAGGCACAGATCCACGTGCAATTCTGAAAGACCTATTACCAGAAACAATTCCTCCTCCTGAATTGGATAATATGACATTATGGCAAATTGTTGTTAATATTCTATCAGAACCACCTAAAAGAAAAAAGAGAAAAGATATTAATACTATAGAGGATGCAGTGAAACTCCTGCAAGAATGCAAAAAAATAATTGTATTGACTGGAGCTGGGGTATGTATTCACAAATAGAATATATCATAGTTTGATGTTTTAATATGCTCACTGAATATAAATGTTTTATATTCAATTGCAATTGAATGCAATTATGGGAATAATTGCTCTGTGCCATGTAATTCTTACCCCTGAGCAAATAGTTGTGATTGCACATATGAAACACTGCATCTTATGGTGCAATTCTCATTTTGTCATTTTGATAAAACAGTTAAACCCTGCAAATACTTAAGGTGCATATTTTACTTGCATGTACAATTTTATAAATTAAGTATTTTCCCCTCTTCTGAAAGCAATAATGGTGAAGCCAAAGCTATAATCATTTTTAGATAGGAAGAGGCAACTTTGGGCCCTTCAGATTTTTTTATTTCTTGCTGTTGGTTATGCTAATTGGGGCCAACTTCTGAAAAGCACCAAATTGGTAATAGTTTCTATAACTTTTTGAAATAGCAGCAACCCTTAGTGTTGTAGTTCAAATTATTTGTTGGTGACTCGCAAATAAGAAAAAGTGTACCACTATGATCTGAAAATAGTACTGTATATATTCTCATATAAGACCATCTATGGATATGCTTACCCTTAAATTTTTAATGAAAATACCATGAAAAATGTGTCATTTGTGGATGTCAACCCACATTTTTCATGGTTATTTTGGATAAAAGAAATTGATGGTCATATTATCAGCAGATGGGCTTATTCACAAGTATATTGAGAAATACGGTACTTTAAAAAATCTGTACAAATAAGCCCATGGACAGTTTGGGGGTGTATGTTGGCACCTGATATTCTCTGCTTATATATCTATGCTAGTTTTATTAGTCTGAGTTTCAGGAAACATGGCAGAGCATCATGCTTCTACTGCTAATAGAGTCAGGCTGCCTGTTTTCATTTTTGTGGAATGGTAATGACAGCAATAAAATAAAGCAAGTCTTAACATGCTTGATTCTCTTAGGTGCTCTGGCTACAGTTATATTAGCATTTCCTCACATGGTAATTTTTTTCATGTAGATGTAAAGAAATACACTGTTTCTTTTGCAGTTAGACTTTCCTCACATGTAGGGTTTTTTAAGTGTATGAGTGAGTATTTCACAGGTCATTCTTGATAAAAGAATCTTTGTTAATTGCAATAATATTAGCAACTATCAGCTATATATTCTATATTTTGCCATCCATTTCAGGTATCAGTTTCTTGTGGCATTCCTGACTTCCGATCAAGAGATGGTATATATGCCCGCCTAGCAGTTGATTTCCCAGATCTTCCTGATCCTCAAGCAATGTTTGACATAGAATACTTCAGAAAAGATCCAAGGCCATTTTTCAAATTTGCCAAGGTGCTAATTGTCTCTTTGATTTTTTTAATCTTTGGAAGATAATCATTTAAAAACTTCCAACAGACTTCGTACATCTAAATCTTTTTATTTGAACACCCCATTTAGGTCACATTGGGAAAGATCCAGTGAAGTTGTCCTGGTGAAATACTGTAGATCCACCAGCAAAATCGATTTTTCCCCTCATATATCTGCTTACATCATAAATCTGCCCTGGATGAGGAGGGGATTTGGAACAAACTTGAGACATAGAGAGGAGACAAAGGAGAGATGTACTAATTTGATACTGCACCTATTTATGGAGTGTATCTTACTATTTTCACAAACCAACGTATACCCAATCAACCTCAACTTGAGGTTCAGTTTGAATAAGGACAGTGATAGACTAAATTACTTAGATTTGGGAAACAGTGTAGGTTTTCTCCCCAGCATAATGCATGACTTAGAGGTCATCATTGAAGTTAGGTGATAGACGATTTAGGATATAATTGTGGTAGCAAGCTATTTATTTCATTAAATTTATTATTGCCACCTCCTCAGGCAGACCCTAGACTGCTTACAAAATATACTTTTAAAAAGACACAAAACAAATGGCCAGACTAAAAACAGTCATTAAAATAAAGCATGACAGCCCCCATCTTCAACATAATATTCCCTGGCTTGGTAACAAAGCTAGATTTTAAGGGCTTTTTGAAACCCTAGATGAGAGGCTGCAGTCTGTACCTGCAGAGATGCTGTAATAGCGATGGGAGGGGGTGCTATGACAGTAAAGACATATTTTCTAGATTGAATATGTCATTTTGCTGCAGAAATATTATTATATTAACATATATTAACATATTTAGTGCTCATATAGATGGTGCTCTGGACTATTTTGCCTTTAGCAAAGTAGATACAGCAGTTTTCTGTCCTTCCCAACCAACATTTATGCAATTTACAATGTTAAGGGCATGATGTTCTACAATTAAGTTGTATTGTTTAGTATATTCACAGGTCAGTAATATTTGTGGGGAGAATTCTGTTGTCTTTCAGTAATATTTCAAATATGTGAAATTACTTAAATAATAATTGAAATTCTGAGATTTGGATTATATATGTGGTATCTTATTATATCTACTCCGAAGTGAGCTCTATTAAATGTGCAAGATTGCTCTTTTAGTATTCTGTTCCCAATAACTATGGGAAGCTGCAGCAAGACATGATTTCCAAACTATGCTCCCCAACAATTCATTTCCCTTACCAAATAGTAGATATGTAACAGCAAGCAAAATTGCATTTGCTGCATTTTTCAATAGTAGTCTTTATTGTATATTGAAATTGTATATGTGGTGCCGTGTAACAATTGCAGAGATTATTGACAAAATCTTGTTTGCATTCTTTTGCAGGAAATATATCCTGGACAGTTTCAGCCATCTCTTTGTCATAAATTTATTGCTTTAATGGATAAAGAAAGAAAACTCCTTCGCAATTATACACAGAACATAGATACACTGGAACAGGTTGCTGGAATTCAAAGGATAATCCAGTGCCATGGTAAGTGAAATATACGTTCTTTTCTATCCTAGATACAGAGTTACAATAAAGATGAGGAGAAAATGGTCACAACTAATCAAAGCCTCACAGTCTAAAAATCCTTCCCTGTTCTGGCATTCTATAACAAATAGTTCACATAACAACTTTACACAATTCCATTGTTGCATCTCCTCAAGTACTGGGTACCCTACTTCCAAGCCTTTTGTGATCTACATATTAATACCTTTAGCCTGTGTGATGGATATACCATTATCCTCACCATCATAGTGGCCCCCAGTCACATGCAAGGAAGTCAGAACTTCCATTAACTAGCATAAGTGTGATAAAGTCCATGGCAGTGACTGTATTTTCTCCCACCCCAGCTAATTAAATCAAATCAGATTCATATTGGCAGGTTCCCGTATTAGCCTCTTAATTTTCCTACATTAATCATACAATCAAGATCCCAGAGGACTGGAAAGAAGCCATAATTGTCCCCTTAAATTGCACTTTTAACTGTTAAATTATGAGATTTGGATTTAATTTCCTTTTTAACTTTTTCATTAGATGTTTTTTACTGTTGTGAGCCACCCTGAGTCTGGCTGGAGATAGGGCGGCATATAAATCTCTAATAATAATAATAATAATAATAATAATAATAATAATAATAATAATATAAAAAGGTGATGACCTATTGCATCGCAACAGGTAGTTCTCAACTTACAATGGGTTACTTAGTGACTGTTCGAAGTTCATATTGACCTCCTCCCCCAAAAAGGTTTACTTCTGTTTCTGGCAAAAAACTACCCATTGTGAACAGTGAATTCACTTAATGACCCAGCAATCACTTAATAACCATAGCTTTGCTTAATGCCATAGTGATGTGCTTAGCAAAATGTCATAAAATTGGGTATGCTATGTTGATGAAGCACTTAATGACCAGCATAATTCACATCCATAACTTCAGGCGCAATTACAGTCCTAGGTTGAGTACTATAGTAAACTAAAGCCAAGTACCTGTTTAGCAAACTCCAAATTTGGGTAATAGAAAAGGGAATAATTGACTCTGAACAAGTAGAGCTTCAACTGGGACAATCTACTATGGACTAGCAGTGCTTCAACATCTGTCAGACAATATACCAACCACTCTTGACTTGAATCTATATGTAGCCCTTTATTGATTTTAAGGAAGTTTTTGATAATATCTCAAGGGTAAGATTTTGAGACATTCTGAGCAGATCCTCTATAAACAAAAAAAATCCTGCTTTGTCAGGCACAGTTATTTCCAAACATGTTCCTAATCAATAAACTACAATAAAATCCAGCCTTGCATATAATCAGAGAGCTTTCCAACTTTATTCAAAACTGACAAGAGGGTGAGACAGGGATGTATTCTGGCATAATTTTTAAAACACATATATCAACTCTCTAATTAAAACTTTTCAGATGTGCTCTCTTTCTAATCATCTTGGAGGGAAGTAAGCAATGGGATACCACAAGGTTCCGTCTTAGGCCCAGTACTCTTCAATATCTTCATAAATGACTTAGATGAGGGTATAGAAGGGGAACTTATCAAATTTGCGGATGATAGTAAACTGGCAGGAATAGCCAACACCCTAAGTCAGGGGTGTCAAACTCGCAGCGTCATGTTGCCACTTGACGTATTGTGACTTTTTCCCCCTTCGCTAAACCGGGGGGGGGGGCAGCGCATGAGACATCCGGTCCGTAGGCCGTGAGTTTGACACCCCTGCCCTAGATGAGATTCAGATGGATCTTGACAGACTTGAACACTGGGCCCTATCTAAATGAAATTCAATGTAGAGAAAAGTAAAGTCTTATACTTTGGCAAGAAAAACCAAAAGTACACATATAGACTGGGTGAAACCAGGCTTAATAGCAGTAACTGTGAGAGGGATCTTGGAGTCTTAGTGGACAACAAATTAAATATGAGCCAACAGTGTGCGGCAGCAGCCAAGAAAGCCAATGCAATTCTAGGTTGCATTAACGGGGGGATATAATCAAGATCAAGTGATGTACTAATACCACTCTATAAAGCCTTAGTATGACTACTAAGAGTATTAGTATTAGAGTATTGCATCCAATTTTGATCACCACACTATAAAAAAAGATGCTGAGACACTAGAAAAAGTGCAGAGAAGAGCACTGGAGGGGGACTGGAGGCTAAAACACAGGATGAACAGTTGTAAGAACTGGGCATGGCTAGTGATGAGAAGAGAAGGACCAGGGGAGACATGATAGCAGTGTTCCAATATTTGAGGGTCTGCCACAGAGAGGAGGGGGTCAGGCTATTTTCCAAAGCACCTGAAGACCAGACAAGGAATAATGGATGGAAACTGATCAAGGAGAGATTCAACCTAGAAATAAGAGAAATTTTCTGACAGTGAGAGCAATTTACCCATGGAACAGCTTGCCTTCAGAAGTTGTGGGAGCTTCATCACTGGAGGCTTTCAAGAAGAGACTGGACTGCCATCTGTCAGAAATGGTGTAGGGTCTGCTTGGGCAGGGGGTTGGACTAGATGACCTACAAGGTCTCTTCCAACTCTGTTAATCTGTTAAATCTCTTCAAATTTGAGGGTCATATTCCTCTGTCAAAGGCAACACTCCAACCACTACGCCATCCAGCCACTTGCTCGATTTCATATACTGCATACAATGAATATATTGAAAGTACATGTATTACTGATAAAATCTCTGAGCGGGGGGTGGGAATCTTGACAACTGGTATGTTCCTTTATTTGCTGGTATATGTATTTCAGGTTCCTTTGCAACGGCTTCTTGCCTCATCTGTAAATACAAGGTTGATTGTGAAGTTGTACGAGGAGATATTTTTAATCAGGTAATTATTATTTTAGAATTGACTGGTGAAAAAGAACTATATATTAGAAATATTATTAAATACATTGAAAATATAACTAAGCATGCAAAATCTTTTTGTTAAAACTGATCCCATACAACTTAAAATATAGCATTCTCTGAATCTAAATATGTGAATCGTAGCTATATATACAGTAATTATTGTGATTACTTTTCCTTACAAAGAACCAGTTGTAGGCTCCATAGTTGATTATATATAATTATTTATTTAATTATATTTGCATCTTATCAGTTCTCCATTTGAAAAGGAAAATGGGAGTTAAATGCAAAGAATAGTTCACTGCTTAATAGCGATACCAAGTAATGCCATCTAGTACCAAGTACTGCATTTTAAAAAAGGATCAATGGAAGTAGTTTTGCAATTGTCCCTTAAAGTTCATGTTCAGGTCAAACATACATTTAAGAAGGATTGAAGAAAGTGTGTATGCTTGACCAGGACATGATAGCAGGGGTGGGTTCTAAAATTTTTTACTACCGGTTCTGTGGGCATGGCTTATTTTGTGGGCGTGGCTTGGAGGTCATGTGACTGGGTGGGCGTGGCTAGCTGGTCATGTGACTGGGTAGCCATGGCTATGTGTATAGGGACTACTCAGAGGGCTGAAAAAAGTCATTTCTGACAGGTCCTCGCACTTTTGACTGGTCCTCACACTTATGACCATCCTCACATTTATGCCCGTGCAGCATTCTTAACAACCATGTCACTCATTTCACAACTGCTTCTCTTCACCATGGTAACAAGATAAGGCAAAAAACGTAAAATGTGAGGACAGTCGTAAGTTTGAGGACTGGTCAAAAGTGCGAGGACCAGTCAAAAATAACTTTTTCAGCCCTCTGAGTAGTCCATATGCATAAAAGGATACAGCAATAGAGAGGGATGAAGGAAGGGAAGGGAAATTAGAGTAGAAGTGAGGATAAGAGAGGGAGGAAGAGAGGAGGAGAAGGAGAAAGGAAGAGGAAGTAGGGAGGAGAAGAAGAGGGGGGGAAGAGAAAGTAAGAAAGAAAGAAAAGAGAGAGGTGGTAGGTTTGAGGAGAAAGATTGCTGTAAGATGAAAGGGAAGAAAGCCAACCCCAAACAAATATAAAGATATTAAGATAAAGAATGAATTGTTAAACTTTAAAGAATAAAAGAGAACAAATATGAATAAATAGCAATACTTAGAAACACACATACAAACATACAATGTATTTTCTTTGAACAGAGTATTTGGCCGGTTCACAAATTTAAACAGTGTTTAGTCACTTCAATTAAATTTACAATTTCTATATTTCCTTTTTGCCATATTTATTCCTCATCTATTTTTTAAAAAAACTAATATTACCCTTCATCCTCATCTCTAATCTTAATCAAATTCAATTTTTCCCTTCTATTCTATATTATACCCCTTCCCATTGTCATCTATTTTTATATCCATCCTCACATTGGTTAATTATGTAATTATGTAATACAGTTGTTTAATACAAATTCAACATTTTAATATAAATCAATTAGTTATATAACTATCTTTTTGTATATTAATCAATATGAACATGAATATTCCAATTATTTCCATGCAATCCAATTTCTTACAAATCAATTAATTATATTTACCAATAATAATAAACCAAATAATTTCCCCCATATATTTCTCCAAACCACAACTTAACCATTTCTCCTTTCAACACAATATACAATTAATAGTATCTCAATTATTACAATTCCCTAGTTAAATAGAGCTTTTTTTCTTTTGTGTTTTAAAATCTTGAACTCTCCTCTTTTGCCCTAAATTTCCCATTGTTTGCAGTTTTGCACCTACCTTTTTTGGTGAGGAAAAAGAAAAAGAAATCTCTCTCTGCCTCATTTTGTCACTTTGCAGCAAAGACCCTGCTTTACTTTCAGTTTCATTTTTTCAGCATAGCTAGGGGGAAAAAAATCTGCTCCAGCACTCTGCAGCTAGCAACAGCAGAGCCCTACGCAAAACAGCTGAGAGCAAATCAGCTGAGAGTCGGGAGGCCGATCTAATCAACTTGTGCTAATTAACCTATGCTGAAGCTGTAAGGGGCTGTTTTTTCTATTTTTGCAGGCACAGTCTACTCATTTGTTTTCTTTTAACACTGATCAGCTGTAGGGCGGCCCTTTGAAGCCCCACGGCAAGAGTTTAAACAGTTTTTTTCCCTCTAGCCATCAGCTGGGACTCAGGAGGCAGCAATAGATTGGGAGTGGGCGGGGTAAGTGAACGGCGACCGGGCCGGGAACCGGTTCGGGGGCATGGCCAATCTTATTACCGGTTCTCCGAACTATTAAAATTTTTTATTACCGGTTCTTGTGATCCGGTGCGAACCGGGAGCAACCCACCACTGCATGATAGCATACTTTAAAAACCTAAAGCATTGTCACCAATCCCTTAAATGACAGAGGAGTACACTTATGTTGAACATTAGTTTTTAATAAAATCAATGAAAGCTGAAGGCAACCTCTCCTTTAATAAAGGTTTTTAAGTAAGACTGCTAGCAGTTTGATGGTGGTTCTGTTACTCTTGATCTTCATGGATCAGATAGGGTTGGACTAGATGGCCTAGGATACAATTGCAAATTGTGACTCCTCTGCTGCGCGAGCTGCATTGGCTTCCGGTGGACTTCCGGGTGCGCTTCAAGGTGTTGGTGATCACCTTTAAAGCGCTCCATGGCTTAGGGCCAGGGTACTTACGGGACCGCCTTTTGCCACCAATAGCCTCCCACCGGCCAGTTCGCTCCCACAGAGAGGGCCTCCTCAGGGTGCCGTCGGCTAGACAATGCCGGCTGGCGACCCCCAGGAGGAGAGCCTTCTCTGTGGTGGCACCTACCCTCTGGAACGATCTACCCCCAGAGATACGAGTGATCTCCGACCTCTGGACTTTTCGTCGGGCCCTAAAAACTCATCTCTTTCAGTTAGCCGGTCTCTCTTGATTTTATGATTTTATGGTTGATTTTAAATTTTGATATGGATTTTAAACTGATAAATTTTAAACTATGGGCCAAATTTAATTATTTTAAATCTATTTTTAATCGTACCTTATGTATAAATGTTTTATTTTGGCTGTTCACCGCCCTGAGTCCGAAAGGAGAAGGGCGGTATAGAAATTTGAATAATAAATAAATAAATAAATAAATTGCATATTATTACAAAATTTACCACATCACAAATGTAAAATTTGCCGAGGGTCAGAATTTCGTGTGCGAATTTCAGTTTTGGCTTTACACCACTGTATTTCATATGGCTTCTAGTAAACTACCTTTCTCCACCCGATACTGTTAAGGATTGTTCTTACTTAGAGGCTCAAGCTGAGGCAGGTCTGACACCGAATTTATAATTTGGTAATTATTAGAGTAGCTGTGCTGGAGTTCATTTTGATTTTCAGTTCTTTTCCTAGGGAAATCTTCACTTAGGCTAGAATAAAAATTCACAACCTCTCTCAGTGGTTGTTGTGATAGACGAATTGAACAAAGCACTGGAGCACTCATGATTCTTTGGTAATAAAACGTCTGCAAGCAAAAAACCAAGTTCAAGGAGCACCAAAGACAATAGCAACCTTTTACAAGGACATAATATGGGGGAGGGGGGGTTGTAGGTATGTGATAATGTGACAAAATGAAGTGAACTCACATATAGTATCCAAGCAAATAACAAAGTTAGAATAAGAGAGAAGAATCTTGCAAAAGAAAGTTTAGAAGGTTGAAGACAATAAGTTGGCTGGTTGCCCGGACATAATTGCTGTAATTTTAAAGGTTTTATAGGCAATTTCAGATCTGGCAGATTCTTATGATATGATTTCATTAGCCAATTCCTTAGCTGCAAACATACAGCTTTTCTCTTTATAGTCCTTGGCAGAAATTCACACCAATATGCAACCTAGGTTGTGCTTCATTCTTTTATTAAAAGTTTGTCAGTTATGAGTGCTACTTTTATAAAATGAACACTGCTAATGCAAATTCCTTAATCAGGTTGTTCCCAGATGTCCCAGATGTTCACCTGATGAACCCCTTGCTATCATGAAGCCAGAAATAGTATTCTTTGGTGAAAATCTACCGGAGCAGTTTCACAGGGCCATGAAATACGACAAAGATGAAGTTGATCTTCTGATTGTTATTGGGTCTTCACTTAAAGTAAGACCAGTAGCATTGATTCCAAGTGAGTATTGATTATGTATGTATTGAGAACAACAGAGTCCTTGTTTCAGTTTAAATTTAGTGATCATGATGAATGGTGCCAGAAAGCATAGAATTTAGAGAACTTCATAATGTGGAAGCATGTTAGGAAAAAAGAAATATATATATGGATTCAGACATTTACATAGTTACATATATTCCCTAAAATTATCCAGTTGTTAATAGTTGACTTTATTTTTTTCTTAAATATGTAGGTTCCATCCCACATGAAGTGCCTCAGATTCTAATTAATAGGGAACCATTGCCTCATCTACACTTTGATGTCGAGCTTCTTGGTGACTGTGATGTTATTATCAATGAATTATGTCATAGATTGGGTGGAGAATATTCAAAACTTTGTAATAGTTCCATTCAGCTTTCAGAAATAACAGAGAAACCTCCACGGCCTCACAGAGAGTTTGAAAAACATTTAACAGAGTTACCACCCACTCCTTTAAACATTTCTGAATCTTCTAGTTCATCTGACAGAATTCCATCACAAGATTCTCAAGTGATACATTCAGAGCATTCTGATCAATATAAAGCAGGAAATTCTGATGTTGCTTTGGTATCTAAAGAAAACTCTATAGAAGAAAAACCACTAGAAGTCCATAACTCTTTAGAAAATTCAGAAAGTACTCACGATCAGTTAGAAACTACAGAACATGTGAAGGAACTTGGATCTAATCAAGAAGAAAACAAAGAAAGAAGTGAAAAAATCTCTGTTGAAACAGTGAGAAAATGTTGCTTGAACAGATGTGCAAAAGAGCAAATTAGCAAGCGGCTTGATGGTAAGTTCTAAGTCTATTGTAAAAGCTTTGAATATTTTTATATTATGCTTTAGAATAACTGGAGTATTCAAATATAATTCTGCCTTGAATGCTTCAGTGTAACGTCATAACATTCAGTCAAACATTCAATTAGAAATGTTCATTTTTAAAGTATTGTTAGATAATATTAAAAACTGGGAATGAATTAACTTTATATTGTATATAAAGTATTCTGGACAGTATTCCAAATTAATGGATTTTATTTTTAAATCAATGTTGGTTTAGAGGAGCAGGAACCCCTGTAGTCATTTATCTGAGATAGGAGGCTGTCTTTGGTTCTGAATAGATAAGTATGGCTGAAGTGATCAGGTTTCAGGTTTGCAAGGTTTACTTCACCTCATTCATATTCACCAACAGGTGCATTATCATATTCTTTATGATAATGGAATATTAGAATTAAGGCCCAAAATTGCTCTAAAAGCATCTTGAGAAATCCAGAAAATCTACTCCTTCAAACTTTCTTCTATCCTTGTAGCCCAATTTAGAAAGTGGAGAGGAGCAATAAATATTTTGCAAAATATTGAGAGATAAACATGCTGCTTGGTTTTCACTAATGGTGAACCTATGGCACGTGTGCCAGAGGTGGCACGCAGAGCCCGCTCTGTGGGTACACACGCCGTCGCCAGCTGCTTTTCTGGTTTCGGGAGCTCAAATGCACGCCGACCAATGGTCTTCGCAGGTGCTGGAGCCCCAGAAAACGGCCTGAAAATAGCCCACAAAATGGCCAAAACCAGCCAAAAAACAGGCCATTTTGGGGGCTGTTTTCCGGGCTTTTTCCAGGCCGTTTTCCAGCCGTTTTCCAGGCCGTTTTTGGCTCAAAAAATGGCCTGAAAAATGGCCAAAAAACAGGTATGCATGCGCCAGCCAGCTGGTCTTCGGGTTTCCAGCACTCCGGTGCACACACATTCCAGTTTGGGCACTCGGTACCAAAAGGGTTCGCCATCACTGACCTAGTTCAAGAGATCCCATTCTGTTTTCTGATGGCACAATCCCCATGACACTTGTAGAAAGCTAGGAATAGAATTGTCACTACTATGTTTGGGCTGATAAATGAACATTTCATTGCAACATCTCCCCAAAGAAAAAAAACCATTTTCTCGCTTTTATAGAAGGATTTGAAATTGAGGCAATGAAAGATTTAGCTCATGTTGCCCTAATTTATTTACTTAAAACCTTGCTATAGTGTATTTATCAAAGTTATTTGCTGCCCGTCTCTAGGTTCAAGGTGACTCTCAGTGGCTTACAAGATAAAACCCAAAAATTCAACAGTAATAAATATAAAAACTGATTAAAGTTACAAAATAAAAACAAACTAAAAAACAAGGGTTAGGAGGAGGGAAGAGATGGGGGTGCCTTATTTTTTAGTGCATCAAGCACCTCCAGGTTTTAAGACTTTCCCTGAAAGTTAAAAGAGAGGGGGCAGATCTTATTTCCTGTAGCAAGATGTTCCAATGGGCAGGAGCTGTGTCAGAAACCTCAAATTTAAAAAAAAGAATCTCAGACCAATATGCATTCAATAAATGTAGCCCTGCCTACAGGCTTACAATCTAAATGAATGAAAAACGTTACCATCTTTAGAACAACTCTTGTAAGATAAATAGAAAAAGAATTTGGAAGTAATCTTTTCTTTACGTTTTAAATTTAAGTGTATATTAGCTTATATGAAAAAGTGAATTGTACAGTTTTTCTTCAAATTTTTTCTACAGCATTAGGTAGAAGCTGGTATGGTATTTGTACTTAGTGAGCTGCTATTGCTGCAGGCATACTATTCACAAGCTTTTGTTTTTGTCTACAAGATGTAATGTAGGAATGTGTTTTGTATTCCTTACATTACCTATTTTGTTAATATTTTTGTTTGCTTTGCTGTTTTTTTCTTCCATTTCAGAATGTCAGTTATACTAAAGATAAAATACTGTTTTTTTTAAAAAAAAATTTTTTTTATCATACCCTTTGCTTAGTTTGTGAGAGAATATTTGTAGCACAAACCCTTTGTGGTAATCTTAGTCCTTTTGTACAGTCTGTGATGCTGGTTTTTAATAGATTTTTTAAATGATGAAATCTGAAGCTTAGGGCCATATTTATTTATGTCATTAGACTGGATTGACATAATTCCTGATTTAGGTGAGTCTTTTAGAGAAGAAGCTGATTTTAAGTAATAAAAAATAATTGGACTTAATCTGGACCTAAAACACATCTTGGCAATTAGATAATTGCATTCTTATTACATGTTACATAAGAATGCAATCACATAATTACATATGATCTGCTTCCAAGTGCAGTTCAAGAAGTTGCTTATGACCTTTAAAGCCATTAATAGCATAGGTCCAGGCTATCTGATGAACCTCTTTGTACCACTAGGCTAGGACAAGGCTGCCCTTTTCATGCTGGTAGAAAGGGCCTACTTCAGATCCTATTGGTCAAAGAATTACAACTGTCGGGATCCAGGAGAAGAGCCCTTCTCTGCTGCAGCGCCCGCTCTGGAACATCTTACCCTCTACAGTAAGATCCGCCCCCAACCTCATATCCTTCCACAAGAAGACCTGGTTCTAGCGATTGGCCTGGGGACCAGATGGGGGAGTTCTATGCTGGGGTTGGCTGCTAGATTGATGGCAGACTCCACTTCCCCTCCTCCGTGCCCTTTCCTCTTGATCCATCCATCTTTTTGGTTATCATATTGATGTATGATACATCAGTGTACAGAGATGGGCAGCAAATAAATTTAACAAATAAATAACTATGTTTGCCTTGCATTAAAAGCCATAGAAACTGGTCTCCCATAAATAGGTCAGAGCCATTTTAAAGGGACGTAATGTACATGTTAATGTATAGTGAAAAATTTGAACTGTTCTAATTAAAGTTAATTCAGAAAGGCTATGAGTCATTAAAATGGAACGGTGTGTTTCTGAAGCATTAAACTAAATTGCAATAAACATCAACATACTATTAAATAGTTATAAAACGCAAGAGGGAAAGCAGAGAGAGAGAGAGAAAAGCAAGTTAATTTAGTGCTGCATTGTAATAGTTTTCCCTCAGTCCTGACACAAATAAGTGTTTCCTTATAAAACATATAAGATATGGAGAGCTCAGAACCATTTATGTATGATTGTATTCTTAATGATGATGCCTTCTTTTTTTCCTTTGTTGTTGATAAAACCTGTTTCAGGTACTCAATATTTGTTTTCACCACCAAATCGCTATATTTTCCATGGTGCTGAAGTTTATTCAGACTCTGAAGATGATGTCATCTCCTCCAGCTCTTGTGGAAGTAGCAGCGGTAGTGGATCATGTCGGAGCCCAAGCTTAGATGTAGAAGAGGAGAGTGAACTGGAAGACTATTACAATGGCATCGAAGAAGAGGAGGAGGAGGAAGAGGAGGAGGAGGCAGACACTCCTGACAGAGAAGAGGAGAATGGATTTGAGGAAGATGGAACTGACCTTCCAGAATCTGTTGACGAATCAATTTCTATAAATCAGACAGTAGAATTTGACAGTTCATCAGACAAATTGTAAGATAATTACTGATTTATTTCAGGAACTTTTCCACCAGCATTAGCAATTTGGGCATGTTGGAATGAATGTGTACTGAATTCAGAACAAGGCAAACAACGATGTTTATAAACATTAGAGTAGATTTTCATGCATAGTTTTCTAACTTTTCCAATTGAATTCTATAAAGACACACACAACACTAATCATTTTGAATTTTGTGGAAGGTACTAAGTATCTTTTACTGTCACTACATTCATTTTTATTAATATGTGTTATATGTGTGTGTGTATTCGCACATATACAATATTTTTGGCTTTATAAATTTCACCCTGTGTTATTTCTGAACCATTTAAAAAGCCATCATAATATTAATATAATATAAAGGGAACAGCTAATCTAGACCAAAGAATGGTATTGTTCATACCTCTCTTGCTTTGCAACATTTCAGTTTATTTATGTCTCTCCTTAGTCTGCTGCTGCAAAAATATGTTGTTAAATATGAAGATTTCCCCCAAATACCTATGGCAGCTATGTTTTCTGAACTCTTCTTGTTGGGTATATTTGCATGCAATCATATTAGAAGTTAATTAGACATCAGTGACCATCTGAAAATTCCTTAAATTACCAGAAAATAGCATTTTAAAAACCTATTTAAATAAATGAAAAATGCTATTTTTAAAATAAAGGCTAAAATAAAGCAACTTTCTGTAGATACTTAATAATGCTTATTGGCTTACAAAATTACAGGAAGAAAGTATTAGATAAGAAATCATTAACCCTGTTAACATGAGTATTTAGTGCAGGAAGTTGGTATATAAAACAATGTATAAAATCTTTGTGTACACTGCCAAGATGTGAATATTTAAGTGTTGCAAGGTGTATATATAATGTTCAGGATATAGATGGAATTTTTGCCCAAGAACAAAAGTGTTTCTATACTTTTCAGTACTTTTATACAAACATTTAATGAGAGCTACTCACGCATCCAGTAAAACACAAAATTCAATTTCACCTTAAAGTATGCTGCTTAAAGGCTTCTCTGTTCAGAGAACCTCATACCACTCCTTGGTAGATTGATGTAGAAAAAGCAGCTACCGAAATGAGTTCCAATGCTGCTTCAAAACTGCCTCTTGAAATAGATGTGTCAAATGTTACAGCTGTAGATTGTCTCAATCCTTCCTGCTTTGTTTGATCGTAGGTTTTTAATTTCTTCTTGAAACCACTTTTCAGCTGGGCCCGTAGTTAAAACCAGTTGCCAATAATTCTTTTGCATTTCTTTAATATTCCATTTTGAAATATGTATAGAGCTGTTCTTTTCAGTCAGTACATCCAATTTGTAACACAGCATAATGAAGTGTTAAAAATGGCATTTTGTGTTCATTTGAAATGTTGGCATGTTTTCTTGTTGTCCAAGTTATAAATAGAACTTGAACAACTACACTTAAAAGAATGCAATATGTTTAGCTTGGCATGCATGTCAAACTGTATTTGTGTTATAGGAGATATTTTAAATGGAAATATTTTGTTTTAAATTATTTTTACAGTGTGGATTATTTTCTGCTTTTATATTGTATATAGTGTCTTTTATGTAACCAACTGGCAGATGTTTTGTAGAAGATTGTTTAAATTGACCTAGCTCTCTTCCTGCAACTTTTGAAATACAAAACCAGTGTTTTATACTCAGTCTGATTTAAATCTATTAAATTGTTAACTTTTGGATGCTGTTACAATGTGTGCACAACGTCTTGCATGCAATGTTATTAAGTATGGAAAGTAATACAGTTGGTGAGAAGTAATATGCTGCGTCTCCCATATTGCTCCAGTCACTTTTTAAACTTTTTAAAAAAACAATCTTTCTAAAACCAGGACTTCTGATGCAATAAAGGCTGGGCCAAAAGCTTTGGACACCCCCCCCCCCCAGGGTGGGGAGACATCTGGCAAACGATTTCTGCTGAGTCTGGCAAGTCTATCTAGCCAAATGACCATAGCAACTTGGAGGGAATTTAGTTATTTGTAGATTTGAGCTTTTTAAAAAATATATACATTGAATACTCCTCCGTGGACTTTTATACCAATTTTTAAAAATCATTATTAGGAATTTAATACTGCTATGCTACTTTCCTCACTGAATGGTCTCTGACTCTGGTTCTAAGACACTTGAGCCTGCAGTGTATTGTGCACATGCTGTTTACCAGTGGTAGATATGGGCTTTCTGTTCCTCCAGTGGTTTGCTCCCAACTGATAGCATCATGCACTTACCTTCAATGGGTATAGACGGCCTTGACACTAGCAAAACAGGAAGGAAGTACTAGGAATGATGAGAGCAGCAGACTTCCAAATTCTGGGTCCTATTGAAGTGAGGTACTTCACTCACTGATGGTTTAGGGGGTGGGGGTAAGGCTATGGTGGTATCTTATAGTGGGGGAAGAGACAGATTGGATACTGTATACTTGAGATGAACTATAGTCTGCCACTGATTTGCAAGCTGCAGATTCTCTTCATCTTAGCTGGTTTACAATGCCATTACCTCCCTTTTTCTACTTCCCTATAGTTACTACCTCTTAGACCTTTTCCAAATGCCTTCTACACCCCCAGAAAATACCTCAGAATACATATGCTTTGATCCAAACACAGATGAAACTACTATACGGACAATAAAGATCACTCATGGACTGTTTTGCACATTCCTAACCAAGTCAGACAAAATAGTTGTTAGTCCTTGTGATATCCTGTAAAGTAGGGGTCTCCAAACCCCCAGGCTACAGATCAGTACAGGCTTGTTAGAAACTGGGCCATTCAAGTGAGTGAAGCTTCATTTGTGATGCATGGGCTCTAGGCAGCATATAAAACCACATCACCCCCCCAAGAGATCTCTGGAATTTTTTTTTTCACACGAACTGGTCCATGGTGCCCAAAAGATTGGGGACCGCTGCTCTGAAGTCAGAACTTTTATGATCCTCTCCAAAGATAAACAATTTTATACTATCTGTTGAGTTATTGTTAAATGCTTTAATTTTCCACAATTTCTTAGTTCTCTGATTAAATGACAGAATGCCCTTCTCCTTTTGTCTACATATGCTACACTGTTAGTAATGAAACCAATTCACATTTATCCTTTGGGTCCTGTAACAGCAACATTTTAAAACACTACAAGAAATTTAGCTATAGTCAAACCTGGTTTTGTCACATACCAGGCTATCTTGTTTGGGGTTCTTTTGTAAAGCAGAAAGGCAAAGAATAAAACAAGCATGCATATTTATTGGTTGCAGGAACTGGGTATGTCTAGTTTTATGAAAAGAAGGACTAAGGGAGACATCATAGCAGTGTTCCAATTTCTAAGGGGCTACCATGAAGAGGGAGTCAAGCTATTCTCCAAAGCACCTGAAGGCAGGATAAGAAGCAATGGGTGGAAACTAATCAAGGAGAGAAGCAACCTAGAACTAAGGAGAAATTTCCTGACAGAACAATCGATCAGTGGAATGAGTTGCCTCCAGAAGTTGTGGATGCTCTGGAAGTTTTTAAGAAGAGATTGGGCAACCAGTTGTCTGAAATTACTGTTATTTAGTTATTAACAGTTATTAACTGTTAGGCATTTCAAAATAGGTATACCTTTACACATTACTTCAGCAGACCTGAATGTTTAATTGAATATATCTGACAAGATTCAAATGAAATTTAAACACATGTCCATCTGAAAATAATTTAGACACATGACTTAAGCAAATTTTCTCCATAATGTTTTAAAAAATGAGACTTTTACATGTATACATTATCCAACATTTTCATTCAAATATTTTTATTTTATGCTTGAATTGTTTCACTGCAGTTTATAAATCTAAAAAAAATAAATATTTATTTCACAGCTGAAAGTCACGTACTATTAATAACATGGAAACATTCAGGAACTTGGCACCTCCCCCCCCCCCCAAATTTATCTGCTTGGTTCAAAGTATCGCTTCCAATAACCAAAGTCCTTAAAAAACTGAAAAAAAGTAAATAATTTAACCAAAATTTTAAAACTACTCCAATCGTTGAGAGTAAGAAAGATAAAATCTTAGTTCTGCCCAAGAGAAAAAAAAATTGCTGATAATTCTGGACTCATGCCAAACATCTGAGTTTTATTTGGATTACCATGAATGAAATCTCAAAATTTAAGAAAGGGATTTTTCTTTCATAGTTTTAATTAACAAATGACAACTCCATGGACATGTGAAGGAACTGCCAATGAAAACAGCCTTGACATCCTCTTGATTGCTTTCATTGTAAAAGAAGATGAATTAGTTGCAAGATGAAATGGTTGCTATATAAATTTTCCTCATTATGTTAAATCACTCTCTTTTCACCAAGCCCATCTCCAAATGTGGATAAATATGTTGCTTTCTCTATTGTAACTTTATTTTAACAAAACAGCCCCAATTCCATAAAACAATAGATACTCTACTGCTGCTAGAGCATATTTTTTTTAAAAAAAAAAACTTTTAACAAAATGAAAATCTAATTTGACTTTCAGTGATTTGAAAAGAAAAGCACATCTTTCACACACACAGCAACATTTTTGCAATATGTGAAATACCAAAATTTAGTTATGAAACTTGTGTTTATTCCAACATTGCATTTATTAAGATGGCAAAATGCAATTCCACAGTTCGCATCAAGACAATCATTAATATAAGGATTTTTGGCTCCTGTGAAAGAATCAGATCACTGAACATAGTTTATGAACAAGCTTCTTATAATCATCACCACTTGGGTATCACTCATTTACACTGCAAAGCAGATCTAAGCATTGGCTTAATGTTCCCAATTAAATGATTGGATGGTGCTGAGTTTTTACATTATACTAAATTGAAGCCTTCACAGTGATCGATTGCGTGGATCAACTTCGATCTGAGTATTTCCTTGTTGGTATATTTTGGAAGATCAAGGAGATTAAAACATGTATGAGATACTGGAAGATATCCATCTCCACCTCCAGTTGGTTGGATAATAAGACTAAGGCTCTTCATTCCAAGTATAGGAATACGATCGCTCCCTGTCAAAAACACTAAAAAGGAAGAAAATGGAATAATCTAAGTCAGATATCAAACGTTTATCACAGAGTACCAGTATATGATATACAGGATTACAATATAGAGTGTTTTTGTTAACATAGTGTGTTAAAGTACTTTTGGCTAAGCACAGAATTATTTACTTTTGTGGAGTCTATATTAATCAGGAAATGGGCAGACAAGCTATTTAAACCTTCAAGAATTTAGTGTTCAGGGAGTGAATCGGGTTAACCACAGGGAAGATTTTATTATCGTGGTGCTGCCATTCATTACCCCAACACTTGCACACCAGAACTCAGTGTTAGATCTAAAATAAGCTAAAGAAATACATCCCTCCATTCAGGAGGAAAAACATTTTGACTTTTCCTAAGAATAAAAAAGAATGTTGCATTGTTTGTCAATTAAAAGGAATGTTTTAACAAAGTTATGTTTAATAGAGAGAATACTAAGGATTCCTAGAAAACTTAAAATAGCCTATGTATTTGTTTGAAATATTCATCTTGTATTTTTCCCCTTCTCAGTTTTTTAAAAATATATTTACCGTATTTTTCAGAGTATAAGACGCACCTTTTTCCCCCAAAAAAGAGGGTGAAAATCTGGGTGTGTCTTATACTCCGAACGTAGCCCTGCCCAGCTTCTCAAATGGAAGTTTCAGAGGCTGAAAAAAGCATCAGAAACGAAGCTTCAGAAAAGAAGTCCCCAGATAGAGCTTCAGAGGCTTTTTTTCTGAAGCTGTTTCAGAGGCTTTCAGAGGCAGAAAAAAACCTTTTTTTTATGAAACTGAGTTTCAGAAGTTTTAGAAGCAGGAATAAAAGCAAAAAAAGCAAGGCACAGAGTCACAACCAAGGAACCTGTTGCTAAAATTCACTGGGAACAGCTGATTGGGGGTATTCCGGCAGATCCCGCCAATCAGCTTTTTTCTTATTTTCCTCCCCAAAAACTAAGGTTATACTCTGAAAAATACGGTACTTATGCTTCCCATAATACATTCCACATTTTATAGGAAAAATTGTAAGGCAGGTCCATAGGTTCTACCAGCACAATATTACTGTAAGCTTCAGGCTGGTATGTTCTCTTCTCCTCTAGTGTGAAGAGGTAAGAAAAATCCCTTTCTATCCAAAGTTATCTCCAAAATTCCTGGAATTCTGGCTTATTTGAACTATAGTTTGATAATAAACTCTGATCACTGATCCAGGCTTCTTTGAATAAAACATAAAATAGACCTCAAAAATACATAACCAGACATCCAATTCTACAGTAAGATTACCCACTCTTTACTTCTGCATATCTTGCATCAGGGACCGCTGAGGGGAAAAGAGATTTTCCTATTCCAACAGCAGAAATGGTTTTCATTCAAAACAAAAAAAAATCAACTCCATTCATTCAATTTATACAGCTGCCCATCTTACTTGCATGTGATTTTGGACAGCCTACACCAGGGCTGTCAAACTCGCGGCCCGCAGCCCGGATGCGTCACGCGCTGGCCACGCTCAGGCCGTTTGACACCCCTGGCATACACAATTAAGAAAAAAAAAATCAATCATTAATTAAAAACTGTTAAAAAGCAAAGTAAGCAAGACACCTGCCTTCTGGACAGTTTAAAAGTAGAACTGAATAACTCTGGGTGGCTTTTGCTTACATTGGAAAGGAGGAGGATAGATTTAACATTATATGCAAAATAGGACCCCAGCTAACAAGTGTCAAGATGTATTCATTTTATGAAGATACTTACACAAAAACTGTTTCTTCTTTTCCAGTGATAACTCATGAAAAACTTCCCAGAACAATTTAATTGTTGGATGTTCTGCCCAATATTCTCCTTTGTATTGAGTATTCTAAGGAGGAAAAAAAAATCAAAATCACATTATTGAAGAACATTATCTCTGGGATTCTTTCTTCCTTCTCCCCTGCAAATGGTAGACTAAATGTTGTCCATCAAACAGATATTGAACTGCAGGCAAGGACACTGTAAGGAACTGTGCAATATGCATGCTTAAATAAGATATTTAAAAACTTTAGCTATAATCTTCTATAAAGTTAAGTGATATTTATCATGGGATGTCTGGGGAAGCGTGCAAAGGACTACAGCATACATACATTTTCATTTTCTAACCCAGGGGTGTCAAACTTGATTTCATTGAGGGCCGCATCAGGGTTGTGTTTGACCTCGGGGGGCCGGGGTGGACATGTCCAGGATGGGTGTGGCCAGCTCGATGTCACTCATGTCGGGGGGCCTGTGGTGGCCTGAACGCTCTGCCAGTGAAAACAGGTTCCCAAGCTCCGTTTTCGGCTGCGACAGTGTCCTGCAACCCTCTACCAGCAAAAATGGAGCTCTGGAGGGCTGCCTGGAGGTGGCCCTCGTGAGCTCCATTTTTAATGGCAGAGGCACCACGGGCCGATCCTTCACTGTTTCCAGGGCGGCCCCACGGGCCAGATCTAAGCACCCCACGGGCTGGATCCGGCCCCCGGGCCTTGAGTTTGACACCCCTGTTCTAACCCATTATTTGTATGTTTACTACCAAACATATTATTATTTAGTTTAATAAAGGTCCAATGTCTATAGTGAGTTTAGAGGTATCGGATTTTTTTTTCTTTTCATAACAACGTTCTCTGTTACCAAAGAGCATAGGAGAGGACAAGAAATATTGGAAAATAATCTTGGCAAACAGAAGGCTTAATTCTTGAGCAGCAGCTAATTTCTGGCAGAGCCACACACCTTCTCTAGTTCTTTCCAATCATAGTTTGTGTTCCCAATCACCATTGCTTGCAGTTCGTTAGGTTCAAACAGCTGAAGAACTTTACCGCCACACACTTTGTGAAAGCCTTCATGGAATGCATCATAGAGAGAAGCCACAGATTTATTGAAGATGTAGTCCACATAGGCATCCACAAACTCTTGCCTAAAATCAGATTAAAAGAAAAGCCCTTTAGAAAGACTCAGTACACAATCCATTTAACAACGGCAGTTTTTCTTTTCTTATGAACACGTCTTCTTCCTTCAACAAAATATTCAGTCAGGCAAAGGCTTAATTCAGCTAAATCATGGACAGATACTGTTATGGAAGTGCTGTTTCTCCTCCTGACTCTGGAGTTTCATTTATAGCATACATTAAACCCAAACATCCTGCTATGTCCAATTTATATTAGGTTAACTAAACATAGCACTAGCTTCTTTAATGGTTTCATCCACATCATAAGATGGAAATTAAGAACAGAACGAAAACTTGGGCCTGTGCTCATTCCCAGCTTCATAAGCCACAATTTATGAAATCAGAGAAGACTATCTGATCATCATTAGTGTGTTAATGCCTTGATTCCTTTTAGTTGATTTTGAATTAAAAGTAGAAACATGAAATGCTAAATGAAGTATACTATTAAAACCTACCTATTCTGTTTGACAACAGGGATATCAGCACCATTTGGAATTAGCTCTTTAACTTCTGTGGCACCAAAGTTTTCAACTGTAATCTGTCCAGGAGAGAACAAGTATCTTATTGTTTGCTTGCAGAAGATTTCAACATTGTTTTGTAAGGGGCATCATATCAAATTTTCACTCAAGACAGAAACATACATACTCATGTAGTATGGCTATATTACTTTTATCCTTCTCATCCATTCTACTACCTTCTCTATTGGTAGCATTATTATGATTATCCTTTGTAATTATGTTTTAATTATATATTGTTATATAATTAATACACTATATATACATTAATTATATTTATAATTAGTACACCGCATCTCATGTGTGTGTGTGTGTGTGTGTGTGTGTGTGTAAAAGGGACGCAGTGGCTCAGTGGCTAAGACGCTGAGCTTCTCGATCGAAAGGTTGGCAGTTCAGCAGTTTGAATCCCTAGTGCCGCATAACGGGGTGAGCTCCCATTACTTGTCCCAGCTTTTGCCAACCTAGCAGTTCAAAAGCACGTTTAAAAAAATGCAAGTAGAAAAATAGGGACCACCTTTGGTGGGAAGATAACAGTGTTCCGTGTGCCTTTGGCGTTTAATCATGCTGGCCACATGACCACGGAGACGTCTTCGAACAGCGCTGATTCTTTGGCTTTAAAATGGAGATGAGCACTGCTCCCTAGAGTCGGGAACGACTAGCACATATGCGCGAGGGGAACCTTTACCTTTATGTTATTATGAATATTATTCCTTTGTTTTGGCATGTACACTGAGAACTTATGGACCAGAGACAAATTCCTTGTGTTTAATCACACTTGATCAATAAAGTATTCTATTTGTAGATTAATATTCATTCCACTTTGAAATGAATTGACATATGTGCTAACAGATAATGCTTACTGTAAAGTTGAGGCAGAAAGTATCTTCCACATCATCTTCGGGATAATCTAGCAATTGTTGCATACTCCTGGAAAATCAAATATTCTAATCTTTCATTTCAGCAACAGCAGAATTTAGTTAGACTCTGCAAACTTGAAAGGTTTTGCGATCTTTCTACCAAAACTGTGAACAAGGAGGTACATCCATAAAACATTGCAATGCAGAATGGAAGCACCCTCAGTTCAGTTATCCAGCATTTGTTCTTCATTGAGGATTTTTAGCTCTAATGCTACCTTTTCTGGTCTCCTCCCAATCCTTCATGTTTCCCCCTCTCCCTAAATATTTTCTCCTTTTGCAAACTTAGATAGTTCCCCACAAGCGCATGCTGTTTTGACAATTAGATTGAAATCACTCCATATGTAAATATTTCATTCACAGTACTACAACAGTACTAGTAGTACCTATTCTAATCCCAGGCACCAATTTATAGCACGTGCCGGCATTTTTTCTAACATTCCAACATATGGCACAATTCTCAACTACACAAAAATTCATCTTGATGGCACCATCTTAAGGCAAACCCTGTTACATTGCCTATTTTTATTTTGATAACCTTCATCCCAAAGTTTTAAAGGATGTGTTTTTAAATATGCACAAATAAAATTTCTCATTTTTAAAATGTTTTAATTTTAATTGAGTTGTACTGTAATTCCAAACCAGAGAAAAGCAATGAAAATGCCAGGCAGATTTTGTATGTTCATTCAGCACCTTATTCTGTTTTACAAAGTCTGTTCTTGACAACAGAGGAGAAAGTGTTTGCTCTTTCTTTTACAAGTGCCCTCCTTTTTTTCTACCCAAATTTCAGAAAATATATGAAGCCAGAAAACAGGCTAGTCCTATGGGGAAAAATGGTCTCAAACCAAAATTTGATAGCACTGATTTCTTAGAACAGCCACCAAATGCTTTTCATCATCATTAGATTTGTATTTTTAATCAAGAACATTAAATCAAAATTGATTAAATCACAAATGTGTGTATTAACACTCTAAGCAGTGCAAATTAAGCAACATTTATGTCATCTTCTGATTGACAATAAAGAACTTAATTCTTTTCATTAATGAAAGAAGCCAAAGCACAGATAATTTAATTTCTATATAATATCAACCACAATTGTGTTCACCTGCCAACGTCAGGCATTAACTCTTTGAGGTCTTCCAGGGAAGGTTTCTTGTTCAGAAGCTTCTTATATAAAGCCAGTGGAAAGTGAAGTTCTACAATAGTAAAATTATATATTGCCAGTCCGCAAACAACACCAATCAGATGAAACAAGTCACTGTCTTCAAAGGTCTGTGAACACAAACAGAAAGCAAAGCAAATAATGTTAAGCTACATTGTTCCATGAAGAACTGCACAATATCTAAGTTTTACAAGTAATGTGCGCGTTCAATAAATGTCAAACCTCAAGTAAAATTTTAATCTTTTAGAAAGCCAAAACACTGAAAATTAACTCATCTGTCTCAGATTGGAATCTACACTATTAAAAGATTCTTCTAACCAGCTACTTTCCCTCTGAAAAAAGAACAATTGTCTACTTTAACAATCCTCCCATGTTATATCAATTAAACGGATACTGGCCATTACATGGGTAGGAGTCAAATGTTGCCTGGCACAACATGAGGTTGGTCGAAGGAAGAAGATGGAGAGTGCGCTTTGATACCCCAGATCAGAGGCTAACTTCAAAGAGTAAGTGGGATTCCCTTCTCCCTGAAGAATCAAATTAGCAATTAAAGGCTCCCATTGTATCTGGCATTCTTAAGAGTCAACACAACTCTGTGTACAATTCATCAGTTACACTGGTAACTCTTGCAACTTCTATGCTGAAATACTTCGGCCATCATCCCTGGCTCCAGTAACATCCTGCCAGTGTTACTGCAATCCAGAGCTGAGGAAACACTTGGGCTCTGAAATTGCTGCACAGGTTTTAAGAGTCATGCCTGTACATACATCATGCACATATACAAGGGCCTGCGCACATATGCTTATTAACACACTCTCTCTCTGAGAGAGAGGGGACGAGGGAGGGGGGGAGAGGGAGAGAGAGCGCTATATACTACACAGTTCTTAATTTAGGGACACAGTGAATTTCAGTTCTTTTTTTCTACATGATGGTCCCTTGCAGCCTACCTGGGAGTAGGAGAAGTGGAGACTAGGCAAGACTTGTGTAGACTATGTAAATGGCTTTCAAAGGCCATATACAATCCATTGGTGTAGTGGGTTAGTACTGGGAAGACTCAAGTCCATAGTCAGCCACAAAAACTCACTAGGTGACTATGAGGCAGCTGTTCTTTCAGTTCAATGTGTATGTGTCCCAAAGAACTATTGATTTGCAAAAGAAAACTGGGCAAAAGAAATGCTGCATATGCACTAGTCTACCATAACTTCCTTTGTGCACTTCTGAGCACAAATTGAGATATTTCAATCTTTAAAGCTGCTTAAGACAAAAGTTTATATGCCCTTTCACACTCAACCTGGCTTAAGTGACAACATAATACTCTCAGACACTTCTTCAACTCTAAACATTTTCGGAAGCAGGACAGATCATGATTGGGGAAAGGCCCTTTTCCACATTGCCTTTACATTGCAAAATTATCTTTCTAGATGCTTTTTTTGAAAGGTCTATTTGTTCCACAATTGTTTTTGCTTATCCTATTGATTTTCATATAATGCTATTAACTCTATGTTAATTTTAATGTTGCAAATGGAAAAACATCACATATGTTTTCCTAGAATAAAATAAATCACAGCTTAGAAGTCCCATATCTAAGTTCACAGCATAGATCCTGCCCTCCCCCACTGCAAATGTTCTTCTCCCCATCAAGTGACAAATACCAGACCTCAGCCAGAAAGCGCATAACCAGATATAGCTGCCCACCTAGAAAGTAACCCATCCAAGCTGAAACACAAATTCCATCATGAACCACAAGAGAACAGTTGATGTGAACTGGTATAATTAGAATAAAATCTTTCTTTAACCACACTTAGGGTCAGTTTGCAAGGCAAATCAAAATCTGTTCACTGCCATCACACTAGCAAAAATACCCTCATGATACAGATTACATACCTTATCTGAGAACCAGATCAGTCTCGAATCTTCGTTATATCTAAACATTCCATACTTGGGATCTAGCAGTTCTCTCATAATAAGCAAGAAAAATTCTTTGCGGACTCCACCTGCATCAACAGCTTCTTCACCTACAAAAATAACCTAACATTGGCAATGAAGTTAGCCTACTAAGTTATAATTGTTACACTGAAGTACAGATTTGTTGCATGGATAACAGAAAATATATATATATATATATATATATTAAAAAAAAGCAAATTCATCATGGATCTCAAATTGCTCCTAATTTTGATATTCAAATACATTAATGAAGCGCCAGTTTTTTAAAAAAAATAAATAATAGTGATAGTATTTTTGAATGGCTGGGACTACTAGAAGAATCCTTTATGGGCCAGCAAAGGGAAAGAGCAAAGGAGTGAGAATCACAATTGTTGAGGTGTGTATCAAGAATTTAAAATATGCCAACATGACCTACCTTGAGAGGTTTCTTGTAATCTAGATTTTTTGTTTTCCTTAGAACTTCCATGGCATCCCCCACAATATTTTCTCTGCGCACAATTAAGATCAGACATGGATTGACAGATTCAAATACTGGGAGAAAAATAGATGAGAAATTCTGTCTGTGAGCCTGGTCAACAGCCATCTGGGAAAAATCAAGTAAAAGCCTTAGGAGCAGCAATTTTAGTAGTGAACATGGGACGAAGACAGAGTTTACAGAAAATTCATACTAAGTTAGTAAAATTATATTAATGGTGATTTCCAGCATTTGCTCCTTAGAGCAAAGTTTTTCTCCATCTTCTTCCCCCCCTCAGATGAACAAGCATATTGTTCCTAACCAAGAAATTTCTTGCTGCCTAAAGCTTGCTCTGACCTCATAAATGCTCAACAATAATGATGATGATGTTTCAGGGGTTGTTTGGCAACTGCAGGAACACAGGATGTCAGAGAACTCAGCCAAAAGCCCAAGACTCAAGTCTCCATCAATGTGACATCCAATTTTTTTTCCCATTAAACTGCAATGTTCAGTGTGACTAAAGGAACACTGTGAGAAAAACCATACTGACTACATTTCATTAACTTATGTTTTATGAATTTAAACTGCATTATATTGAATGTGTTTCAGTACACTGTTATGTTTCTCCAAGCTGGTGGCATGAAACAAACAACCCTGATTTACAAAATACTCTTGTCATTTAAGACCCTGATTGCACAGAACAGCTTGAGAATGTTAGGAGTTAGGGTTAGGTAGAAAATGGAAGATAGAAAAAAGGAAGTCAATAAATTGAAAACATTTCTGGAAAAAAGACAGAAGATTTGTTAGATCTGTGGACTGGCAGCAAAAAATAGCGGAGATGGAAATAATGGTTGGATTGAAAATGAAAGTTGTAGACGAGGACCCATGGAAGGAATATGGGAGGCAAGTTAAAAAGAGAAGAAGGAAAATTCCAAAAGAGTGAGAGATGATGGATAAAAAAGATTTTTTTTTCTTAAAAAATAAAAAAAATATTAAGATTGGCTGTACTGAGAATTAGAATAGATTAAAAAAATAGAATTATGGGGGATACTATTATTTAAAGTGAATGTTAGAGTTTAAGATTAGATTTTGAAAATGGATGATATTAGATATGCTCAAGAACAAGGATGTAGTAAATACTGATTAATTGAAAAATGAAAGAATATGCGCTATTAATATATATATCATTACACTAGACTATGTTTGTTTGATTAATATAGTAATTCTTATTTGTATTAATATGGGTTTTGTACCAAAATGAATGATACTCAGATGCCACACTGTCCATGCAATGATATTGATGATATTGATGTATGTTTAAAAATAAAAAAACTAAATTCAAAAAAAAACCCCCAGAGAATGTTTGGAGTTATCCTGATACCCTGGTGTACATACACCTTTTATATCTTACTAAAAAAAAAGTACATGGAAACTCAAGTGATTCAAGCCATGATGGGCAATGGAGCTCAGTGTTATGGGCCTATCTATTGGCAATTTACAAGATATGGGATATTATGATTGGAATGTAAAATGGTAAAGGGCATAAACTAATGAATGAAAGACGGAATGAAACTAAATTAAAATGAAGAAATAAATAAAATACCTATGTATTTGTGAAACTAAGATAAACAAGCAAAGTAAAACTAAAAGAAAGAAGACTATAAAAGTTTGCCATGAACATGGACTGTTCTTGTGAAATTCATCTGATAAATCCATATAGAATGTAAATGAATGGATGTAATTGTGATTGAAATGTTTAAAATGTATAACAGAAAGTATAAACTGGTGTCATTTAAGCTGCTCTGGATGCATAAAAATCTAGGAATTTATATGTGAATGGACGGTAAATGGTGATAATGGAAGCGCAAGATCAGATGAATTTGGGGGGAAAATTAGCCAGAGTTGGTTCCAGTTGATGCTGATGGGGGTGGGGGAGAGATCAAGCCCACAGTTCCTTTTCTACAGTGTCTCTTAGGTCTTAACTCTCTCCCCATTCTATTTAACATCAACAAGAAGTGTTGATACCTAGCTTTACATTTCCACTCCAGACTGACCAAGTGATGTTTTGGAGATTCTGTCTCAGTGTCTGGATGCCATGGATGGCTCAATGAGAAAGAACAGCTATCAGTTCAACACTGGCAAAACTGAGTGGGCTGTGAATTTTAGGACTCCCTAGATCTAAGAATTTTCCATCCAATGAATGGAATTAATGTGCAACTTGTGGTCCTCCTGGACTCAAACAGCAGATGGTAGTCATAGCCAGGAGGGCTTTTGCACAACTTTGGGCACCAGCTGTGCCTCTTTATGGACTGGGACACACTGCTTTCAGTCACCCATATCTTAGTCCCCTCCTGAATGGATTACTTCAACATACTCTACATGCTTACAGTAATATTAGCTATTAAGTGTTGCTGGGAATCTGAACAAGCTATACTTTTAATGCGGATGATCCATGTGGGTAGCTAAGAATCTTAATGATTTAAATAATATGAGATTGTGCATAGCAATTAGTGATTTAAATTGAAAATTAATGTATCAAAGAGATAGTTGTGTTGGATAGGAAAATGAACTGAACAACTGAAAGTTACATATAAATTGGAAACTAGAACATATGAATGCTGATAAAATGTAGTGAATCAGAATCAGAATGGAGCTGGAAGCGACCTTTGTATCTTCTAGTCTAGCCCTCTGCTCAAGCATATACCATTTCAGACAATAGTGGATAGTATCTAATCTGCTGTAAGGAAGAGAATAACTGTCAAACATAAAATAGCTTTGTTATAAAAAAACAGAATATTGAGGGAAACATAAAAGTAAGTGGAATGCAGCAGAAATTAATTTTTTAAGGAACAAAAAGAGATGGGATCAAGAATGAATGAATGATGAATTAATGTGGACTTGAGATGGTTTGGTCAGATAGAGGGAATCCATAAGGCATGAACTGTAAAGAAATGCATGAAATAGGAATGAATATGCTAAGAAGGCCCAAAAAGCATGACTGCAGTTAATGAGATCCTCAGAAAGAGTGGTGAAAAGTTTATACAAACAGGCAGTGTAAAAGCAATTTAGATTTTGTAGAAATAAAGATGTTGCAAGGATGGAAAGACATGGACAGATATAGTGCCAGTATAAACTAAAGTTATCAATATTTCTTCCCCCTACCCCCCCATCTCTTGCCTTAATTTCTTTGTCTTATAATTTCTTACCTTTTTGGTATAATGTTCCTTATCCCAAAAAGGAAACAATGTGATTGGTATGCATGTACTTACATCAACTGAATTAAATAATATTTAGCTTTGATTCTGACTACACTAATATCTCTTCCCATTCTAGAAAAGGAAAGAGGAAAAGATTAGGAACAAATGTGAACTTTAAAGATTACATTGGGATTAATAATGACAAAAATAGAGAAGGTGGAAAGAGACAAGGAGAGAAAGAAGAGGGGAAGAGACAAAACACAAAAAATTTAAATGATTACAGTGGGAAAATAAGAAAGGGGAAAAGGGGAAAAAGGAGGAGAGCAGATGGAAATACAGGGCAAATTAGGAGATTAAGGGAATCTAAAACTAGGAAGAAAAAAAGGGAAAAAGAAGAAAATAAAAGAATGGGAGAAAGAGAGAAAGGAGTAGTTAATGGAAAGGAAAAGGGAAAATATGTTTTATATTTAGAACTATAAATGAATTGAAGTAAGATCTATAATTATAAATGAATTGTAGTAAGTTTAATATATGTGTGTAATACTTGGAAGGTCTTTAATTGTAATAATGGAAATCAGCTAAAGCATTTGAAATTATATTGTATTGTGAAAAAGGATTAATGGATTATTAAATAAGAGGTGAAGGGAAAGGGAAAGATGAAAATTGACTTAGTTTACTGTTTAACATTTCTACACTGTGATTTGTATTGATGATTGTTGTATGTAAGCCGCCCTGAGTCCTTCGGGAGAATGGCGGCATATAAATCACAATAATAAAATAAATAAATAAATAAATAACATGAAGAGATTAAGACACTGTGAGGAATAATTGAAATTAACTGTTAAGAGGGGGAAATATTACTGATCAGGGTGGATTTGATTTAAATCGAGTCGATTTAAATCATGATTTAAATCACTAGTAAAAAGACTCGATTTAAATCATAATTTTTAAAGAGCAACTGTCATCTCTGCTACTCCTTTGACCCGCTGTTGACTCACCGATAGTCCCAGTGTTGCAGAATATACAGCCTTGTGTTACATAACTAAGCTCCATTTCATGCTGAATAAACTAAATTATTTATGTATCTTAAATAGAAAACTATCTTACGATAGATTTTTACCCCAAAAGTTTTTTTTAAAATAAATTCAATAAAAATCAAAAAAATCTGATTTAAATAAAAAAATCTGATTTAAATAAAAAAAATCCAATTAAATCAAAAAAATCTGATTTTTTTGACTTTTTTAAAAAATCATTGATTTTTATCCACCCTGTTACTGATTATGATTATGGTTTATTATGAAGAGGTGTAGATAGTATATATATTTGAAAAAGCAATGGAAAATTGAGTTTATTTTAAAAAACAATTGGAATTGAGAAATAAAAATGAATGACTTTAATGCTATATACTTAAGTAAATCGAAGTAATATATTTGATTGTAGTATTTGGATAAGCTGATAAAGGAAAGAAATGGAAAAGAGGGAAGGAAATGGGTTATATATGTAAAATTGTATGAATACTAATATCTATAATTGGAATAATGGAATCTAGGGATATAATGTTGTGAAAAGAGAGCAATGGGAAAATATTTTAATAAGATGATTTAGAGTTAGGGTTAGGTTTTAGAAAAATGACTGACCTTAAATTAAAGGTTTGCAATTTGGGAAAAAGTAATGGGGGGGGAGAAAAATTGTCCAAGATTAGAGATTAGGGCGAATAGTAATATTGGTTATATATCAGAAGAAATATAAGGAAAATAAAATAAAAAAATATAGAGAAAGAATATTATGACAAAAAGTGAAATATATAAATTGTGTTGGAGAAAACTAAAAGCTGTACAAATTTTGACTTGGCCAATACTCTGTTCAGAAAAAATGTATTGTTTGTTTGTTTGTTTGTGTGTGTTTGTTTGTTTGTTATGAAAAAAAAACTAAAAAAAAAACTAATATCTCTTCCCATTCTGAAAGGTGATAGCCACAGCAAGCTACTCAAGCCAAAAGCAGTGCCCAGAGTTTCCCTTTTAATAAGAAATGAGATTATAAAGCATCTTTCAAATAATGAAGATGCAGGAAAAGTTACTTATTCTGAAAAGGCAAAGCACACACTTTTTAGTCAAATTAATCAAGGAATAATCATACTTGCTTTGCACATTATTTTAAAAATAGTAAAGTCTATTAATTTACCTGCATCTGCAGGACTGCATCTGTTTGCAAGAGTGTTGTCTTTGCCTGGGCATCAAATACGAAGGGATAGGTGCAAATTGTAACTGGTCCATCTGACACCTAAAAGAAGGGGGAAAAGGGGGTGGGGATTACTTGAAAAAAACTGAAAAAACATTGTTTAATTTATGAACTAAAGGTTGACTACAACAAGAAGCTAAGTTTAAACGTACAAGTCAACAGATGCAGTTTGAGCAATCTTTATTATTTATACATTAATTATATGCAGTTTCTTCTTTGACAATCCAGATCTGACCAGACAGTTTCCAAGTGGGTATTATCAGTGTAATCTCAAGGTCTATGAATAAGCCCAAGAAATTAATTTTGTTGTGTCTGGTTCCTAAACTGTTATTCTGATCATCACTTACCTCATGGCTGATATCCTATTCACAATGCACAAAAGGCAGCAGTAATTAAGAAGAAAAAGTACGGTTAGTTTGGGCATGTGAATTTCCACTTTCTTACAGTGCCAAACCTCAAGAATAAGTACTTCTGGTCAATTTGTTTCTCTAAAATACCCATACTGTTCTATGCTTACAGGGAATGGAGCTAATGAGCCAACAAGGAGCAAAAACTAAGATAAGCATATCGCCTCCATGCCAGCCCACCCCCCTACCCCCAGTATATCACTATGCCACCTCCCAAGGACAATGGGATTGCTATCCCTGAGAGATTGCTAGTAGGGAATGTTATGTTGGGGTGTCCTTTCTTGTGCCCTATTTATTCTTCTTTGGTTCTTTGGCCACTTCAGTTTCTTAATACTAAAGTTCTAGTGTTTTTACCTCTGAAAGTGCTGAGCATGTAGAAAATCATTAAGTGAAAGGATGAAGCAGAAACAGAAGGGCAAGTTCTAACAAGATCATGTCAACCAATAAATCAGTTTGCTGCTGCAGAATAGGGATCTCCAGAATTAGCCACTTAGAACAATTATTCCCAGTATTCTCTTCAATCATCATTAAAGGCTTTGACAAAATAACACATTCTTAATGGGAAAACTATCCATTTCTTGAGTTATTAACAGCAGAAGCAGACTTCTCAATCAATATTTCTATTCCATTTATTCTAAATTATCCCTCGGCTACTCTCCAAAACAATTCCAAAAATATTTCAGACCTGAGATACAAAAAAAAAAAATAAGAGAAAGAGGCATTTCTGATCTAAAAATACGATCATATATAGCGGGATGGCAGTAGTGATTTCAGAGCCTGCTTTCGCTGAACTGAAGTGGAGAAACAACAGATGTCATGCCTCACTGAGACTGTGAAGTCAAACAAGGATACCCTACCTACACAGTGCATCGTATCTGGGTAGATGATGGAGAAACTTGAGGGTAGAAAGGCTTCTTAGCAAGGTCCTAAGCATTTTGATTAAAGTCATTTAGTGATGCAAAAGTTTTGCAGTTCCAAAACATTTACTTTGAAGCTCAGATTTAGTACAACTTTCAGTATAAACTAAGAGACAATGTTCTGACCTTGGCTATTATCTCAATTAATGCTTGATAGCTCAAAACAATAAACACACCAGAAACTTGAGATAAACAATTCTGAGCAAGAGACACTCACAACCCAGGTAATCTGTCACATTTCCAACATAGATGTATCACTTTTTTCCCATATTATAAACAGTATGAAAAGCACCTTTCTATTCAGGTTTGTACTTGACATTTTTAATACAATATGCATGTAAAACTAATATTACCTGTCAAGTTTTCTAAGGGACCAGCAAGACAGATGTTATTAATACAAAAAAAACAAAATTAGATATGAAATGTGAAGATAAGAAAATGCCTGAACAAAATTTGTTTTGTTAGTCTGACATTAGGGCAGCCGCTCTTTTAAAAAAGCTACATGACATTTTTCTCCTTCCCTGCCCCATGTAGGAAGGGGGGAAAGGGAATGTTCTTTATCATTTTTCTACAGAAGCTTGCAGGAGAGTCTGTTCTCTGTTCAGAAAGCTCAGTGTCAACAAAATCAGAATTTCACTAGTAATCAAATGGAAAATTATCATGGAATTCTAGGACAGCAGAAATGTGTAAGAACATCCTAGAACAGTGATGGCTAACCTTTTTGCCGTCGCGTGCCAAAAGCGGGGGAAACGTGGAGGGGTCATGTGCACATGTGCCCACGCCCATATTTCAATGCGTCCCACCCCCCATGCATGCGTGCACGACCCCCCCACCCTCCCACTCCCGCTTTTGGCACGCGATGGTACAGTGGGCTAGCTAGGCCCGTTTTTCGCCCTCTCCAGGCTCCAGAGGCTTTCTTGGAGCCTGGGGAGGGCGAAAACGGCCTTCCCCACCCCCCCGGAGGCCCTCCAGAGGCAGGAAATAGCCTGTTTGCCAACTTCCAGTGGGCCCGGAAGGCCCGAAAATCAGCTGGCCAGCGTACACATGCACGCTGGAGCTGAGCTAGGGCAACGCTCACATGCCTACAGATATGCCATAGGTTCGCCATTATGGTCCTAGAAGAATGCAAACTATTTTTGTGCTGCTGTTGTTGCTAATTTCCTCATTATAGCTTAATTCAAGGACATCTTTAACTTTTTAAACCCAGAATAAATGGGCTTTTAAAAATTTAATTGGCTATTATCGTCTGCAATGCAGCTCAAACACTTTAAATAGCCCAAGGGGTTCACCGGATACAATCTTACTTTGCAATTACAAGTGACCAAACAAGTTCAAGTTTTGCATCTTATCTTTCTCTTCTAACTGCAGTTTATGTCACTTCCTCTACTGTTCTGCCTAACCTCAGCACTGCATACTTGATACAGACAATTCCTGTTTAATGATTAGTTATTCAGTGACAGCTTGAAATTAGGATGGCATTGAACAGAGGAGACTTCCAACCAGTCTCATAGTTGTGGCTGTTGCAACATCCTCATAATCACAATTGTCGATTCAGGCGCTTGGCAACCAGCTCCCAAATACAACACTGCAGTATCCCGTGGTTGCCATTTGCCACCCTCATTGCCGACTTCCAACAAGCAAAACCAATGAGAAAGCCAGCACAAGATTGTAAATTGTGAACACGGGATATTGTGTCTGTGTGAGATTTGCTTAACAATGGCAACGGAGACTGCTAGAACTCCTGTCTGAAGTCGGCAGAGTAACACGACAATATGCTTTACCACCAGGAGTACCTGTAACTACTTTAAAAGCATACATCAGCTTCTCTAATGCTGATAAAGACATACAGACATATGACACATAGACATTCCATCAGATAACATAAATAACAGGAAAACTGAGAACCATTCTAGATAGATTTATCCCAACATAAATCTCTTTTAGACATACTTTGCCACAGGGGAAAAAATCCCTACAAGAAAACACAGCCAAAAACCTGACCCACGTTTCTCACCAGAGCCCAATTTTGTATGGCCAAAATCATGCAACGTGCTCCCTAATGGTTGGAAGTAATAAACATGAAGAACTGCACTATCTACATGGTCATGTAACATACTTTAAAGATACAGTGGGAGCAAAAATTTAGACATTTACCATTCCATATGCCTGCTGCTGGATCCAGTTGAAGTAGTCATTTCTTATATCGATCAAATCCTGTATTTCATGTATGTAGAATCTATCATATTGTATTATCTGCCCACTTCTTTCGTTCACCTAAGTTTAAAAAAACATAAGAGAATCTATCACTAAAAGTATTTCATATTTCACTTCTAAACTACCTGGAATGTATGTTTCTAGATGAAATGTTAGCTATCTTTATAAATAAGAACAGAAAAGCTAGAAAATATTTGTTTTCAGATATAAACAATGTCCCTTTTCCATGGTATAACAATGTAAAACTACTTCTGACTAATAAAATGATTGAACAATTGGCGAGAAGAATTGAATGCTTGAGAAGATGCTAATTTTCTGTATGCAGCTATAGCAAAATATCACAATTTTTAGAACTTTATTATAACTAGAAGCTGAAGCATAATGATTGCTGTACAGGAGGGGTGTCAAACTCAATTTCATTGAGGGCCGCATCAGGGTGGTGTTTGATCCTGGGGGATGGGGGGGGGAACGGGTGCAGGGTGGGCGTGGCTAGATCGACATCACTCGTGTCAATGGCCTCAGCTGTTTTCGCTGGCAGAGGCATCGTGGGCCAGTCCTTTGGTGTTTGCAGGGCAGCCCACGGGCCAGATCTAAGCACCCCGCAGGCCACATCCAGCCCCGAGTTTGACACCCCTGTACTTGTTTGTTTGGTAGTTGACGCACGGTGATAGGAAAAGGGAGATGGCTGTCGAGAACGGACAAAAAGTCAGCTATGCTGGGATGGTTGTGGCAAAAGGAAGAGGACAGCCACAGAGGGTGGACAGGAAGTCAGCCATGCTGGGCAGGTCGCTGACATAGGAAAAGATTCAGAGGAAGTTCTTCCCGGCAGAAACAAAGGTCACATGGTAAGTCACATTATTTGTTTGGTACTCATTGTTTTTAGTACTCATTGTGCCTCCTAGAACCAATTAATGATGAGTACTGAAGTACCACTGTAATTATGGGATATAATTTTTTTTTTGTTAAATCACAGAAAACTGGTTATAGATGCAACTGTGGTAAAATTCTGTTTGAATTTTTGTAATAGTAGTGGCATTGCAGTGGATTTAAAAAGTGGTATTCACTCATTTGAATTATTATCAAAATTGAATGTCTGTAAATGTGATTAGAATTGTACCCTGACCACTTCAGCTTTGGCTTGGCATATTGTAGCAAAATAAGGTTTATTTTTTTAAAAAAAATTGGTTTAAATATTAATTTCTATTGAACTTCTGAAATTGATATTAGTTCCTTTGTTTAGATTTACAGTTCAGATGCTTTATTAAAGCATTTCTCTTCACTAGAAGATAAATGTTCCCTCCAATGACAACTATAGTTGCCAAATAAATTCCCATTGTGTACAAAATAAGAAAGCACTCTAAAAGAACCTAGACCTATAAATTAATATTTGTATCAACTACACTGAAGATAGATATAATCTGAACCTTAACTTGCAAATAAGAATACAGATTTTCAAGACATACCCTATGTAATATTTCCAAAACTTTGAGCGAAGCATGTAGGCAGCTTGCAAATATTCTTTGCTCTGAAGCCGGGATACCCAACTTGTACAGTTTCAGAAGGTGGACTACAACATCTTTGTAAAGTTCCACTATTCTGAGGAACAATGGAGGTTCCAATATAGACCACCAGTTTTCTACAAACAGGCAAGAAGGTGACAGTTACTGAAGCATTCTACAGCTTGTTGAATTAGTTTTTATTTAACATTCTCTATGACCTCATTTCACCCAATGTTTAACTCTACATCAAACAAAACATCCATTTACTATATTTACTATTTTAACTAAAAACTGTTTAGGTGCTTCTGACCCATGAAAAGTTTCTATGATGTACTGAGATATAAAGCAAGCAAACATTTTAAAGCAATTAAAACAGGGGACAACCCATGTTTGAAAACAGTGAGCAGAAATATCAGAATTTATAAAATTGCAGGTAGAAACTGACAGCTTCAAAAACTAAAGAATCAATAGACGCTCTCTAGAAATTTCTCAGTTGGGTTTCTTAGAAAAAAGTTCCTGTCAAGGTTTCAGGACCAGCAAAACTGAGGAGTCTCATATCATATAAAATAGCGGTCCCCAACCTTTCAGCGACAGAAAAGTTTGGATCTCCCAAAAGCAATAATAAATCCTGAAAGTGCTTTCAAAATGTGATCCTAGCCTTTGGTCAAAACACAATGTCACCTGAAACAAATTATACTTCCACTGCCAGATTGGCTTATTAGATTCCTATAATTCTATCTTATCTAAGAGAAGTTGTTAGTCTACATGACATCTACTATTAGGTCTAAACATTATGTAGAGAACTAACTGAAAAATAGAAAGGTAGATATTGTCCACATCATCCTTAAAAATAAATGGAATAAAACTGATCCTTAGGAACACAACGGCTAATAAAATCCCACTGCATTAACTCTTGAAGAGTTCTCAACCAACCAAACTAGCACCAAAGTAACAGTGTGCTCAAAATCCTATAATGGACAAAAAGGACACCGTAGTGGTCGGAGGGGTATAAACTGTCATTGATAGAATGCATCAGAGTCTTCTTCTAAATCTACGTATGTAGTTCTTAACATATGTCCTTCACTAGCAACTATCCTTAACAATATGGTCCAACTCTTCATATGGGAAAACCAACAATAAATTCTATTTTACATAATTTTATTACCAATAACCACCTCAGCTTTGCTACTTATATATCATATGAACGTGACATATGAAAGTGATCTTATAACAATACTTTTCAATAGTTTAAGAATTAAAAAAAAAAGTCCCAGGTACTGCAGAACATACACACCTACTTGAGTTTTGCAATGTACTCATTCTTTGCAGCAGAGTTAACACCTACATATTTATAATTGACATGAAGCAAACCAACCTTACCAAGTACTTTCAATGGAGCTTTTTCTAGATTCACGATAGCAGTTGCAAATGGAATAGCCAAAGTCATGTAATTGTTTGCTTCATTCATTAAGGGGCATTCTGGCAGTGTTAGAAATAGTCTTAATGCTTCCACATCAGGCAAGGAGCTGGTCAGTTTAGGAATAAGATTCTTCTCCAAGCTGGCTGCCACCTGGGGATGTTGTGTAAGACAGAATCTAGTTTTAAATTAAAAACATGTTCTGGGAGAATAAGCCAATAAGAATACTACAAAGAGATGCATGTTATTCTTCTTGCAATTTTAAAAACTCATTTTTAAAAGCAAATTACATGTTTTTAAATAAAGTTAGCATAATTGTGTCATTTATTTCTGTTACAAACATTACTAAACGGAGCTAGAAATCAGGAAATTTTAGTCTCGCATGAAAAAGAAACGATGGGCCAGTCACTCAGCCCAAGTCACCTCACAGGATTGTTGTTGTGGGGAAAATAGGAGGAGGAAAGAATATTAGATATTTTCACTGCCTTATTTAAAAATAATAAAGGCAGGATAAAAAATAAAAAAAGGCAAGACAGCATTGTCAGAGCAATCGAAGCTCTGTCTGGTTTTGTGTGTTGCTTTGTTGAGGCCTTCTTGTCTTTTTAAATCATACCCTTTGAACTTCCCTGCTACTAAAAATGTATTTGTTACATCTAAATATAAAATTAAAAACCACATATTTTAAGAAAATTGCATTTTGCTTCATCTTTTGTTTGCTGCTCTCTATTTACCCCCCTGCTTTGCAAATTCTTTCCTATTATATTATTTGCAAAGCAAATAATAATAGCAAATAAGTCTTCACTTTGTTAAAATGGGACAAAGAACACTTGTCATAGTTTGTTATACAAGCCTGAATAAAAAGTATAAACAAACCAGACTTGTACTCTATTATTTATCATTCCATCTTGCTGTGTAAAGCACCTTTAATGACATTCATACGTTTTGACAATTTGGAAATAAAATATTAAATTAAAATATATTCACAATTCAAATTTCCCCCTCCATGACATAACAAAAAGAACACGGTACAGACGTTAGCACAGAATAGCATGCAATGGAATCGAAATGAACTTGAAAAGATTTTTAAGGCCAACCTGCTGAGATATGTGTGGGTGTTCAGGCTGTATAAGTTTGTGAAATAAAAGCCTGGCAGCATTCATATCCACCCCCGAGAACCTGGCACTCGTTCTGTAGTGATCATCATTGCTACAGAAAGAAAGATAAATGTTACTTTGTACACATTTTTCTATATTTTAAATAAACAAATGTTAAGGATTTCATTCAATTATGTGTTCATTATCCACTGACCTGACAGCTAAAAAGCTTCCATTTAGGCAGCCAGCAGAAGAAAACATTCCGTCTATTTCACTATTACAAAAAACAAGAGAGAAAAAAGAAAAAACATACATGTCCATTAGTGAGTATGGCTGACACCCATTTCTTCTTCTTTTTGTCTTCCCATCTAGGTTTGTTGTATCTGCCATTTTAGTTCCTTTGTGTTTAGTTTTTAAATGTGTTTAACAATTTGTAAAAAGCCATTTAGTCAGCTTCTACATTTAATAAATTATCACAGGTAGTCTTTAACTTATGATCAATTGCTTAGCAATTCAAAGTTCTGAGGGACCGATCTAGGGGGTACTTATGTCCCATATTCAATGTTCAGATGGTCCCGCCTTCCCCTCAGTTACATGATTTGTGGCATTAATACCCCAGTTTTCTCTCGAAACAATGAAATCACCAATGACATTTTTGCATCTCTTGGGTTGGTGACTCAAACTGCCTTGAGGACTGCATTTAGGAGTTCATTTCCAGAGTTTTTTATTTTATGGCTTCAGATGATGAGGAAAGATTTATTTTATTCCAACGTAAGAACTGATTATGTAACATCAGATAAAGCACACAGCTTTATTATTGGCTGGGGAATTCTGGGAATTAGTCCACACATCTTAAAGTTGCCAAAGTTGGGAAAGACTGGTTTATAAGATTTATCAAAAAGTAGGAATAATTCTTACTTTGCTATCTCCACAGGGAGCCTCCCTGCACCTGAAGATGAATAGTTTATTAATTTTTGAATGAAAGCTTCGTTCACAGTCCAGATTTGTTTTGAAGTATTCGGATATCTGAAGTCATCTGCTGGTACCAAATCCTGCATTGAAGTGGTAAATGATGTATCACAAGAAATTGTTTCATAAATTCAAATGCCTAGGCTGAGAGCTGAAAAAAATTCATTCTCTTATTTATACCTGCATTAAAGCCAGCCATGTTTTATAACCCAGCATTAAATAATAAAATAATTAATACCATGAAAACAATTTACAATAATGAACAACAATCAAACCATGCACAATCCCTTTTTAAAGCTTTTATAACTTGTCCTATTTTTATTTTTAAGTCACTTCATTCTTGGCTACTTTTTATATGTTCACATATTGGACAAAACATAGGTAAAATCTGCTGAATTTTTTTTTTTGAAATTGTTTCAAAAGTAAAATATAGACTATTATCTGCTTCTGTTCAACTCAGGCAGGCTGACTTGTTCAAACATGAAACTGGTGGTGTCGGATTAATCCATCAAGTTTGAAAGCAAAAAGTTATGTAATAATTACGCAACAATAATTCCAGTTCAAATTATCTTACATTGGAAACATTATGCCACCGCTCCCTCTAGAGAAAGCTCTAATGCTAGATAAGATGGAAGGAAAGAGAAGAGGAGGGTAACCAGCAGCAACATGGGTGGAATCAGTTAAGAGTGGCAATGTTGCACCTGAAGGGCCAGGCTGGGATGAAAATCTATCTTTATGGTCATCAGGAGTCAAAAACAGCTTGATGGCACATAATCAATAATTACACAGATACTAAGCAACAAATCATACAATTATCTAATAATTTAAATTCTAGGAAAATCTTTTTGGAAAAAAGATTAAGCAAGCTAATATACAGTATATCACAGAAGTGAGTACCCCCCCTCACATTTTGTAAATATTTAAGTATATCTTTTCATGTGACAACACTGAAGAAATGACACTTGGCTGCAATGTAAAGTAGTGAGTATAGTGGTAGGAATGTCATGGTCTGGGGTTGCATGAGTGCTGCCGGCACTGGGGAGCTACAGTTCATTGAGGGAACCATGAATGCCAACATGTACTGTGACATACTGAAGCAGAGCATGATCCCCTCCCTTCGGAGACTGGGCCACAGGGCAGTATTCCAACATTATAACAACCCCAAACACACCTCCAAAACGACCACTGCCTTGCTAAAGAAGCTGAGGGTAAAGGTGATGGACTGGCCAAGCATGTCTCCAGACCAATTGAGCATCTGTGGGGCATCCTGAAACGGAAGGTGGAGGTGTGCAAGGTCTCTAACATTCACCAGCTCCGTGACATCATCATGGAGGAGTGGAAAGGACTCCAGTGGCAACCTGAAAAGCTCTGGTGAACCCTATGCCAAAGAGGGTTAAGACAGTGCTGGAAAATAATGGTGGCCACACAAAATATTGACACCTTGGGCCCCATTTGGACATTATCACTTAAGGCTGTACTCACTTTTGTTGCTAGCAGTTTAGACATTAATGGCTGTGTGTTGCATTATTTTGAGGGGACAGCATATTTACACTGTTATACAAGCTCTATACTCATTACTTTACATTGTAGCCAAGTGTCATTTCTTCAGTGTTGTCACATGAAAATATATACTTAAATATTTACAAAATATGAGGGGGTGTACTCACTTCTGTGATATACTGTACAACAGATACACCAATCAGGCTCCTGAAATGGGGAAAAACCCACTAGCATATGTTTCTACTATCAAACTTAGTCATTATGATTAGTGAAACAGAAGCAAGCTTCTCAAAATAAATAACGTACCTGTGGAGTAACATAATGTGAAAAGCTTTGGTCTCCACCAGAAAAAATCCTCTTTACACAATAATAATCTTCATCATCTATAATTAAAATAAGAATATCTTCAAGGGACTAGCTACTTTAGTTGTAAGTGAAATTAATTTAAGAAATGTAACTACTGTAATTCTGACACATTTGCTAACTTAACAGATACTTCAGTTAACATGTTTTATTCCAGGGTTTAACAACAAGAAGTTTCTATTCTGTATTATATTTACAATTATTTTTTATAATCTTATAGAATAAATTGGTGCTGGCAGTTTCCTAAAGACTGGATTTTCCTTCTATAGAAATGATTTAAAACTTGTGTTGCAATGTATTGTTACTACTATATGCTTAATCAAGATTTTTTTCACGAGACATAAGTACCAAGAACTAAATTTATCACAATGGCATATCTTGAATGTACCACCAAGTCATGGTCTAGTCAAAGTTTGTGCACTAAACTGCAACTGAGTGAGCATAACATGTAAAGCATAAACCATGGCTTATAGTAAATGCAAAAAGTTAAACCAAGAAATAAATCACATGATATTGTAGAATAATGTGTGAACCCAGCCAGTATCTCCAATAGTACCTCAGTCCAATAACACTTCAAGCAAATAAAGAATAGATATAATCACCTAAATTCAGTGGAATTTGGCCACTGTATGGAAGCCAATTTCCTTTTACTGGAAAGGGACTTTTCCTATTACTGGTTGTTCCCATGCCTAACTGTCCATTTCCTCCAAGACCAAAAGAGTAAATTCTTCCAGTTGAGGGAACAAATGCAGATGTGTGTTGCCTGCAACAAAGAGGAAAGAACCATCTAGGAAGTAAGAAAGGAGGAAATTCCAGACTCTTTTCTAAAATGACATTCAAAATATAATTTATTTATTTATTGCAGTTTAGCTAACCCAAGTCTCTTCAATTTCAGGTACTACAAAGTAGTCCTCGACTTACAATCTCAACTGAGCTCAACATTTCTGTTGCTAAGTGAGACATTTGTTAAGTGAGTTTGATTCATTTTGCGACTTTTCTTGCCACATTTGTTAAGTGAATCATTGCAGTTGTTAAATCAGTAACGTAGTTGTTAAGCGAATCTAATTTCCTCATTGCTTGTCAGAAGATACAAAAGGTTATCATATTACCATGAGACACTGCAACCATCATAAATGTGAGTCAGTTGCCAAGCATCTGAATTTTTATCACATGACCCTGGGGATGCTACAATGGTCATAAGTGTGAAAAATGATCTTAAGTTACTTTTTTTCAATGCCATTGTAACCTCAAATGGTCACTAAATGAACAGCTGTAAATCAAGAACTGCCTGTAATGTATACTTGAACACTAAATATTTGGATTCAGCTGCTCCACCTAGGCTAGGAAAATAAAGATGGCCAAAAAAGGACAAAGCTTGCAATCCAGTGAACAGAAGCTTATTATGCCTATGGAACAATATTGTGCCAAGGCAATTAACTCATCCCTTGGGTCTTATGAATTATTGTATTGTCTAAATCATAGCAGCCTTTTCTCTGCAACAGCACATCGCTGGAACCTCCAACAAGATTTCCCAATAAGAGCAAGTGGTTATTAATTTATTATGCCTGTTAGAAGAGTGCTTCAAAAAGCATATCTCGATCCTTTAGAAGTCAGCTTAATCTGACATCATTTAATTTACTTCAAACAAAAGTTGTAACCATCCCTCTTAAAAATATCTTTCGGGGCTATAATTTGGACATGTTACATTGTATTTTCCGCTAAGTCAGTTTGAAGCCATCTTAATAGTTCCAACAATCCTACATCTTTGTTTTGTAACCTCCCAGTGCTTGATGGACACCACCTTATAAAGGCACAGAGATGAGAACCAACAATGTAGAGTAGAATGTCCTGGGCAGAGCATTTTTGCCTAATATAGTCTAATCTCTGTAGCTATATTCACTTCATGGCTGTCGATGGATAACAGATGCAATTGCCAAATGACTTTAATTCTGAATTATGATCAGAATCACAGTAAACATACTGAATAAATAACTGCACATTCTAATTAAAATGTTTAAAGTAAACTTAAACCAATTTCAAATGACTATAAAATAAATCCTTTATTAAACAAACAAGGAAAAATTAGTAATATCTTTCTTTATGGACTTGAACTTGGAACAGGATGCTCACTTCACCTCTGACTGCTTTTCAAAAACAATGTTGAATATTAAAGCTTTTTTAAAAGGTCCTGAAGTAATTAATACTTCAGCTGGGCCAGAGAAGCTCACTTTGAAAAAAAAAGTAGTTAAAAAACAGTTCCATTCTAACATCACACTTACCTTCCACAGGCAATTTGTGCGACAATGTTCCCCATAAGTTCAAAAACTTTTCTGGGGTTTATCTCATGCGCAGTAGAGTTATGACCTAATTGTCCATAGCCTCCAGCTCCAAAAGTAAACACTCCACCTTCCTAAAACATATTTCAAATTGGAACGTAATCTGTCAATGTCTTCACTATTTTTTATATATACAAATACCTGCCTAAGATGTATAAAGGAACAATAAAATTGCCTAAAATGGATTATAATCATAAATATATATCTCAGATTCTAAACAATTGAGGCATATAATATAAATTAAAAAGGAATAAAATGGTTGCATTGCTTTAAACCAGGGCTGTCAAACTCCCGGCCCATGGGCCGGATGCGTCACGAGCTGGCCACACCCACGCCCGGTTTAGCGAGGGGGGGGAGTCCTGATACATCACGTGACGCTGCTGTGATGACAGGAGTTTGACATCCCTACTTTAAACTTTAAAGATTCTGAGTAATTTGCAAATCAAACACTTCTGATCAAATATAAATCAAAGGTGTAAACTGTAAAAATGCAGTTTAAGCAGAGTTCTTCACTATCAATTCCCAATATAGAGATTGCATTGTCCCCAGAGCTAATTATATAGGTAGTTCTTGCTTAATAACCCTAATTGGGATAGGTGACTCCACCACTAAGCAGTCACCAAGTAGGAAATCATATGATCAAGGCTATGCTTTCCGGCTTGAAAGAGATGACTATTGTATTCAATTTAACACCTTCTGCATTTGTTTGCCTCATAATCACTCCCCCACCCTTTGGAATTATGAAGTGCCCACTTACTGTCTTGTACACATCAAAAGCAATGTGATTGTACCGCAGCCCTGGAGATGGGAGACATAGGCACACAATGTAAACAGCTTACACTCTTGAAATTCCTTTATCTTCAATCTCTGCACTGCAAAGGGGTTGGGAGGAGCAAATGATTTCTCTAGTCAAGTTCTTCTTTGCTTGATCCTTTCCCATTGTCAGTGTGTTCACACTGCTTTCAATGTGTAGAATAACAATCAGCTTATTCTCTTGAAATCTCCTCCCCTCCAATTTCTCTACTGGGTGGGGCAGGCCAAATTGCTTCCAAAAATTGTCTACAAAAATTGCTTACTTCCTCCTGGAAGATCAAATATGGCCCTTTTTAGGCTTGTGCCTCGGCATGTATATTTTCCAATGAGTCAAATGAAGACAGGAAGATCATTTTATTACAATTTATCAGAATATTCAGACAAAAGGGACCCAACCTCAAAGCAGGAAGATTGGAGAGAAAATGATTTCAAGATGGTAAGCTATTTGCCCTTTTACACATCAAGAGCTGTGTGATCATGCCAGCAGTCCAGGCCTGAAGTTGCAAGTGCACAATACTAATAGCTTACACACTAATCTTTTGAAATCTTTTTCTCTCCAATCTCTCCGCTCTGCATGGGGTAGGGGAGGAAAAAGCAAGCAATTTATGTATGCAGTCTCTCCGTTGCTTGCCCCCTTTCCTGCTGCCTATGCAAGTGATTTCTTCTGCAAGTGATGTATAGAAGTGCAATATACTTGCTCTTTGGAAATCCTTCTCCATACTCTCTGCTCTGGAAGGGGGGAGGGGGGAATAGTCAGGCAAAGGAGAGATTGCCTACAGAAACCATTCGCTTTTCTCTCTCTCTCCCAGACTCCTATGCAGAGTGGAGGGACTGAGAGGAGATTTCAAGAGGGTACTATAAGCGGTTTGCATTGGATACCTGTGGTTCCTAGCCTGCTGCTGGTGCAATCACATTGCTTTCAATGGGCAAAAGAGCTAGCAGCTTGCTCTCTTGCAAACCCTCTTCTCCAATCTCTCTGCTTTGCAAGGGGAGGCAAAACAAACGGAAAAAAATAGGTCAAGAAAAGGACAACACATACTGATTGTAATGGCAATCCCATGACTGAGGGACACTGCATAAATGTAAAGTTATTTTTCAGAACTGTCATAATTTTTAACAGTCACTGAGTGTGGACTATCTGTATATCAAATTCTGCTTTGCAGCAAGTTAAACTAATAATAAACAATCAAATTATTGTCTAGATTTTAAATCGTACCTTGGAAAGATTCTGGAAATGTATGTACATTGCCCAAGTTGGTGAGTTTATTATGTGTGTGTGTGTGTGTGTGTGTGTGTGTGTGTGTGTGTGTTTCAAAAAGAGTACAACTTTAGTATACGAATTGACCCTATGATCAGGGTTGAAATGTGGAAGAAGGAGAGAAAGAAGGGGTGCTCATGACTCTATCCTCTGCCCTGGCTATGAAATTAGAAAATGCAGAACTCTTGTAGCACAGTGCCTTAAGCATAATTCCCATGGTAATTAAAAGGTAACAATTTTCAAGCATCAGAGTACCAGGAATAGGCTTAATAGATTTCATTGTATTTCTGGCTACATTATCAATGCATATGGGATAAGGCCACCAAGAACTATTAAGTCTTTTATATCACATTCCAAGTCAAATCTGAAATCAAAGACATATTGAACACACCTTTGTAAGAGCTGCAGTATGATCTTCTCCACAGGAGATATAAACGATTTTTTGGGATCTTAGTGACTTCAGAAGATTGGGGACGTATCTATCTAAAAATTGTAATAATTTAGTAAATTATAAATTGTGGCAAATTACACATGCACAAAAATACAGAAATCTGACAGATCACTGCCTTCTGTAGGAACCTTTGACACAACTTAAAAAGTTCATAATTTCAAAGAATGTATTGCCATCAAGCAACAGTGCAGGGCATCAGGAGGCAACATTTCAGAATGATATTTAACACAATTCATCCATTGTTTTGAAAGTGCTATTGTTCTAACAATTAAGGAATGCAGAGCATTGCCAAGTCATGTAGTTTAATAAGAGCCACAACCAATTTCAGCAAGGTTTTGTAATTCAGAGAGCTCCAGCCTATATCACCATTAATTTGAGCATTGAGCAAACAGAATCATTTTTATCATAAAAGTTCATTTTAAAATCTGCATTTTAGAACTTACCATTTTCATCATTAAGACCAAGTTGTCCAAATTTGTTCCTGCCCCATCCAAAGACTGCTCCAGAAAGAGTAAGTACAAAGCTATGGGCGCCACCTGCTGTTATTTGGCCAAAAGGGATGCCTAATAAAGATTTGATTATTTGTGGAGATGTTTGTTTTTTATATTCATAACCTAATCCTAATTGTCCATACTTGTTCTGACCCCAGGAAAAAACTTCACTTCCTGTTGAAAAGAAACGAAGATAAACAGTAGTTAAAAATCACTGTAAGATTCAAGTTAAAGAATCAGATTATTTCTTTCAGTGCAAAATTCAAACAAAACAGAGAGGATTCAGTAGAAAGAGAAGCCCATTCAAAATTATATAAAAAAGAAGACTGAAATCAAAATAGATTGGGCCACTTCCACAAGCCCCTTCTCAAACAGATCATAGTTCAAAGAACTTATTTTTAAATCTGAAGTATGGAATATTAAACTGGCCAATAATATATAGACTGGAAGTGATACTTTAGGGGGAAAAAGAGGCATGAAAGACAGTAAGTCCACTTGAGCATAGTAAATAAATGCCCTTTAATATATTTCTTTTCCCTAACACAGTATTTCTCAGTCCCAGCAACCTTAAGCTGTATGGACTCCAACTCCCAGAATTCCCATTAAAGTTAAAGTTGCTGAGGTCGAGAAACTCTTCCCTAGCAAATGATCAGATCTTATTATACAAAAAACTTTTCTATGATCTTAGTGGCAGTAAAAGTATTTTGAAATTAAACAGACAGATATAAATGCAGCTAAGAGCATGGTTTACCTTTAGAAAGTGCAAGGGAATGGCAGTAGCCACAGGCCACTTGTACAATTTGAATATCTGATAAGCTTTTAATGTTCCTTCAAGAAAATAAGAAAATATTAAATGAATAGCATTTAAAAAACACAGAAAAGTTAAAAATACTTTAAGAAAATTGTAAAAGTATAATTAAATGCTCAAAAAGAGCAACCACAGAACATGATTTCTCGATATATAAATAAGAGGTATGACAAATTTCCAGTTCTGAAGCTACTGTAAATTAACATTTCCTATTCCTACAATACCCCAATTTGAACAGCCAAAGTTTGTTCAGGTTAGAGAAGAAAATAGAACAGGGGTGTCAAACTAGATTTCATTGAAGGCCGCATCAGGGTTCTGTTTGACCTCCGAAGGCCTGGGGTAGGGGCGTGGCTGGAGGAGTGGGCGTGGCCATGGTGGGTGTTTGATACAGGCTCAAGATGCATTTTTTCCCCTTTGCATTCAAAACTGCTATTCCAGACAAAGGGAGATTTACTTTCTGGCACAAACAGTCTCAATTCCATAATGTAGAGAATAAAGACATGTAGAGTCCCCAGCTGCTATGGGGCTTGACTCTTTTGTATAGGAGCAGAGAATAAATGAACTGACAATTTCTCCAGATGTCTCTAAAAACTGTCTGTCCAACAGTTTATCCATCTTTGTTACTACCTCTAACACAGCCCTAGAGGAGGACTTAATATTAGTAATAATTTAAAAAATTGATATACCACCCAATTCTCAATGACCCTGGGTGGCTCACAAACAAGCAAAAAATTTACAAATAAATCAATCACAGGTAAAAGATTAATATAAAAGATGACAAACTCAATGATACGAAGGGGCTTGCTCTCTCTCATCAAAGACTTGGCTGAAGAGCCAGATGTTTTGGGCTCTTCTGAACAACAGCCATCCAGATCTTGGACAGTACCTAGTTTTAGTTGGCAGATGCTGCTAAAGAGAAGGTGAAGAAAATGCTGCCTCCTGCAGTACTCTGCCAGTCAAAATGGGGCGGGTTTTCGGCTGGCAGAGTGCTGCAGGAGACCGAAAACGGGCCGCGTACGCTTCCTCCCCCCCTCCTCCCGGTGGCCAGTTTTGGCTGACAGAGGCACGGTGGGCCAATCCTTTGATATTTCCAGGCCAGATCTAAGCAATCCGCAGGTCAGATCTGGCCCGCAGGCCTTGAGTTTGACACCCCTGAACTAGAGTACGAAAACACACTTTGACTCCATTTTATTTTAAATAACTAGAATTTAAATAAATCCCATCGGAGTACATTTGGACAGAGCATGAAATTTAAAATCTAAAATGAAGGCTGATTTCTTTCTATTAAATGTAAAAGAACAGGGAGGAACAGGTTCTATATTTAGAACATAAAGAAATCTAAATGCAGAATTTAACATTTACCACACTCGTACATATCTATATGGCTAAAACCAGTTTAAATATAGAAGAAAACTCTTTATTTTCAGATTAAAATAGTGCTAGTCTTATAGCTTTTCAAACTGTGGGTTAAGATCAAATGTAAGCAAATATTCACATAATCCCAAGTATTTTGATTCCTGCATACAAATTAATATATTTAAATCACACTGGCCTTCCCTCTTTTTGGAGCCCCAGCATAGCTTTCTAGTCCACTTATATAGACTGTGAACAGTTTTGAACCTACTCCAAATTTAACACATAGGAATAATGCAACAATGCTATTAAACTAAGGAGACCTAAAGCTCTAGTAACTACTGGAAATTACCTATTATTCTAGACAGCAGTTACCAATTGCAATACAGAAATCTTTGTGCTCTGGATACTGATATCAGCCAACCTTTTTTGCTCCTGCAGGTCCAAACAGTAAATCCTCACACTATTTTTTAATTGGCCCTAATTCTTAGGAGAGGGAACTTTTCAGAAGAAAGCATGATGGATATTAATGCAAATACACTACAATTGTTCTAAGCATGCAGCTCTTACATTGGGGTTCAAATTATTCAATTAAAAATAATTTTTATATAAGGGCATATAAATATTTTTAAATAAATGAAATGTTAAGTTCCATAGCAAATCTACAATATTCAGAATTAAAATACTGCATGAGTGTTAAAGCTATGTGTTGAAAAATATGCTATTTATACAATTTAAGGAGGGCACCTTAATAAATCAAGATGAATTTCCAAATGTTCTAAAAAATCATTAAAACCTCAGAAATACCCACTTGTTTTTTTTGCAACTGCTAAAACGAAACTGACTTTATAGTATTCTCATTCTCATACTTAACTCAAAAAAGTGCATCAACCAATAATGAAAACAAGCCAGTTTTAGCAAAAGTACAATATGTCTTGGATGTGATTTATAGAAACCTCCCAAAAGCCATGGCTAACTCTGAATGTGGCCAAGCAGGGAAATCTTTAAATAAACAAAATATTATCAGAATTTCATTTACTTTTAATTAAATCAAATATACATTGCATTTTGGTCCTGTCCACATACACTAATAGGTTATCATGCTACTTAGCTTACATTAAATTCCCAATTAGAAATACATACATACATATTCATAAAGAATATCAGTATTATAAATATTGTATTTACGTATTACAAAAAATTGTATGCCATCTACCCCTGAGTATATAGCTAAGGAAATACTGAAAAGAAAATGTTCAAGAAATTCTAGTGGTTGCTTCACTACAGTACAGCAGCTTTCAAGAGTATATTGATACAAATTATTTTTAGAAAACTGAATCTGAAAAATTCTAAATGTATATAAAGTTAAATGTACATAAAGTTAAATTCTCTTGTCCAGTCATTTCAACTCCAGGGGGCAGTGCTAACGCTGTTTCTTAGCAGAGGGAGTCAGCATAGTCTGAAGACACTTCCATGGTCATGTGGCCAGCATGACTATATGCCAACCCTGTTCCCTTCCCACCAAAGGGGTACCTATTTATCTACTCACATATAACAGGCTTTTGAACTGCTACGTGCGCAGGAGCTGGGGCAAGTAACAAGAGCTCATCCCGTCGCAGGGCACTCTGCTCTTGAAGCTCAGTGTCTTTAACTGCTGAGCCATTGTGCCGCAAATGTACATAGGTGAAGCAATTAAAATAATCCCAAAGTAAGCATTTTCCTAAGGAATTTTTGAAACATTATTTGATTATTTTGTTTTACCTGGGGACTCTGGTATATTCCTCAGCGCCAGGTAAGCCCAGCTGCCCATCCGCAGCAAAACCCCAGGCATAGACTTGACCCTTGTCATTTAATGCTAACGTGTGGGCTTCTCCACAAGAAACAGTGACAATGTTTTGAGCATCCAAGGCACCAACTTGCTCTGTAATTATAAAAAAGTGGCTTTTATTAAGCAGCGGAAATAGCAAAAAAATGTGTCTTTACAAACAAATCAAGTCAATTCTATACTATTTCTGGCCTAAGATATGTCACAGACTGAGAACCCTAAGTCTACTTATTGATAATTGCACCCAGCAAGGTCTGAATTTTTATCCCCAAGGGACAAGTTTCAGAACCCTAAATATTTTCATTCATGGTAGAAACAGCAATTGGGATTAATTAGGAGAGCATTGAAGCTATTACTAATAAAAAAACAGACACCCTAAACACAGATCTTCTTGAATTTATCTAGTGTCCTGTTTCAGTCCACAAGCATGACACGCACAAAGGTGTTAAGAGCTTTACTGAAAGTCCAAGCTCCTAATGTGAATCCCCAAAACCCATTTGGATCCACTATAAAGTTCTAGGAAGTCCAACATTACTTTATCAAGGTACCAAATTCAAGGGCAAAGGCAAATTCAAAGTCCACAGTCCAAGTCCAGTCTGATATCCAAGGCAAAGATGCAAAATACACAAACAAATCCAAGGTCCAAACACATGGTCAATCATAACACAATCCAGAGCTGAGAAAACCAAGAGCGTAAGTGTGAAGCATGCACGCAGCAAGAGATGGCCAGCTGTTTCCAACAACCCCCACCTCCATTCATCCAATTAAATAGGCGCTTGCCTATGTAGCTCATCAGGAGAGATGAGGTTGTGGCCTCTCAAGTAGCCTTGCCAACCTCCATTGTGCCTCCTTCTCTCAGCCCTATGCATCTGTGAATCAGATGGTGGAGGCAATTCCTCCTCATCCTCACTGGCCAACTGCAGCTGCGCCTCTCCTTTTCCTTCTTCAGCCTGGCCATTCGTCCGGTTGTCCCTCCAGCAACCTCAACAACTTCCCAACACTCCTCCACACCCTCCTCTGCAGTCCCCAGAACTCATCCACATCCCCCTCCGGAGTCCCTAAAGCTAGCTCTTCCTCATCGTCTGAGCTGGGGAAGCCATCACATCTAACTATATCTGGAACTGATTTTCATACAGTCAAAAGCCAAGGTGTGAGTTGTTTCTAGAGACTATAATTTCTGAATTTCTGCACTAAAACCTTGGACATAAATAGCTAATAAAATCACAAAACATAACACTAAATATCACACTACTGTTGCCGACATATTCAACTTAATGATCACAATTGGGACTGGCATCTCAGTTGTTGCATGAAATGGTAATTAAACAAGACACTAATGTAACTGCTTTGTCCAATGAGTGCAATCCCAGCACTCCTAGTTGCGGTCATTAAGCAATCTCCTTGCATGTTAAGCAGATGGTATTCCAGGTAAGAAGCCCAAGATGCCGAGGGGAGGGGGAGGCCATAGGAGGGTCCATGGGGTATGTGTGGAATCCTTCATTGGGCTGTAGGAACACAGTTCAAATCCTGAAGGTTTTAGTTCTATTCTTGTAGCCCAACAAGACTTCTTCTCCCATTCCCCATCCACACGGAAGAAATCCTAGTCTACAGGAGCAGTGTTAAAATCCTGGAGATTTTAGTTCTGGTCCTGCAGCCCAACAAAGGATTTCCCCTCCCTTCTATCCACGGGGGGGGGGGGGGGTCCTTCATCCAAGACTGGATGTCATGGCCCCATCGAAGCATGGCCCAAGGAGGAGGACAAGATGGAGCCAGGGCTGACGGAGGATGGCACAGCCTCTCTGACCCTGGAGAAGCAACCGGGGGAGCAGGACGAGGCAATCCTGGGTCCCTCGGGCCTTTGAGGGATGGTCAGTGATGGAGAGAGGGCACAGGACAACCGAGCTAGGAAGGAGGAGAGAGAAAGAATAGGTAGTGAAGCAATGAAGCTCTGGAGAGGAGTGATTGACTCCCTGCCTGATTCTTGAGCGTGGAGGGTGGAGAGGAGGCGGGATCAGCGCAGGGTGAACTGACAGCTCGGAGGGGGGGGAGGGGGGACACCCCACTCACCTGGAGAATAAGATTTAAAGAGATGCAGTGGGGAGGAGCGCTTGTCAGGAACAAGCGTTGCTTTTTCCAGCCACGCTTGCAGTTGTCGACATCTTGCCACCTTGTCTTATTGTGCTAAGCCTTGCTTTGCCAGGGTTCGACTTGCCTTGCTTTGCCTGGCCTGGTCGTGGGCAAGTACTCAGAGACACAGCTCTTCTTCAGGTTGTGCTGCAGCCCCAGCATCCCCTTCGTGTGATGAAGTCTCCCTAGAACCAAGTTTCCTGAACTCTGGATGCTCTCAGAAATGGATGCTCCAGTGGACTCACTGCAGCCAGGAACTAGTGGAGGGGTGTGTGTGTGTGTGTGTGTGTAGCTTTGCTTTTTGACTTAGTGAACTGTGGGAACTTTGGGGGGGAAAGTTGGAGCAATAAAAGGGAGTTAAGCCTTCACTTTAGCTGTGTTGCTTTCATGCCCAGCTCCGGGTCCTCACACTGGAAATAAAATATTCAGAAAATCCCAGCAGGCAGCCCTTTCAGCCAGCGCCACAAAGACAAGAGAGAGTCCTTTCAGGAAGTGGCGGCAGCATGCAAACTTCTTTGCCACTTTCCCACTGACTTTCTTGGGAAACTGGCAAGGAGATTGCAAATGGTGATTATGATTGCAGGGTGCTTGGTAACCAGCTGTTAAGCATCCTTTCTGAGGCCATTGTAACTGGTTAAATGACCAACTGTAAGTCAAAGACTACCTGAAATACATATAAGGATTTAAGAATGAAAACTATACCTGCTTACCCTCCCTATAAAGCAAAACTGAATAGAAGATTCATCTTTCCAAAATTTTTCAAGCTATAATAAAGCATTTTGTCATTTCTATCATTTTCCTCAAATATTATACTAAAGATTTCACTCAAGAGACTGTGATATATAGATTAAAAAAATCTTCAGTTGCCTGCCTTCTTAAGGATTCATTAATTATGCAGATTAGCCAAAACCTTTCTAGACATACTAAAGTGCCATACTTCCCAAGAAAATAATTCTATAGAAACAGATGGATTACTTTTATAGGGTAAAACCATGCAAAATTTATTTTATCACTGCCAATGATATGTTGGATCTTCCAAATCATAAGTGCTTGCTGTTTTATCAAATTTTCAACCTCTAAACTTAAATTTGCTGAATCTAATTCAAGTATAAACAAAAAATAGGGTTTTTTTTCTTTTAAAACACATCTGGATACTGAACTGGGAAGGACATATATAAATAGAAAGTCACATAGAAAGGAATCTTTTACATCAAGCATTTCATAAAAGGAAACTGTATCAGCCCCATTCACTTTAAGATTATTATATACCTTTCCTGGTACAAATAATCAATTTTCAAAATGATGTCCAGGATAAAAAATACCGCCATGAAAAATTTAAACATAAGATTAGTTGTAGATAAGGTTCCTCAAATATAGTATTTTCAAAATCTTAACATCCCATTCATTCAAAAATTGTGGTAAAGCTCTTTAAATATGAATGTTTGATGTTATAAATTAATTAAATGCCTTCATGTGTGCAAATCTGTACCAAAATTTAGAATCAAAACTGTGCAGGATCCAACTAACATTATTTTTATCTTACCTGGTCGTTTTCTAGATTTTTCATGGCCTAACTGTCCTAAATCATTACATCCACAGGTATACACAGTCCCATCATCCAATACAAACACAGTATGCCTCAGTCCACAGCCAACATCTTGAACTTTTTTGTTTACAAAGAAGCTGCATCTTCTGGGTTCCAGGACAATCTCGTCATCAATACCGCCCAATCCAAGTTGTCCAAAAGATGCATTTCCCCAACATAACATGTTGCAAGTCCTTTCAATGGTCTGCCAATTTCAATCTGCAAAAGCGTTCCACCAGCATTACTGTCACAAAAGAAAAGGTTAGCCAACAAGGTTAGCATTTATATCAAGGTACACTATTTTCACACCTCAATTTTTACGACTGACCCAAATAAAAACAGAGAGAATTTTTGAATTTATATCTTCAGAGTGATAGAAAAACGTGTAACTTTAAATATGACTGGTGTATATATCTAATAGAGAGCAGTTTAGTGTTGTGGTTAAGGTATCTGGCTAGAAGGTAGAATGAGAGTTCTAGTCCCGCCTTAAATACAAAGCCAGCTGGGTGCCTTGGGCCAATCACTACAAGGACAGCGGCCAGGAGTAAACAATGACTTGAAGGAGCCAAAAAAAAAAAGTTATTTAACTATCTCAAATAATTATGTAATTTGAATTTTTTTGTTCTTACAACTATCCTACCTGTGTGGTTGCTATTTTATTGCTAGTTTTTTAGAGGATATGTCAGAAAACTTAGGCATGATCATGATCAAGGTAATTTGTTTAACTGCATTTTACCTTTCACAAACTGAATACGTTTAATATGACTGCTCCTCACATATATAATGATTTCTCATTGTATCGCATTAAAAAGTAAAAATAACTTTTAGACGTTCCAAAGACCACAACTTGTCCTTTCAGAGAGATGAAGTAGCCTCCCGAGTTGCATCTTTGTGGTAAAGGGTTATTTCTGCTTTCAAATAATTGCTATTTGGAAGTGATGCAATACTTTTCTAAAGGCCTTTTTCAAAGCAGTTTCCAAAAATGTTATGCATGTACTAAATATCATTCTAGAACATTCTAGAGCATCAATTGTTCTGCTTAAAAAAAAAAACGACCCAGAGAATTCAAAAGTATTACAGGAAACCACAAACAAAATATCAATTAAGATATTTAATACTGAGCCTAAACCAGTTTAATAACTCATGAAGTTAGATTCTACAACTTCTAATTATATACATGTAGTAAAGGTAAAGATTCCCCTCGCACATGTGTGCTAGTTGTTCCTGACTCTAGGGGGTGGTGCTCATCTCCGTTTCAAAGCCGAACAGCCAGCACTGTCCGAAGACATCTCCATGGTCATGTGGCTGGCATGACTAAATACCAAAGGCACATGGAACGCTGTTACCTTCTCACCAAAGGTGGTCCCTATTTTTCTACTTGCGTTTTTACGTGCTTTCAAACTGCTAGGTTGGCAGAAGCTGAGACAAGTAATGGGAGCTCACTCCGTTATGTGGCACTAGGGATTCGAACCGCTGAACTGCGGACCTTTTGATCGACAAGCTCAGCGTTTTAGCCACTGAGCAACCGCGTCCCCATATACATATATTAACTATTAAAATATCTAGGCAACCTCTTGGAACACAAAAAGAATGTAACATAAAAATATAGGGCAGTCATCACAAATTAAGTTAAAGCAGAGCTTGAATAATGCTGTTCAAGGATTTTCAAATTATGTAATCCAATTTGGGGGTACTGGTGTTAAAGCTCTGAAAATAATTGCATAGGAAAATGCTATACTGGAAGATTGTTCCGAATAGCCAAATGTTTTCCATTATTAACTTTTAAAGCCATAAACAGCTTAGGGTTGATTATAAGAAGGATCACCTCTGCCATAATGAAACCGCTTGGGCACTAATCTCCATGTGAAGCCTTCTAAAGTTCCTCTACTCCAAAGCTTATTTATCTAGCATGGTCAAGAAAACTCTTTCTGCACTGATCCCAATCTGGGAAGTGTACTTTTCTCAGAAGCTATGTTTGACATTCAATCTTCTTTAGGAACAGCTGGTCTTTAAATGGCAATTGTTTATGATTTAATCTATGTTTATGCATGTATATGTGATAACACACACCACACATACCCATGGATGTATTCATTTGCGTTGTTTTAACTACAAGTTGCCTTTAATGTTCTTTCAGACAGAAAAGAAAAATACAAATCAAATACATTTATAATATTAAACATTCATAAAAGCTTTTCACCCCTAACTTATTAATTATGTAAACAACTGGACATTCACAAAGGAGTCCACCTAACTGTTAAGCAGTATTTGGGAAAGACAGTACAACTTTTGAAGTGTTCCTGGACATACTCTGGGCACACTGGTGCTATGGACTAGTTTCCCTAAATTTAAAACTGCTTATGGAAGAAATTCTGCTGCAGTGATTATTTAGGCACTTTCAAAATTAAAAATAAAGCCTGAATCAGAAGAGGTTGTAGCAACTATGGTCTAACTGTAGTTCATGGGATATTCTCACCTAAAAATCTTCCAAGAGTTTCTCATCTCTCAAACAGATTATAATTCAAAAAACTTCATCGATTTTGTTTTTTACATTTTAAATCTGAAATGCTGCATATTGCACAGGCTAATAGAAAAAGGACTAGAGTTAGCAGTTTAGAATCAGAAATGGGTATAGGAACATGCCAGAAATAACAAAATATTTTGGAGCCATGGAAATACTATCCTATCCTACAACTTACATGTATTTTTCCTATTTGAGCCAATTCCAAATATGACTTTCTGCTCAAACTTAGAATCTTATATATTTATTCCTAGCTAAACATGATTCAAATATTGCTTCAGACTAAAACACAGGAAGTATTTAATTCAATCCTACCACATTTAGGAGACATTTAAAATGATGTTGCCTTGAGGAGTGCATAGCAGTATTTATGCATTCACGTCAACAACTTCACGTGCAATTTTAATCTGCTGCAAGAAAACAGATACACATTAATGGAATCCAAATTTGTCGAACCCTAAGTAAATAATCTACAAATTAACTTTTTGATTAACAGAGAATTTTTAAAAATATTTTCTCAATGAAAAGAAATGTTAAATTTAAGACATCCATTTAATTAGCAAGAAATTTATTAGAACATAAAATACTAATTTAAAAAAACAAGCCGTGTTCTGTACTGCAGTGGACAAAGTTTCTCCCTCCCTGTAATACTTCTATGCCACAGCTCCAGGAAAATAATAATCCAATATAGTAAAAAATCCAGTTTGCAACTTGTAGCATGTGTATTATTTTTAAAAACTCATCACTCTCAAACTACTTAGTAAGGAGTAATTTTGCAATACGGTGACTAGATACAGTGCAAAGTTCATTTAAGAAGCAATAGCCAACGAATGTAAAAACAAGAAAAGTGACAAGATATAGATAGTCCTGTTAAAAAATATTATATGGATTCTTGAAAAAGAGAAGTTTTAGGTAACTTGGGTTTACATAAAATTATTTAAAATTCTACATGTCATAATGTCTATAAAAATTTATTCCTATACTTTTAAATATCTTACAAAAATTTTCTAAAAATTTATATCAATATCACTGGTCCCTTACAGATTAAGAAAGGGTTATAATATAGCGTAGTGTAGAATACATATCTGTGTGCCAGAGAGAATATGCCTTCTTAAGAAGATTTGAACAGTTAAACTCCCTTAGGATATGCAGTATAAAATGCTGAAAACAAGGGCCCTTACTGAATTAACCTCTATAAATGCACTGTAAATATTTGTTTGCCTTATGCGAAACATTTACAAAAATCTCTTAACAAAAAGAATAATAGGTAGAATAAATCTGATAACAGTTCTATTCCATTTCCTGGGATTAGAGATTTATTTTATTCATGCACCTAAGAATTCTGAAAATATCTTCTGCATAAACCCAGAGCTTTCCAGAAGCATACTTGTTTATGATGAATCATTATTGCAACATCACTTTATTAAAGATGAATACTATAATCCCCATTCATTATGCAAGATCAAAATTAAAATGAAATCACCTTTATTCTATCACCTTTTAAAAAGATATGTATTGATATTTTAAGTTTATTATTACATTAAAAATTTACACATTTTCTTTCTTTTTTAAAGCATTAATATAATCTTGGTAATTTAGAGGCAATTTGGGGAGCAAAAGTGTTGGTAAAAGAGTCAACAAATAATTAACTGCCAGCTTTGGGATAAAACCAGCAAAGAGACAGATTCTGAAATGTCTACTTTAAGTCAAAATGTCGTTTATTTTAAAATTACTGCTCCTTGTTCCAAAATCTTTCTCTCATTTGCCTCAAATATCCCTCAGCTTCAGTTCAACATTCCAAGTCTTAGCTCTGCATATTTCATCAATTAACACTGCCCTTATATGAATAGTTCTCATTACTTGTGTAAATGTATCATTGTGCTATATAACTCATCATCCATATAAATATGGGTGATATCATATATTAGTGTTCTTGTCACAGAAAAATAGGAGTATCTTCTGAAGAAAACAGATCTCTGGGAGTATTGATGTGACTATTAGGTGCAACTGCAGACATTGATTTAATGGTAGCAGCTTTGGGTTTCATTTCCACAGAATCAGAAAAATATTTTAGTCAGCATTTTCTGACATGACTATGGAGCCAACATGAATATATGTTTTCATGTTCCTAACATAGGCACATACATAAAAGATATGTTCTCGCCATTACTTTTGCAAGAACTATATCATTTCTGCAGTTTCTTTTGAATTATCTACCCTCTGTAATCAAACAGTGAATAGTAATACCAAGAACGGTTAAGACCTAGAGCACATTTGATCTTCCTATCTCAATTTACAGGTCCTAACCCTATACCAAACTTATTTCTGTTTTAACTTAATGTTGGTAGCTGAGAATTACAAAGCCACTCTGAACAATATATTAATATTTAGTATATTAAACACCTGCATAGAAAGAAAAAGGAGAAATACTTTGATGGGATATTTCTGTGATTTCAATTATTATATATCAAGGGAAAGCTCTATCATAAAAAGAGCATTAGATTAGTGAGGTCTGAGATTATACACACTTTTGTGCAAGTATGTTTTCAAGCATAATGGGATTTGGGAATGGGAATTAGTAATATGATATACAAAACAGTTTTTTATACTTTGGAAGAACGCCAGTGCAAGAAGAAATATTAGACAGCAGCTTTAGTATCTTTCACAACAACCCAGGTCCCAAGCAAAAGTTTCAGGTAATGTTAGCAGAGACTGATGAAATACAAGAGAAGCAAAGACTGAACTGCAATCCAATGTTCCCTTACTTAAAAGCAAGCTTTGCTAAAAGCAATGTGACCTACTTCTAAATTTAAAAAGTTGGTCTACACAATTTATCAAACAGCAGGCTTTCACATCATTATGGGATACCGCCCCCTCAATGATATTTTACACTTTTTTCTTCAGCTTTCACTTTTCACTCCCCAAAACAACCCTCTTGCAGCCATTTTACGTGTGGAAGGAAAACAAAAAGCATGCAGGGATCATTTGCCCGTAAACAAGGCAGCCTGGATTTTTGGCCCATTGGGGAGGAAAGACCCTCACGAGGAGGACAGTTTTCAATGAAAGGGAAGGGCCCCCGTCCACCCCAAAACCTTCGTTTCTCCCAATAGCCAAACAGAAGCCTGTGAGGGGGGAAAACATGTCGAAGGTAAACGCGATGAGCATACGCGCCCCTCGCCTTCCTCCAGCCACCGGAGGCTGCTGGTTTTGAATTTGGGGTGACCTTACAACATGGCTAGGAGCTCCCCACAGCCCAATTTTAACTGGAGGGAGGGGGGAGAGCCAAGTTTTAACCTTTTCTGGCTCCCTTCTTCGCCCACAGCCTTGCCATCTCCGCGGTCTGCGGATCCAGCGGGGCCTGCAAAATTTTAGGAATTTTTCCTTCCCCTCTGAAATAAAAGGGGGGGGGTGGAGAAAGGAGCCGAGCTGCCTCAAGTCCTGGCTCGGCCTGCCCTTCTGCCCAGAAGGCTTTTCCGCCGGGGTGGAAAGCAGGGGAGCAGCCGGCGTTGAGCTCTTTCCCCGGACTGCCCCTCCGAGCCCCTTAGAAGGAGAAACGCCCCGCCGAGCCGTCCTACCCAAACCGTCTCTCAGGCCAGCCACGGCTCCACCCGCGCCTTCCCGCGGCCTCCTCTCCTCTCCGCGCCGGGAAGCATCCGCAGCCCGGGTTGGACTCACCGTGGCCGCTACGCGTCCCTCCCTTTCTCGGGAGTGACCGAGGCGAGGCTTCCTTTCCGGCCGGGCTTACAAATGCGGCAGGGCGGGTGGCAAATAGGCCCAGAAGCGCCGGCTCGGCGCGTGTAACGCGCAAGCGCCCTTCCCGTTCGCAGAGGGCCCCGATAGGACGGGAGGCGCTGCACGGGGCAGGCCGCCCTTCCTAGCTCGCCCGAGGGAGAGGCGGCGGAGAACGGTACGGGGCACCGTCTCTTCCCGCTTCTGCTGGGGCAATCCTCGGCGATTCTGGCCGCGGGGTTTGCTCGGCACGGATCTCGGGTTCTGCTGAGGGCCGGGGCAACCCCCAAGCCAGCCTGGCTCTGTTGCGGGGCCGGCGAGGGCTGCGGTAACCCAGTTTTTGCCCAACCGGGTTGCCCTGCGAATCATCCGATGCCAGGCCAGAGAAGCAGGCAGGTGGCTCTTCGCTGCCCTCTAGTGTTTATCCGGTTCGTGGCCATGCGCCGGATTTTACCGGATTATCCCAGTGGGTAACGAACTGTAATGCAGTCCGCTGGTCTCGGCCCGCTCACTCCGGAGGTGACTTGTGGAGGGAAGCCTGTGGGGGCCTCCAAGAGATTATGTGGCCTCGGATGGGACGGACGGACGGCTGAGCAAAGTTGCTCTGCCACTCCCGAGTTTCCCACTGGAGTTGAACGTGAGGGAATTCCCCCAGGAGATATTTTGCCACGCGAAAGTCAACCGGTGATGGTGGTGTCTCATTTAGGATTAAAAATTCATTTGGAAGTCAACCTCAATCGTACCATTTTGAAGGAGATATGGTTGATTCCAGGGTTACTGCAAGCAAGTGTAAGGTCCCAAAATACACTTGAGTCACCAGAATGCCAAAGAGCTAGAGACTCAAGACGAGGCTTGCAAAAAAAAAAACAGATTTTATTTATGGCCAAAAACAAAATACTGGGTGGAACTATATCCAGAACATACAGATACAATGCATGCAAGGAGATAGCCACACCTTGGGGAAGGTATGGCGTCCTTTTATACCCTCAGAGACGTCAGCTTAGTACCCAACTCTGGCCTCCCAATCCAGGCCCGTGCATTCCTTGTTGCCCTGCAAGGGGGAATAGAAACTTCCCAATTAGTCATCTTGAGCATTTCTTTATTTACTCAATTGGCCACTTAGGCCCCCTGGCCCTGGAAAGTAGGAGTCTATCCAGATCAACATAAATTAAGACTGAGATAGTACCATGCTCTTAGATGGCACAAGAAAAAAAACAGGGAGAAGATTAATATGGGTTCAGGTCAAATGGCAGGGACATATGTTTGACAAATACCAGATACATTACAGGCCTAATAACAGAATATGTTTGTTACAGGAGATACAAATATAAAGGCATAATATATGTGATACAAATACAAAGGCATATGTGTATTACAAGAACCTAATGGTTACAGAATCTAGTATACCAGTATATCATATCTAGCATTATTTATTATATCCTTATTATTGTTTCCCTTCACAAGCAATAAACATCTCTACATAACAAGGTGTTAAAAGTTATTTCTCAAACTTGGCCATCTAAGCTGTGTGGATTTCAACTCCCAGAATTCTCCAGCCAGCCAACTTAATAAGGTGGCCAAGTTTGAGAAAGGTTTGCATTAGATGGAAACGGTATCTTGCAAGTGTGGGTGGGGAGGGGGGGGATTAAAGGAAAGTTTGGGAGGAAGGGAAGGAGATAGAGGGGGTGCAAGGAAGGATTGGCAGGGGCTTGCCTAGAAAAAAGGGGAAAAAGGCAGGTGAGGGATAGGGGAGGCTTCTTTGTGGCAAGCCTGAGGAAGAAAGGGGGATAGGATAAGGGAGGCTTCTGTGTGGCAAGCCTGAGGAAGAAAGGGGGGATAGCATAGGACAGGCTTCTGTGGGGCAAGCCTGAGAGAGAAAGGGGGATAGGAGAGG